CTGAACATGATGCTGCCGAAATACTGCAAAAGTATTAGAGATAGCTGCATTAAGGAGCTACTGGAAAGGAATCTCCTATAAATAGTGGGAAATACCAAGGAGGAAGAGTCCTTTAAGGGACTGCTTCACATGCATGCACAAACAAACGTGGTAGGTCAGAAGAGAAAAGGATGAACCCCTCAAGGCTACTGAGACAACAGCCAGCTCTGCCTCAAGCAGGAGCTTCCACTCTTTCCTTATACAATCCCCATCTATACAAGTTCACACACAGCAAAACCAAGCCATTGTCATAAATGACATCTCAGCTAACAAGCTCTCTAGTCACCACAACCAAAGATTTTTGCCATCATGCTGTTGTTTATCAAGTCCCTTAAGTGTGAAGTGTTCTTTACAGACTCCTCAAAATATTAGGTGTTAACCCATATGTCTTCATCTCTTCTGGCGGACAGGGATTTTGCCATTTGACTTTTCGCATTCTTTTTTTTTAAACTACAAATCATCTTTAAAAACCCAGGCTAATACTCAGACTCACAGTGTTTTTCAGACTGTTGGTCTCATTGCATTTAGTTAAGCATGTAGTCTGCCTTTTTCAGGTAAACACTGCACTCCTACAAAAAAATTCCAGAGATGCAACAAATGCAGCATATTATTCAACTACGCTAATTTCTTAGAACCTTATACCTTGCTCTTTCATTGTTCTTTGTAACTTGGGATGAAGAAACAAGACATAGCTTAATGCTTTTTTAAACATCTTTATATGTACAGCAAACACCTGCCAAAGACACTCTCTAGTCCCACGTAATACACTGTAATCTTCCTATCTCTCTTTACACGTGTGTAATTCCACTGACTTTAAATAGATCTGCTCTTGTTTCATGCAGGTAGAGAAGTGAAGCAACTGCAGTGGAAGAAAGCCAATTGGAAATGTCATTCATTGAAGGATTAGGCCAATGAATTCCAGGTATTATCTGTTACAGCAGCTCATTACTATTCCAAAACAGACAAGCAGCATTCAAATGCTTTAGGAGAACTAGAAGTACAAATAAAGAGAATTCATGTGAAGTGGTCATAAATAGATACAGAAGAGCGCTCCCTCCAGAACCTGTACTTCACAAACGTGCACCCACTACAATCCTCCTCCTAAAAGCTGTTGTTTTTTTCCACCTCTCCACAAAGATTTAACAGCAGAAGCAACATTGAGAGATCTCTCTGCCAAATTTCACTCTTTTTAAATCATGTGCTAAAGTCCATTTCCTAATGCATTTTAAAGTCATCATATAAACAATGAAAATCCAACATTATTAATCAAATGGTTTATAAAATTCAGCCATTTTCATCAGCCTGTAAACAGGGAGGCTAAATGGAGATATGGCAGGGTCAGCAGCCTGGTATTGAGAGGCCTTGGGCTCAATCTTCCTTTTGAGCCATAGACTTTCTGGGCAAATCACATACTTCCTCCCCAAACTTTACTTTCTCAGTTGTAAAATGTTGAAAGAAAATTAAGTGAGATCCTTAGACATCAGGGTAAGAGAAGAAGCAGGCAGACTGTCCATGGTTTCAAATAACACAATTAGTCTTATATTTTCATCTATTTTTTATAGAATTTTATTTGCTGCTGAATTTAATAAATGCCTGTGACTCTGGATTAGGTTGCCCAAGTATCTCTGCATGACACTATGGTTTGGCTGTACCAAACTGCTATAGAATTAATATAGAATACAATTACCACATGTAAATATTAAAAAAGGCAGTGTTTTAACATCCAGTAACAGGGACACAGTGCTCTGTATAGGTTTGCTCCTCTCTGGTTCCTAAGATGACTGAAAGTAACTCTATCTGTATGGGCATAAGACAACAAAGGGCTGCACTTACTGGCTTTGACAACTCTTCTATATGTGAGAACACATAAAGCCTCCTGCATTTTATTGTTAGCACAGAAGCAGCACTAAGGCAGCTCTCAGCCCATCAAAAAGGTAAATCAGAATAACTCCATCACAGTGTCATTATTCTCTGTAATGGTTTGATGCACTGAGTAAGAGAGGACAGGCAAGCACAGGGACAAATCCCTGTTCACAGTTGCTTATACACTCAAAGCTGTGCCTCAACAGCACACCCTGAACATCTTACCTGTGCCACCAGGATACTGCCCTTGAGGTCAGCAGCTCACTGCACTAACAGCATGGCTGCAGCACCAGGGAAGAGCAACGCTTTTTCTTACCCAAATTGAACACAGCATACCCCAGATTTTGCTGTTTTAAGGGTCCAGTTCAGAATGTCCTTTCTGTTTGGAAAGTCATTTATGTTGCATAAGCATACGCTCAAGTAATGAAAGAGTGGAAAAGCACACTAGCAAAAAATGTATCAATACCAGCATCTGGCTCAGCTTGTCGCCACGTTTTTACAGCTAGAGTTGAAAGTCAGTCCATGGTTCAGCCTGGGGCTGTCACAGAGCTTGTAATGTCTACTCAAGAGGAAAGAGTAGCAGAAACAGAGCCCTTCCTGTACCTTTTGGTTCCCATCCCATCAGATGCCAAGCAGCCCCAACCCCTCCTGAAGCCAAGACAGCTCAGAGGGAGAACTCAGCTGTCTTCCAGTAATAGCTGAAAATACACTGACTCCTCTCCAGAGTAACAAATTCTACACTAGACAACACTCCTTTATCAGTGTATTAAAACATATTATTCGTGCAGTCGCACTCAATGCTAGGATAAAATAAGTTCAGTCATGCCTAGTCCAGCAATACTAAAAGCAGTATCAACACCAAACACTAAGGCTGTACAATGATAACAGCAAGATGATTTATTATATACTGAAGAAGAAAAACAAAAACAAAAAGCAACCTCCCTCATGGGGATCATACAATATAAAGAAAATAAGGACAAATGTACAAAACCAACCTGACAAGAAGGCTCTAGATGAAACATGTTCAAAGCACTTGCAAATGTCACTGGACAGATGCAGAAGGAAATTAAATTGAGTCATTTTTCCCTGCAACACACAAACTGAACAACTGATTTTGTTTCTTAAAATCCACAGTCCTGCCTTTACCTGCAGATACTTCACATAAAACACACAATTTTAGTTGTGATACATTTTTTAAAGGACAGATTCCCAGAACTATTGTTTGACCACATTTATTTCAAAGTGGATTTTATTTTCACTTCCAGCTTTATGCATGAGGCAAAGAAGCCAGATCAGCTCAAAACAACAGGAGCTAAGCCATCTCATCCAGAGCAATCTTGTATATATGGTTGTAAAATTTAAAAAACATACCACAAACCAAAAAACACATATATGAGAAAACAACATCAATATGAAATTCCTGAAGGGTTTCAAGGCTTGCTCCTACTCAACTGAAGTTAATGCACTTGAAATTATTTCAGACAGAGCAAGATCAAATCCTTACCTAATCAAATACACATTCCTCAAAAAGCAAAACCTTAAGAGTGTTGTAACCCAAACACAGAAGTAAAAGACAAATTTTAGCCACGTACCTTGCCTGGCACTAGCCAACATAATACATTTACCTCCGGTATTTTATTTACTCCTGACCTGGGCAAGATTCCCACTGGTTACAGTGCATATTACTTAAATAACGTAGCAAAAGGACATCATGCATTAGTAAGGTAAAATATGAACCCGTGCTTACAGCAATAGGTTTCCCTTCTAATGCCCTATAATGAGCATCTAGAAAAGGAAAAGACAAGAAGCTTTACAGAAAAAAATCTGCACTTAGTTACACTGATGACCATCCTAAGCAACTCCACAGAAGTTTTCAGGGTTCATTTTGATGTACATGAAGAAAGCAGAAAGTCAAAAATTGACCAGTATTGGGCAAGATTATAGCACATCTACTATTAGTGCAGAATGCAAAATAACAGCTAATGCTTAATACAAACAAAATAGTATCACTTTCAAACTCCTCACAAATACATGGATTCCACATAGGTTACTTCCTCACCTTAAAACAAATGCTTAAATCTAGTATGAATTTCATATGTGTCTAAAAATGTCATCCCATATCAAAGGAATGGGAGGGGAACAAACAAAAAAAAGAAATGGACATTTAAGAGAGAGTTGCAAGGAAATTCCCACTTTGTTTGGTATGAAAAGAAACAAAGAAGATCCACTGACTGGATTTGGGGTTTTAATTCATTTGTTTTGGGGTGGGTTTTGTTGTTTGTGGATTTTTTTTTGCATTAAGGGAAAGAAAACAATACGTATGTGGGAGGGAAAACATTTTCACAAATATAATAAATACCAGTTCTGATCCAAAAGCAAAGTGCGACATTGAGTTTTCCATTTAAACAAAAACAACCTACAGAATAATGCCTTAAATATTAACAAATCTATTAGTGGTCAGCACAGTAAAATAAATATGAACACAATGATTTATATTTTGTTTCTAGCAGCAACAGTTACTAACCTACTGGCCAATGTGACAGCTTCACAAAAGTCCTGTTTCTTGGGTTCGGTATTTTGTTTAACATGAAAAAAGATTAATTGGGGAAAATGGTACTACAGCTGTACGGTATTGTCCCCAGCCCATCTATGTCAAGTCGGGTTTGGTCAGGACATGTTTTCAATATGTGTTTTGAACACTGATTTATAGAACAGCTTTGAACTTCACAAGAAAAACAAATAAAAAAAGAAGGCAGGATCCCCCCAGTTTCTCCATCTGACAGTAGGAGTTTGGATTGTCCTGAACCCTAAAGATATTAGTGAAGTGGGGTGTTTTCTCTTTGCAGTCAACAATTTTCTATGCTAGAGAGAGAGTAGGAAGATCACAAACTGTTAAGCAATGCTGAAGAGGGAAAGGAAAGCTTTGGTCACTTGTAGGGAAAGGCTGCAAAAGAGTTCTGGGGCAAAGCGAGTCTCAGCTGCTTACCCCAGCAAGAAATATCTTTCCTCCCATGTAGGAAACCTGTCCTACACTTGTCACTTGAGTCACGCTATCTGCTTTATGCCTGTTACAAGACCTACCACTTTGAAATTTCCCTTGTTGCATTCCCTTGAACAAAAGCAGATACAGACCTCTCTCTTCAGGGTAGACTCAAGCCATTCCTCAAATTCAGATGTGGCCCATGCAGAGAGGAGCCTGCAGGGCTTCACAACTCATTCACACACGATCCCAAATGCACTAGCACTGGCATGTTGCGGCAGGTTTGCACCAGTTGTTACTAGGAGGTAACAGCATGCGGAGCGATCCGAGTTTTGACACCTCTGTCAGTCACTGGAAATGCCAAATGAGGAGCAGATCACTGGGCTGGGAGCAGGGGCAGCAACCAAAGCACAGTGGTGAACAGCTGATTTTTGGGACACATGAAAGCAAGCAAAAATGCCTTCCTAGCCCAAGCAAAAAACTTGACAACATTAGTACCTACAGCTCCTCCAGTTCGTATTTCACAATATTGTTGTTCTGCTACTAACTGCAGCCTGTGGGAAACGCCACACTGTAACTTGCAGCAAGGGGGATGTTTAACCGTAATGCAGGGATTGCTCTGGTGAAGCAGTATGGTAAGGCTCATCCAATTCCCTCTGTCCCTGTACAGTGGTGTCAAACTGCCAAAACAAAAGGCAGAATACAAAGAGAAAACCAGAGCCCTTGTTTGACTGCAGAAGATGAAGGGAAAAAGCTGATGAAAGATTTTTGCAAGGGGAATATTCTTCAAGGCTGCACAGAGGATGAGCCAGGAGCAGGAAAGCACAGAAGAAACGGACTTACAGGCTGTCAAAAGTGCTCAATTAGTGCTTTGCAACTTGGACACATGTCCTCCTACCTTCTAACGTGTTTCAGTGCACAAACCCTTGGGCTTTGCACAAAGGAGGGAGGGAATCCCAGTCAAGAAGATGCCCATTGCTATGCCTGTATCTGCAGGGCAACGATCACCATGGAATCATGCAGAGGGGTGCTTTTGTCCACTATGCAAGAGTTCACTTTGACTGCATTTAGGAAGACTGCATTAAGGTTGTACCTGACGCTCTCAGGTAGCTAAAGATAACAATACTCAATCTCTGAGGAGCAGCCAAGTGCAAGAAACCTTTCTGAGGTGAACTAGGAAGATGAAAAAAAATATCTGGATTTTTGGTTAGTTTATTCATTTTTCATTTTTTTTTTTAAGGCAAGCAGAAAATCCTCCTTCAATGCAAGAGGCAGGATCAGAATGGCAAAAAGGAAAAAAAAAAAGGTGGTGCTGGGGAGCTACCTTCACCATTACAAAGTAGGTAGAATTTATCCCTGGTAAAATGCTACTGAAACCAATGGAGCTGCATTTAATTCAATGTAATGCCTAAAGAGGAATGAGAGACAAGCCATGATGCTTCATTTACCCCTGCTGTGCACCTGCCACTAAAGTCAATGAAGCTTTACCAGCATACAGCTATAGCAGCACAGTGGTGAATCAGGTCCAACAGGGGTTACCTACATTCTGCACTTGCCACTGAAGCCAATGTTTTAGAAACATTGTGAACTGGATTCCAAGCACAGCTCCTCACATCTACCCAAATAAGCAGAAAAATAAATGTCAGCCCTACTTCTGTTCCTTATCCCCTTTCTACTTTCGCTAAGAAAAATCAAAGCAGGCACACCTTTGGGCTTGTCTGTCCTTAAAAAAGGTGCTTAACAAATTTCATGAATACTTCCGTATGGCCAAAAAGCTGTTACTCAAACAATCATCACCCCTGACATTTACATTCTACCTAACTTTGGATTTTTGATGGTCCCTAAAACAGCGAAGTTTACATCAAGGAATGGAATTAAAACCCATCCTGAGATGGGAAAAGATAGAGGGGAAAAAAATCATCCAATATTGGTAGCTCTAGTGCAAAGGAGTATTTCAGCTCTCCTCTATAACACCTATTGGGCTTTGTCCAGGGAATGACATGAAAGTGAGACACACCAGTACCTGCTCCCCAGGGTCCATGCAGCCCTGCTCCCCAGAGTAATAGAGCTGTGGGCCAGAGACCAACACTTGCAAAAAAAATTACAGCTGACAGCTCCTTTCAACCGATTCTCAACCCTACTCAGTCTAAGGCAGAATCAGAGCAGAGCACGTATAACCTGAGCAGGTTTGCTTTCCAATTCACTTCATTGAGCCACTGAGATCCCCACATACTCTCTTCAGGGAGATGAGGTACAGCCATGATGTATTAAGGTGACCAGTCAACAACATTGAGAATCTTTTTTCACTGTTAACTGGTAGAATAGAGTATTTCTGAATCGGGCTGTATCAGCTGATATCCAATGTCAGATGTTCAAATGAAATCTGCATCGCAAAGGAAGCGGTAAGACACAAGACTCTCCAATGTCTTACACAGCTTTTCTACAGCAATGTGGAAAGAATATACTCTGGGCTGCTAATGGGAGCCACAAGCAGCAATTTGTGGGCAAGTACACCACCTAATTCATTCACTCACAGGCCCCATTCCTGCCTCTCTTTTATAAGCTGCCCAGAGATTCAGTCTGCTTTAGGGAGGCATTCTGGAGCACTGCTCTCTGGTATGCAAACAGGGGGAGTAGGCTTTGCACATGGTCCACCTGTGTGGTAGAACCACAGAGGTTCCCAGCACTTCTGGGCTTTGCATATTCATGCAGAACGCTGAGGAGCAGACAAAGTCCTCCCTGCCACTCAATACAACGAAGAGCCTTAGATAATTAGCAAACAAACATCAAAAACACTCATGTCCTGCACAGTGTCATCCTGCCAACTATGACAGAAAAAAAATCTAACCATACCATTAAGTTTGCAGGTGTTACATGTACAGCTCGAGAGCATACTCCTATCAAAGGGAGCACAAAGCAGGGCATGTGGCAAACAGCAGGCAAGAGACAAGCTGCTCTATTTGCAAATTACTACCAAGGGTGGCGCATCATTGTACATAGCCTAGGTTCTCCATCTCATTCCTATACCGCTGTTCAGACACCTTGCTTTTATGCTGTTTGCTTTCTAAGTGCTGTCTGAACTCCATCTCTTCACTGGCCCCGGCGTTGCACATGGAGCAGTAGAACTGGCCACTGGGGGTGACACACATGGCCAGATCCCGAGGAATCCTCTGGCGTGAGCGGGGATTGAAGTAGGGACCTGAGGAGTCAACAGAAAAGCCTGTTTTACCTACAAGAAAGAAAAGCTTGAGGCAGCTCAGTGACAACTTCTAAACCCAACAAACTATTAAAAAGCAGTCAAAGATTAGCTTCCTCAGCTGAGCCTGAACTTTATTTTCCTATGGCTTTTCCACTGAGATCCAGATTTACAGGGATATAGGACACCAGGGAGCAGTACTTGCTGGTATTTTCTAAAGCAGTAGAGTGGGCTTAGTGCCCCAGTCTTATTCAGAATCAATAGGAATTTGAAAATTAGAAATAATTTAAGTGATGAATCGTTTCTTTATTTCTTAACCTTCCCATTCCAGAATTAGAACAATCTTTTGATTAAATTGCCTCACTTTAAAATTATCACAAAATAATATTTAATAGAACTTTAGAAGATTTATCTTTTCCACATGACAGTGATTAGAATGACGCAATTAAACCAGGCTTCACAAGGAATCAGGATTTAAACTAATATGTGCTCCTAACGCAAAATAAAAAAGATGCTGGGATGGACACTACAAAACACGGTTTAAATCATAGTAAAGAGGCAAAGTTAGTCTCTAATACCTGAAGAAGGACTCCACTCTAGGAACAGATGGTCCTGGAGGGAGGCTAACATGCTTTCTCATTCTGGTCATGAGACTGCAAGTACAGGTTGATGTGCTACAGCAGGAGTTAAAGCACCTGGTCACTTGCCATGAAAATAAAGCAGGAAAGTTGTTACCACTTAGAGTGGCCTTAGAGATAGGCAGATGGTAAATTACATACATACAGACTAAGAAAATGAACCAACAAGCAGGCTGACAAAACAAAGCAACTCCAGCAGCTGGGAAAACACAGGCAGGCATGAAGGATAAGCAGAGCTACGACCAGCTCCTTTCACAACCTGTCTTTGCTAAAACAGACCTCAGCAAAGAAGAAAAGCAAGTCTGCTTATTATTCATTATTATTCCAACTATAGAACAGATGCAACTCAGTTACCTGTGTTGTTTTGAACCATATACATATTTCTTCTGTTCTGCATCATTTTATATTCATTCCCTTCTTTCCTTGCCCTTCGTTTGCCTAGTTCTGATGCATCCCTGAAGATTAAACAAATGAACAGCTGTAATTCAGTTTTCTGAGGAAAAAAAAAAAGCCAGAGACACTGCCACATGCTTTCACAGCCTGAGCGTGAAGTTGAACAATACCTACGAGAATGAGTTACTCTGTGCTTCTGCAAGACGCAGCCGCTTGGCATGATTTTTCCCTTGGTAGTGAGCCTGTGCCACAGCTGGAGAACTAAATGAGGCATCACAAAGCTTGCAGTAATCATTCTCTGTGGCCAAGATCACTCGACCACCTGGTTTACTGGATCCCATCTAGCAGCAAAAGGAAAGAGAGCATATGAAACGCAAGAAGGTTAAATTGTTGAAATATCTGAATCACAGGGACTGAGATCAGTATCACCACCAGGCAGCAAGAGAGCTGGAATTAGAGCATATGGATTAGGGCACTCTCAAGTAACTCCCCAAAGTGTTCTTACACAAACTTTTTTTCCCTGCCTCAGCCTCCAGAAGAATCTGCAAAATTGAGATCTAGGCAAATCCCTAGCCTCATATGGAGAGGAAAGCACTGTGAACAAACACCCTGTACCTTTGCCATAGCTACAGAGGCTTGTTTACTCCACAGCAATGATTTATTTCCTCTACTCCTGATTGCTGAGAACTGATGAACAGTAACATTCACACTAAGGAAGACCCACCAAAACGTAAAGGTGCTCCTCTCTCCTATTTACAGTGTACCTAATCTCTGTGCGGTATTCTGTCCTTACACAGCTCCCTGACCACATGAAAAGATAAAAAAGAAACAACAAAACAATAGCAGACATGCCAAACCTCTGATCCTTACCCTTCAGATAGGAGGGCACCTGGATCAAGACTTCAGAGGAAGAACCCAGCCTCACATGGGTAGCTCCTGCCATATGAAGAATACCTTGCGTGTCTAGTCAGATCACACACTGATTGGGGCAGCAACCATGTTTCCTCAATGCGTATCATCCAGAAAAATGTGCTTTGTGAACAGTGCAGCTGCAGTGATTCATACAGCAATGTCACTGCAGCATTTGCCAAGTTGAGTTTTTTTCACATCTGCTTTGATACTGTGCAAGCTTATAGACACAAACACACAATTCTGACTTCCACCTTACATGAATGCTCATGTAGTCCCAGAGCAGTCCTTTTATTGCCATGGACCATTTCCTCCATCAAAACCCACATCAGATACCCTGGTAGGTACAGAACCCACATCCCGCTATCTAGGACTGGACCTCATGTCATCCCAATTAAGTTCTGTGAGTTCTGAATGGTTAGGGTTAGAAAGAACCTTAGGATCATCTAGTTCCAACCCCGCTGCCATGGGTAAGGGCACCTCACACTAGACATGTCCATTTACATGGAACCAATTCTCCCTCTGGCAGCTCCAGCAACATGTTCATCTGCCACTTACAGATGCTCTTTACTTTGCGCAGCTTTGATCTCTGCAGCCGAGCTTCTAGAAGAAGAAAGCAAAAATCATCTCTTTTGCCTCTAATGGGCCCAAGACAGAATTAATCTGGATCACTGAGAGAACAACCTGTTTACCCTACACACAGGAACGATCACCTCAAAAGGAACAATGTAAGAGGAATTAGCCAACAGCCCTGGGCAATGGGTGTAGGAGCACCTAAGCACTTTTTCCTTGCAGGCTTCCCTCATGCAATGAAGGGATGATTGTGCAGAGCAGATGCCACACCCTCCTGTCCAAATCCAGCTCCAGCAATGCTGTTTTATACCTGCCCTTAACCATACTCAGCAGCACATCAGATTTACTAGGAATCAATGTATTTGCCATGCAGAAATAGACTATTTCAAGTCCAATATTCTGCTGCGACAGCAGATCAATACCTGCATCTTCAAAGGAAAGCAAACAGCTCACAACAGGATGTTTCCATCCTCCTGTGCCATCAACACATCCCAACTCCTGTGGTAATCCTCAGAACATGAGATCTAGTTATCCTTACTGGGGGTTAAGTGACAAGTAAGCAGCACGATCTCAGTCACCCTCCCCTGCCTTACCTGAGTTGGAAGAGAGACAATCTGAGGTGGGGCAGGCTCAACCAAATTACTCATTCTGGCAGATGCTGGACAGCTATTGGCAGCATAGTAATTTCGGAGTTTTTTACTGTGGTTTTTACCCTGGAACAAGAACCCAGATTAATCACTGTTCTAATGATAGCATCTTACACTGAAAGAAAAAGGATCCAAAGACCAAAATAAGAAAATGGCCATGAAAATGGCAACTCAGGTAAAGGAGCTATCACTCAGAAAATAACTCTGAACTTGAGAGATGCTGGAATCTCCCCGTTCTCCCAGATGAGAATCACCCAGCATGATTTGGCCTCGTTTTCAACTAATTTTCCCAAATCAGTAAGGTTACAATTAGTTCATAATCTGTTTGCATTTCACATAAACCCAGTATTTCACACTTTAAACATGAAACATTGCTTTGCATAGTTTTAGCCTGAACACATACAATTCTTCATGACAGTGCAAGTATGAGTTAAAACATGAGATTGAATGTAAAACCCCCTATGTCATATTTTATTTTTCCTTGGAAAACATACACTATAGCTCTTTTTGGTGTCCTGACAGAGCTCCATGAGACTATGTACATGCATTGTGGATATATAGTAAGGCATATGTGTAAATGCAAGTTATGTAGGATAAATGCACTTCTGTCCCCCCTCATGGCAGACATACTCCAGAAATTAGTGTAACACTAACTCATGCTACCCCTTCACTAGAGGGATACCACTTTTTCAGGGCCAACAGCAAATCTGAGATCCAGGTCTGGTGCCCTAAGGATACGGACAACCACTCTTTTGGATTCACTGGTAGAGAAGGTCACCATATCTCACACAAATATAGCACTAGGCAGAGAGGGTACTAGTAAAAAGGGGTAATGTAAGACAACGACATATTCAGTCTCTCAGCAAAGAAGTATAGGCAAATAGTCCCCAACCTATTTTAGACAAATTAACCAGATCAGCTTGAACAAAATTTATTTGATCTGAGCTGACCCAGCTGATGGGAGTGTTTGCATAAATGGCACCAACACATCAGTGGTGTGCATAATCTCAGCAAGGAGACAGTAATAAACACCTGCAGCAGCCCCCCTTCCTAGTGAACAGCTGGATCCAGCAGAAAACATCTGTTCAGGCCGTACAAAATCATGTCTGTGGAATGAGAAGTTCAAGTTTATTGGAAGAGGTGAAAAATGAGTTGCATAAAACAAAGGAAACATCAGTGTCTGCTTTTTCACCCATGCCATCTTGGTACTACTTCTCTGTGGACAAAGCTTTTGCAAAACGCTCCAGTGATGACACCTTAAATAAAATCACTGCAGCACATCCGAATGATCAGCAAATTCAAACAGGGTGAAGACATGTCTACAGAGCAGCCATAGTCCATTAAATGGTGCAGAGGTAGCTCCAGGTGAGCTAATTCAAATGCTGCTGCTGCTGTGCAGCCACCTTACACTCAAAATTCCTTTGAGGGGGGTTCACCCTTGTGCATTAGCCCATGTTTAGCTCTGTGCTACCACAGCAATGCTACTGGCAGTGAACATGGCAGCACAGGTACGTCTACACAAGCTGCAGATGCAGCAGCCCTGAAAGCTGTGCCTTCTGCTACTCTCCTTACCTGGTAATGAGCCTGGGCTTGTTGTGCTGAATTCAGAGTGACATTGCAAAGCTTACAGCACAGAGGCTTACATAGTTCCTCCAGTACAGGGTCCTGCTCCACCACCTTTGCAAGCTCTTCTTCTTGTGTGTGATGAAAGGAAGGCCCCAGTCCAAGAGATTTTGGTGGGGACAATGGTGAGGTGGCTTTTGGCCTTGTAGCCACTGACATAGGAAGAGATGAAGGCTTCTCAGAATGAGGAAGAAGTCCTGCTTGCTGTAGAAGAATCATTGGCCAGGAAGACTGTGGGCATGCAACTTCTGAAGGATGAGGAGTCGTCTTCAGATCTAGACCAGAGACACACAAATGCTGAAATAAGCAGCGCTAACAAGAAGATTGACCATCCCGGGGACAAATTCTGAAACTTCATTGCCTCTACCTTATGACTTTTCACAATGCCAAAAAGGATGAAGTCAGTTTATAACACTTTATCCCACAGGAACAGCAGCATCCCAGACAAGCAAGGACAGATTAAAAGATACACATGTAAGGGGAATGAATCCAAAACGTAGTTGTTAGTACCCCATGGCACCCTCCTGGAGTACTAATCACCCATAGTGCTCAACCAACAGCATGCACATCTCACTGCTCCGTGACCATAAGATGTGACATACAACCTGCACAGCACATACAGCTGTGTTAATGGGAATAAGAGGCATCCAGCTGTTAGCCACATCCTCTTTTGGCAGCTCAAGGTCAAGCTCAGACTCCAAAACTTAAACAAGTATTACAAGAACTTGCCAATGATGTACTGATGTACAAAGATCTACAAGTATAAGCCGACAATGACTTAAAATGAAAATGAACCCAAATATTTCAAAATAAATTATATATAGGTATATATAAAATACATACCCACATACACATCATCCCTCAATTACTCCTTCCTGAGGAAAGATATTATACAGTTTACTTTTCTCAAGTAAATCAACAAAAGTGGACAAGTGAGAATCAACTTGAGCATACCTTACTGTTCACAGTCAAAACTCAAGGGCTCTTTGACATGGTCTTGTAGAATGACCTTGAGCTATTTCTCATGTTTCCTTTGTTAACTATAACCAATGCAACATTTAGAGCCACATCTTCTGCAAAATGGACAGCTTATCCCATGTTAACCTTTATTCAATTATTTCTCAGTTAATGCAAGTTCTTAGAACTGACCCTGCACTTCCAATAAGGAGTTCAGAGAGGCTTATTTAATTAAAAGTCTATAAATCACATTTAAAGCCCCGATGAACATTCCTAGAATAATGCAGAGTAGTGATATTATGAATCAAGGCACAGCTACTTTTGTTAATGTCTTATTAGCTTCTTATCATAACAAATCCTATTCAGTGCTACACTGGGATCAAGAGAAGCATTATCTTGGCCTTTGCAGATCACTTCCAGCTAGGGCTGCATTGGTAGCAACTATGTTTACGCTATGGGCTTTGTTCATTTGTTTAAGCAAACGGTGAGTCATATCTACATTTTAAAATAACACTTCTGGAAAATTAGGGGAAGGTAAATAAAATGCCAAGAGGAACTCTGCTCCCGAGTCACTTTTGAAAATAGAGTTCAACTTCAAACACATTTAGGAACCTGGAGAAGAGTACAGCATTTATCTGGGATAACTTCTGGAGTTTTCAATGTACTAAAATTAGCAGGAGATAAATACCTTACTATATTCAAACTATGGTAAATCCTAGCTGATGCCTGCATTTTTAGATATTCTATTACCTTTGAAAATCTGGACAGAATCTTTTGTATTAGCAAACATAAAAAATTAAAAAAAATTAATAAAATCAGTGGGACCAAAGTGTTCGAGTGACAAAAGCATTTCTGAAATGTTCACCTCTAAAAATGGACTTCCAAATATTACAAGATTGGAGGCAGTTATTACTATAAACTAAAGGTAAGAAAAAAAAATAAAGGGAAAAAAGAAACCAAAACAAAAAAAATAAGCCAGCATGCATTGCCCTGGGGACAGGCTTTTAAGACAGCAGTAGAGTCACCAGGAGTTTTTATGGTTTTGAACAGCCCGTCACTACCAAAGCTGTGTGAAATTCCAGGAGAACCTAATGTGGTGTCACCATAAAGACAAAATCAAATCCTCTACCATGAAAACTAACTGAAACAAGATAAAATGGAATCCACCACAAAGGAGGAAGGGGGCACACAGGAATGGAGTGGTGCCAACCATCCACCAGCATTCTAAATTCTGTAGTGTGACCTGACTTCTCTCCAACTTTCAGCATATGCGTTCCTGTTTAAACAGAGCTATGGAAGATTTTGCCGTCTTTAGTTTCCTCAAGTAGTACTCTGTAGATAGTCTAATTCATTTCAGTGGGGCTACAGATGGAATATGTTCATGCTCATGACAGTTAAATATATCATAATGCAGGCCTATTGTGGTAGTTTAGATGAGCTATGCATGCAGGTAAGCATGCCATCCAATTTCATAGTTTTATTACACCAGCATATTGGGCCTCCTACCTTAAAATGGGAGTAAATTATAGCTAAATACTTCACAGAGCAATATAAAGAGATCTGCAGTAAATGGCAGTTGGGATCCATCTGCTTAATTTTGCATGAGTGTTTGTTGCACTTAGTCTTCCATATGCAACTGTCACTGATGGGATCTGCCATATACAAGAGAGGACACAGTACTTAGAGGATCTGCACACACAGGGGAAAAGGTATAATGTAATATCGTTAGAAAATCTTTAATTGTAAAGTCATTTACTGATTCTTAGCGTAAGCAGTAATCTGAAGGTAAAATTAATGCTATATGGGTAATTTTGGTTCTAATGGTTCCAATTTTAAAATTAGAACCTCTTGACTTGGCACAGGCAGCTGATTTACTTCTAACAGTGACCTTTCACCACTGAAATTGTTCAAATTATGTTGATTTCTTTCTTACAGATATTATTTAAGAGGGGAAATAAAAAAAAAAAACAAAACTAAAAAAAATCTAATTCAGCTTATTTACATGCTCTTTTAACCCTCCACTGCTGGTTGTCACAGATACCCTGTCCAGGAGAAGGTAACAGGACATTTTTGACGCTTCCTTTCCCTTTACATGAGAAGCTGCAAAATCTTTACACCGCAAAACAGCAAGAGAATCTCTGCCACAAAGGACTCATAACAGTACAGCCTGAGGCAGGGTAAGGACCTGCAGCTCTCCAGGGTGAGCTGAGGAGACATTCTGCTCAGGACAGCATCTCTCAGATCTCAGCATGCCTTCTCCTACAAGCTGTACAGGTGGGAATATACTTCCACTCTGTGCCAGTTGTCCTCAGGTGGATACAAGGGAAACAGGGGCACAAGCTCTCCACATTACATTCAGGTGGGGGCATCCCAAGCACAGCATTGAAGAAGACCCAGTCTCCATTCCCCAAGTACCACAGCCTGGTAGTAGCCAGGCACTGCTGCTGGCACAGACAACAGGGAACAACCTCACGAGCTATCAACGGCACATTTCTGGAAAAGGAACTGAAATAGCCTCAAATTTCCATTTGATGGGGAAGGCACATATACACAACATGACCATCCTTGGCTATAAGCATAAACCACAGTGAGACATCTATATGCCATATGTTCCCATCAAAATTAAATTTTAAATGCAGTTAAGGCAGCTAATAACAGTGACAGAAAACTATACAAGCGATGAACAAGTTGTAGGTTTTGTGGTGGTTTTTTTTTCAAGACCAGAAACTTCTCAAGTCCCCTTTTATCTCAGGATATTGACATCACTTAACCTAACTTTCTAACAAGTTTCCCTTTGGCCACAGACTAGGCCTACAGAACTTCACTGTGAAGGGCAAGGTCATTTTATAATGCTGTAATGACAGAAAACAGCACACAAAATCACATCATACACAATTCATCAAGGTATAAGCCCACTAACCCTCTGCTGATGAGGATACACATTTAGTAATCCAGAAACAAGAGGGCATTTAGCAGCTCTTACATCAGCATCAGAAACCACAGTGTAAATCCTGACATCCTGGGCAGACATTTCATAGAGTCAGAGAATAGTTAGGATTGAAAGAGACCTTGAAGATCATCTAATTCAAACTTCCCTGCCATGGGAAGGGCCACCTTCCACTAGACCAGGTTGTTCAAAGCCCCATCCAACCTGGCCTTGAACACTGCCAGGGATGGGGCAGCCACAGCTTCTCTGGGCAACCGGTGCCAGTGTCTCACCACCCTCAAAGTAAAGAGCTTCTTTCTAATGTCTAATCTAAATCTTCCCTCTTCAGCTTAAAGCCATTCCCCCTTGTCCTATTCCTACACACCCTTGTAAGAAGTCCCTCTCCGGCTTTCCTGTAGCCCCTTTAGGCACTGGAAGGCTGCCCGAAGGTCTCCCCAGACATCTCATTTTTGTAAAGCTGCACGCCTTTAAGAATGGGCGATGGGGTCTGAGGAAGAAAGCAAGCCCGGGTATGTACTACCTTGTAAAACCGCAACTTAAGCAACTACTCACAGCACCAACACACGATTTCGGAGACGCAGAAATGAAAACCAGCATAGAGCAGAGGCAGATGCAGAAACCCGCATCACCGAAGCGGCGTAAGCACTCCCGAGCACGGCAGAACACCGCCAGCCCCCGCAATGAAGTACCGACCGGCAAAGCCGACCCCAGCCCCGCTAAAACAACGGCGCCCCGCGCCGAGGCCACGCCGTGTGACCGCCGCGCACACCCCGACCCCCCGCGAACCCCGCCGCACCTACCACCGGGCGGGGGCTAAGGGCGACTGCCCCAGCCCCCAGCGGCACCACAGCCCCGTACGGCTGCACTCAGCGCCCGAGGCCGCAGAAAGAGCCGGGACCGGCAGCGCTGCCGGGGCCAGCTGCAGGAAGTGACGGCAGCGCGGCGGGGAGGGTCCTGAGGCGGGCGCGGAACGTCGTGCGCACCCACCGGCGGTGCGGATAGGGTTTGTTCCGCCGTGGATCGGCAGTGTTGCGGGAAGGGGGGTTTCGCAGCCCTTGCACAGGGGACTTTAGGTGGCGTGGGACCCTGTCGTGGCCCGTGTTTTCTCCTCCGCTCCCAGGTACTTCCCGTCTGACTTCTTCTGAAGTGAGCTCACAGAGCCGCACGGCCGTTGAAACACGGTATTTGGCATTACAGGCTAAAAGGTAGTATAAAAGTTGCTCCAAATACTGAACTGTTCGGTCAGATCACACAGTCATAGAACGGTTTGGGTTGGAAAGGACCTTAAAGCTCTTCTAGTTCCAACCACCCTGCCATGGGCAGGGACACTTTCCAGTAGACCTGGTTGTTCAAAGTCCCGTCCAACCTGGCCTTGAACACTGCCAGGGATGGGGCAGTCATAGTTTCTTAGGCAGCCTGTCTCTGTGTCTCACCTCAAAGTAAAGAGCTTCTTTCTAATGTCTAATCTAAATCTTCCCTCTTCAGTTTAAAGCCATTTCCCCTTGTCCTATTCCTACATGCCCTTGTGAAAAGCCCCTCTCCAGCCTTTTTGTAGGCCCCTTTAGGCATTAGAAGGCTGTTGTAAGCTCTCCCTAGAGCCTTCTACAGGCTGAACAAAACAAATCCTAAACTGAGGTTTTGTATAAGGTCATTTAGTGGTCTTTTATTATTTTTTTTTCCTAGCACCTTTTATTTAAGACAGCAGAAATTGCCATTAACCTGTACCTGCATATGTAAACATCTTCAGTTTACTCCCGCTAATCATAGCCAGGGTTGAGTTAATTTCCCCTCAACCACCGACGGCGGCAGCGTTGGCCTCGCCCTCCCAGATGGGCGGCCCTGCCTCAAAGCACAACAGCATCTGCAGATTTTCCCCCATTGCACTGGAACAGGAAAGCACCGAGATGTCTCTGCAAGCTGAAGCTATCACCAAGACTTCCCGGTAGCAATCAGCCAACCCACCCGAGAACCCATTAGTTAGCCACTAATTTTTGTGAGATCTTAGAAAAATTCACATTTATCGGATACATCACTACAGATGGGAATCACAAACCGCTGCAGCTTCCTGCAAGAGCAGCAAACGGGCGTTTCACAGCCGGTGTGTTAACGGGTGACACCGCTGTCGCACGCTCACTGGGGTGAGCTTTGCTGTCACCGGCGAGGCTGGTGCTCCATCGTCAGTCATCTGCAGCAGCTCAGACTGGCCACGGCAGCGAGTCGAGTGTGTGCTGGCCCCGGGCAACGCTTCAAGAAAGAGAATTCTGCTGCGGTGATAAACACCCCTTGGAAAACATGGTGACTGGCCGAGATGCCTCACTCGTCAACCACTCGGGCCACCCCCGCCACTGCCTCAACGCCAGCCCCACTTGTTGCACCTAATGTTGGCTCCCCCCGAGCCCAGCCGTCTCCGCACCCCTAACCCCTTGCCAGCACGGGCCGACGCTTTAAACGCCACCTGACTCTGCTTTCGCACGGGTGAGGGTACTCGCTTGGCGGCCGCTCTCCATTAAAGGGATGCCGAAAGCGCTTACAGTGACTGCATCCCTGTAGCGGCTCAGGTTCTAAGGAAAACTGGGCGTTGCTGGCGATCGTCTGGGAACAGGGACCGGGTGCACAAACCCGTCCTTAATCCTTCTCTGTAGTGCAGCGTAACCGCCATGAGGCGCTTGAAATAAGCTTGCAGCAGTAAGCTGGACAGGCGCCAGTTCGGGGTAGGACAAGCCCGCTGTTCAGAACGCTGGCTTCCAGCCAGGCCACCTCCAGGGCCCCGGTGCCGTAACCGTTCTCACGGGCAGCTGCCGCCTGTGCCTGCGCAGGCCTGGCCGCCCCGCTAAGTGGCGCGGCAGGACACCACGCGAGCAAACCGGAGCACCGCCTCACTGCGCGGTGCCGTGACATCACCCCGCGCCCCCCTCCGGCACTCAAGACGCGACCCTAGCCCCTACCGCTTCTCAGCCGCGCACGCGCGTTGCTTCCACCTACGCTCTGCGGTTGCACTTCCGGCGGGAGACACCATCCCCATCCGGGGTCAGGGCCCCGCTCCCTTCCTGTTATTGCCCGTGCGGGAGGCGGTTCTTTGGGATTGGGGTGGTGGCTGTCGGTGTTGTTTCCGTTCGCGCTCGGGGGCACGGTCGCCAAGCTTAGGGGGTGCAGTGGCGGCTGCAGCCTGGCTCAGGTATTGTGAGTGCTGCGGAGTGCTGCCCAGCCCTGCCCAGTGGGGCTGTGGCTGCGGGCCGGCTCGGAGGCGGAGAAGCCGTGCCTGTGAGGTGAGTGAGGCGAGGGTCGGGGCCGCCTGGCTGTTTCGCAGCACGGCGGTGCTCTCTGGGGCGGACGGGGCCTGCCCAGCAATCTGGCTGGGTGGCGGCCGAGGGGAGCGCCGCTTTTCATTGACTCTAGGGAGTCCCGCTCGTCTTCGGTAGCCGGAGAGGCAAGCGCGGCCCTCGGGTGACTGGGGCGGGCGGTGGGGTGTTCTTCGGCTGGCAGTCTTCCGCCACATCACGGTTTACGGGTCTCCTCTCCTAGAGTCGTAACTTGGAAGAGGAAAAAACAGTGGCTTGTCGCGCTCGAGTGCGGTTCCCTCCACCCCTGAAATGTAGCTGGTTTCTGTAAATATGCTTCAACAGACCTTGTGTTGGGAGTGCATTTGGGGTCACGGTTCGGCTAGTTACTGGCACTGGCAGGAGAGGGTCTTCCCACTCCGTGTGTGTGTTTCGAGCTGCAGCCGACTTACTGTAGTAGTGTCCCATTTCTGCTACCTGTAAAAACGTCTTATTTAATACTATGCAGAGATCTGCCTTTATTGAAATTAAATATGAAACTGCTTTTTCTTACTAATCCTTATGTATTTTCTAGTAGGCTGAATGCTTACAAAACTTTGACCAAGCTAATCCGAACTGCATGCTTGTTTTTCTTCAGGGGTTTTGTTGCTGGTTTTGGTATTCGTGAGGTTAAGATATTGGACTTATTGCATCTGCTGTTGTTACTTACATGTTTCTGTATGTTTTTTTTCTTTCGAATTTTTACTGACTTTAAGAACATGATTGAACAGAAATTATTTATAAGCAGTGTTTGTTCAGAGCTAGCACAAGGAAAATATATGTTTAAAAGTGGACAGTATGGACTATAAATCTTTGCTTAAGTTAATTCTGCAGTCATGAGCATTCTGCAGCAAACTTATAAAAGAATGGAAAACTGGAGTCTGAATCTGGATTCTGTAGTACTTAATAGAGGAAATCTGGACTCTGTTCTGTCAGTTACCTGTACCCTTACATCCTTCCTTTGAGCTATAGCAGACTTTGAAATTCATCCCATCGGATAAAATTAGAACTTTCCCATCATAATTTGAATCATTCCTTGATTTATTCCACATCACAATTAATTTATAGAGCTCTTCTCATGCTTGTTGCGTCAGTTGCTTCCATGCTGCAATTCCATAATGCAGTGTAATAATCAAAGTCCAGCTCTTGTTGTATGTAAATATTGTTAGTTCTTAGTAATATTTCAGTACTTGGGATGACAGACTTTAATGGTTTGTCTGCTGTGAGAAACTGGATAAGCTTTCCTGAAATAAATCTCCATGTGAACCTAAAGTTTCACAGTAAGTTACTTTATTCTCAAAAAGTAATACTGGCAAACTTTTCCATAGTGGTTAGTTATTTGGAAGCCTATTTTGGCCAATGTCATCATGTAGGCAAACAAGGCATTAGCCAAGCTGGTAGTGCTTACAGAGGAATTTATGAAACCACACAATTCCTTATGTGATCCATGAAATATTCTGCTTTTTTATTAAGACAATAAATACAGTGATTTCAGAGCTGCAGTTGAAATTTGATTGGAGCAGATACCCTGCATTTCATGGGTGTTAACTTGATGCCCTTAGCAATCTGGAGACAGTTTTATGTTGTTTTCCAAAGCATGCTAAGCCTAATGTACAAGTCCATACCTTCAGTTGTTCAGCTGCTTCGGATTTTTGTGTTAGGCCAGATTTGTTTTGCTGCTTGTTGCGTGAATAATGACACCGTTATGTGTTTTGTTTTTTTTCTGGACTATTCTTTGGGAAAGGTGGTGTAGCTGGGCTGTTTACAAAGCAATTTTGCTTTATTGGAAGTCATAAAGTGGTTCAATACTTAGTTAACTGTTTCTTTGACCATCAGGTCATTCCTGCATTCTGGAAGCAAATGGATACTTCTTATTGGCTAAATCACTTTTTAAAAGCTGCTTCAGAATAGGAATTCCAACAAGCAGAGGGTTCACACTTTATCCTCATGCTGTCTCACAAGACCAAGTATATAATAAGAGGTTTCCAGTTATTGGAAGAAAAATCACACCTTTTAAAGATGTTATTGCATAAAGAATGACTTTGTGCTCACAGTAGCTCCTCGGATTCAAATGCAAATTGTGCTTTTTAATGGCTTGGTCATATGTAATACAACTTTGAGAAGGCTTGATTATCATCGTAACTTGAATTTCTTGCAGAGTTAAAATTATCTATGAATGGATGGACAAGAAGCTTAAGGCTGAAATTTAGTCTGCAAAACAGTATTTTCTTAAAAATTTTGTACACAGCAGGTCAATCCATTATGTAGTCTCCAGGACTTCTGGTACAGATTCTCTGGGAAGCAGGAAAACGCAGGTATCTGAACACCTTGCAGGTATCAGTCACTTCCAAATAAAAAATGGTTGCTATTGCTTTTCTTGCCTGTTTTGGGGGACAGGAAATCTGGGGATGATACATTAATTCCACATCATGCAAGAAATACTAGATCTTGTAGGTGGTTATCGTACATGGGTTTGCTTTGCCTTGTTGAGTACATTAATGAAGACAAAGATTGCAGTTAATAGGAAGCTTAAAAAAAATGTATTTGGGCTAGGGAAGGCTAATGGAATTTTTAACATTGATACTAATAAGGAAGCTGATTCTTATGATTTATAATTGGAATGGGAATAATACTACAAAACTAGGCTTTCTAGTTTAGTTATAGAATACCATTATAAAGTTTTGTGATTACTGAAAACTGTGTGGGATTTGATAAATCTCCCAGTTGAAGAAAAATATGCCATTTGCGCATTTTCTTGTGCGTGTGTGATTGAGTTGAAGGGGCAGCATTAGAGAAAGAAGAGTTTGTACTTTGACTAACTGAAGAAATGGACTTGTGGCTTGGAGTGTATGCTCAGGTAGAGTTTGTTGTTGGTTTGTTTTGTTTGGGGTTTTGCAGCTTTTTATGCATTGTGTTGCATCCTTGCTTGTGGGAGCTTTGTCTCATCCTTTTAAACAGCCAGACATCAGCTGCTCCAAGTGATGATATCTGTCTGACATTGTAGCTGTGGCTAGAAGAGGCCAAAAAAATATTTATGCTAAAACTGGATGGAAAATTTCATTTGCTGTTTAAGTTGAATATGGTAAATGAAAGAAAAATAATACCTGAAGTATTAACTTCTTTTTTCCTGCAGCACCGCTATAGTATTAACTTAAAAAAAAAAAACAAAACAAAAAACAAGCCACGAAACAAAACAAAAAATCCCACACACATCAAAATGGCAAAAAAAACCAAACCCAAAGTGGGCCCCTCCCCCCCAACAAACAAACAAAAAAATTGAGCCCAAAACCAAGCCCAACTGAGGGATAGAGGGGATTAAACTGTTTTAAAAAAGCTAAGAAAATAAAAAGGGGGTGGGGTGGGAAATGACCCTTTTATAAATCCTGTAATGTAACTTGTGGGCAAATGGAAATGCAGCAGGCTGAGTACAGATTTTGTAATTCTGGATCTGTCTTCACAGTCTAAGCAGTAGTTAATATCTTTGCAGCCATTGTGTTTTATTTTATATAGCATGCTTTTACACTTCAATTCTAGAAAATCTGGGGTTTTAGTTTATTCTGGATGCAGGTTTTTCGAAATGCAATTTGAAAAGCTTGTGTATTTCAAATAAGGAATGTGAGGGATAGTGGACACAATCACTTGTTTGAGAGTTCCCATTTCTTAAGGCCTGTGAAAGGGAATAAAAGCAGTGAATTATGCCTGCTAAGTACACTTGCTGGAGATGTTTATAGTCCCTTTTCTTTTAAACAAACAAACAAAAACAAAAAGCAACAAACAGAAAAAACCTAGAAAGCAAACCTGTGTTCACATACCTCCAGAAATGTAAAAACAAAATTCAAAGAAACTAGCTTACCATTGTGAAATTGAAGGGGAGAGAATGATGGAGTACTGGTGAACCTTTCATGTCCCTGGCATGTTGCTAACTTGCAGCAATAGAAGTAAATGACTACTTCAGTCTAATTTAAGAAGTTTGGGTCAAACATAGAACTTAAGGTTCATTGGTCTCTTGTTTCATGTGCCATTGCTTTTTACCAGTAGAAGATTAGATATACCTTGATGATTGTGTTCTGTTGTTTGAGTTTTTTGTCTACCCATTAACGCGCTTCCTTAAACTAACTTATGTAGGGAAATTTTTGTAGTTTTGCTTACAGCTTCTGATTGTAGAAATGCTTGTAAATGTAGCTTTTGAGGATTGTGAACTACAAAGCATATTTGCTGAATACAGGAGACTTACTGAATTGACTAAGACTTACTGTAAAGTTCCCTGGAATTTTGAGGCAGCTGAGTCACACTATTGGCTGTACATTGTGACCCTCTTTGGCAAAGAAACATAAAGAAGAAGCAAAACTGGAAGGTTGTCTCCAAGATTGTACATGTCAAACTTATCTGTCATTGAGACTTAACTGTTTTTGTTATTTCCATTCTAATTAGTCAGTCTTTTGCCAGTCCTTAATGTGGCAGTTAATGGTGATGAATGACTCTTGCCCAATGTGTTCCAAGACTGTTCCTGACTTTTAACTCTTGCTGTTAACTTGGGTTATGGTTTTTCCAGAAGCATAGAATTTTTTGCTGAGATTCATTTTATTGTATCCTAAACTATCAGCTCCTTAGCTGTGGATCCTTGCAGAGGACACTAAATCTGTTCAGCAAAAAATTACCCCTTGTTGCAACCATATTCCTTCTTTTAGCTGTTAGTAGTCACCAAAGAAACGAGCTCTTGAAAATCCTCAAAATGCAAGAAGCCTTGCACATTACTGAAAAGAAAATACTCGGGATTTAGCATTTCATCTGAGACTTATCAACCCGAAGAAGAAATATTTGGCTGTTCTGCAATATCAGTCGACTAGAACAAAATTTTCTTTACCTTGGGACTTTGACATCTGACTTGCTAGAAAAGTGGTGAGACTGATCTCTGCAAAGATCAGTAGGCAAACTAAACACTGAACACTTGAAAATGCAACCACAAAGACAGTAAGAAGGGTCCTTAAAGATTGGCTTACCAAGCAAGTAGAGTGGAGATTTTGTTCTTGGACTCAACAAATATGCTTTGTGTGATGAGGCATGTTATGATCCAGCTTTGGTGCTTGTGCCATTAAGTTACTTTTCATTAAGGCTGGAAAACACTAATATGACTCTTGACTACAGGCATAGTTTAAAAGATTAAAGTTAATAGTGCTAGCATAAGGAGAAGTTTCTAAATAGAGCTAGCTTCCTTTGGGAAAAGGGAAGTAAAAACCTCCATTCCAAATACTCTAAAATATGCTTGTTGTGGTCGTTGAGCTGCTCATATTTTAAAGCATATCACTTCATTGTTGTCTTAATGTTCCCAGCTGTTAACAGAATAATCGGCAAATGTTGTAGCTGGATTTTGAAAATGAAAGTGATACTATCAAATTGTTTTTCTGCCTTCTGAAAGTTTATATGGATATTGAGCAATGAGTTCTGCTTATCAGTTTATCAAGGTAGTCTCCGCTGGTAGGAGGAAAGCAATTAATATAGTTATTTTATCATCTTGCAATTTCATGCTGTTGCGTCTGAAACCTCCTTCAGTTCTGACGTTAAGTGCTGTAGAAGAGTGCTTGTCCCAAGAAAAGAGCTAATGTTTAAAGAACATCTGGACATCTTGGATAGTCTTGATTGTGGTGTATAGTTGAGGATGTGTCCAAATAGGGTGCCTGTGAGTGCCACTTTAAGTCTAGCAAGTTTGTTGCAAAGAAAATATTTACAATTAATTATGTTTGTGTTTTGGTGTAAAATAGTAATACGTGAAATTGAAATGCTGTCATTGTAGATGATAAACATAATCAGTTATGTGAATTTTTATAAGTGGTAGGTAGTTAAAAGAAAGCACTTAAGGTTTACCCTCTCAATTAAAATGTTAAAATTTAACTGGTTTTCTCATGTTTACCAAGGTTGTGATTAATAAAATTCTAATAACTTGGCTTCCTCTTCAACTTTCTCTGAAATGGAGGATAGAGCCCTGATGTTGTTATCACTGCTTAGCAGTACTCCCTTGATCTTAGATACCTCCGACTTGGAATGGTTTGACGTTTGGGGAAAGATGGCATAACTACTGCCAATAGATAAAGGATGAAAGCGGAAGCCAATGAGCAACAAACAGCAGAGATGATGCATAAAGAAAAGGGTAGCAAAACCTACTCCTGCCTGTGGAAACTCTTTGTAAATGTGTTGTCAGATTACTTTGCAATTCAGCTCTTGAACTCCTCTTTAATCACCTGTTTCCAAGCCTTTCATTGTACATCAGCAGATAGGATAGCACCACAAGCAACTTCAAGGCAATATGAGAAGTAACTATTATTGTAGCTTCTCATCTCTTTCTGTCCTTGTATACAGGTAGGTTATTTAACAACAAAAAGGTGATTTACAATATAGTCACCCTGCCCTAACTGGTGGGTTTTATGGGTTGAAGTTAAATCCAAAACACTTAAGCTTTTGTGGTGTTCTGTTCTGTCCCAGAGCAGACTTAAAAGTGATTTCAGTCTTTTGGAACATACATACATAAAAAACATGAACAAAATGTTTCCAGAGGACTATTAAAATGGAAATGTATTAAAAATACTTCCTTGTTTGTGCAGATGTTTAAAGTTCTCTTAATAGCAGTGACTGACTACTGCTGGTATCTTTCTGATCTTTTTTTTTTAAATGAAGATCGTCTTAACATATCCCTTTTACAGAGCTCTGATTATAGTAGTAGGCAGCATGTGTCCCTAGTCTCAGTGTTTAATCTGGATATGAAGGTGACTTTCCAACCTGGGAAATTATTGTGGAGATGTTGATGTTATTCACTGTTTAAATACTTAGGAGCTTATGTCACTTTCTTCTTTGGAAAGTTCATGTTAATTACAAACATTATCCGTTTAGGCAAATATTAGCCATTTCTTTCAGATGTAGTCAACACAATTGCTGGTACTCTGACCTCATTAAAGAAACAATTTAGGTAACAGCTTGAAGTACAGGAAAAAGAGATGCACTAACAACAAGGTTAATGTCTGGGTAGCCCCACACTAGAAATGGTGCTTCTCTGTTTGCACAACATAAGGTTTGCAAAGCAGATGCTTCTAACAGATATGTACTAAAATGATAAATATTTCATTAAACATGCTGAAGAATCATTTGTCACAGTTTACCATAGCTGTTTTTATACTTCAGGCTGAAGCATGCAGTACCTAATGACATACACAGTCACAGTGAATCATGTTTGTTTGCACTTCTTGAACACAAATGCAAATATGTTAGTGTCTCAAGTCATGACTATTGCTTTGGCATTCAGCTATAAATGCAAAGTCCTACTCAACCGGAGTCAATAGCTAGAGCAAGAATAAACCTACATACCTTCAGGTTTCAGAGGAACTTTGTGGGTTTTGTAACGTTTATGCTTGCTTTTGTAACAGTTAAGTATGCTTACAAAATCAGTAACTCATTCAACAGTATTGTTTCGCATAGAAGGCTGGGTTTCTGATGGGTTGGGAGCAATACAGCTGAGTGATCTGTGACCTTCAGGGTGATGAAACCCGATGGGAGCATGCAGTGGTGCTGTTTTGCAGGTGAGTAGTATCCCACTGCTGCTCTGTTAAGTTGGTGTGCAGGGTAGGCAGGATGGGGGAAGATAAACGTTTTTATATTTTATGGAAAACTGTTGGTGCTTAACTTTCAGCAGGTTATCATCTGCTAAATGAATATTTAGTTAATCACTGTTGACTGTATCACAAACAAGTCTGCTAGGAAGTGGTACTTCATTATTTCTGACTCTTGAAAAGCCATGGTATTTTCTTGTTGCAATTACAGCTCATGTAGAAGTAGGACTTGTTCACCTGCTGTCTTATTCCATGTGTCTTTGCGTAGGAAAACTTGCTAAGAACATTAACTTCACCTCTTTATAGTGCAAGAGTATTTAGCTGCCAGATTGAAATTTTTCATTATGGTGGCTGTGCCTTTGTGTTAACTCCGCCACAAACTTCTTTCTCTCAACAAATGGATTAAAAAGGGAGTTGAAAAAAAAGAAAAAAAAGCCAAACCCAGAATTGCTTCCACGCTGCTTTCATGGCTTTTGCTGAGGGATGTGGTTCCTTACAAAAGCTCTATCAAAAGTGAAGTTGCATCCCATCCTCTCTTTACCAGTAAATAGAAGAGAATGATTTTTTGCTAATGGAATTCAGTATGTCTATGCAGACTAAACCCGTACATCTATTCTGTTTGGCTACAGAAGTCAGTTAAGATGGAATAAACAGAAAGCGAATTCATATTGAGACTATGGAATAGAAACTTCTGTCTTTCAGTTCACTGTTTTTTACTTAATATTGAAAATCTGCAAAACTGTAAAAATACTGCTATCCACTGCCACTCAAACTTCTTTTATTTTTACACACATTAACTGCTTTCAGGGTCTGGAGTAATTTGGTACTGAAGAAACCTTTTGTTTCAATTTAAAGTTGCTGTCAGACTCCATCCTAAGAAATGTTCTGTGGGAAGTACACAGTATGCTGTAAATCAGAGTTTGATGTCTTTTACCTGTTTTGAAAAAAGGGAAGGGCTCACAGGAGTGGGTCTTTTAAGTAAAGATGGATGTAAATTAATAAGCAGAAGTGGGCCTAATCTCAGTCATGTTTTCTTAATGAACACATTTCTCTGTGCCTTCCATCCAGAGGAGCTGGTCAAGTTTATGGTGTAGATTGAACCCTCTTGTTACTGTTGGTTGTGGTAGAGAGGCAAGCATAGAAGTGTGAGGACTGCAGTGCCTCCTGTGTTTCATTGCAGTTCTTTCCCTGCCGTTCTAGGTGTGGACAGTAGGAGAGGAAATCTCTGCTCTTTTTCAGTAGAACTGAAGATTGATCTTGCTGCAGCAGAGGGTTACCTCTGAAAGCCAAGGTGACATGCCTGGGGGAGATCAGCACCAGGAAAGGTCCAGTATCTATCTGAATTACAGATCTGCTACACAGCTGCTCATGTTAGATGAAGATTCAGACTAGACCAGAGTGCGGAACACCTGGATTCACTCTGCTCAGGCTCCTTGTCTGTGTGCCAGCCCTTCCTGTTTTTAAAGATCCTGTTTACTGTCTGTGTTCCAAATATCCCAGGAAGGTGGGAGGATGGGAAGAAACAAGGAAAGAAAACAACCTTATTTAAGGTGGAAATTTATTTTTATATATAGTCAGCATTTGTTACCTATCTAATCTAATTTCATGAATGACATTCTAGGGTAACTTTTTTTTTAAATATATAATCTTACACTAATTTCCAAAAGCAGACTATTTCTGCATGTGAAAATTGACACTGAAGCTCTTAGTATTTGTAGCAAGGAGCAAATACTGGTGTGTGGTGTGTGTTTTTTTTATTTCACATTCTTTCTGATGTTCACATAAAAAATGTTTATCATCCATATAAAATAGAGTATGTAATCAGAGGAAAACCTTACTTCTGTTGGTATGAAATACTGTTCTGAATTTTGCTAAACTTTAAAGCTTTTGAAGACCTTGAAAGAATTCTGAGTGCTGCGCAGTATTTTTCAGAGTGCACACTTAGCTGTGGAGGACCAGCTCCAGCCAGAGCCAGGCAGGAGAGTAATTCTCATCCTGCTACACAGCAAACCAAGCTAATTGTTGAAATAATGAATAAGCAGATATGTGAAGTGTAAAGAGAAAATGTGTTGGTTTTGTAATTTTGTTGTACTTCATGACTACTAGTCTTCTAGAAATAATAAAATCCTTTCATTTAAGATGAAGCTAGAATTATGGAATGTTTTAGAACTAAAAGGAAAATTTAATTCCAGGGTTTCCTTTGTTAACAAAGAAGAAAAAAAAATCCGCCTTAAAGTGGAAGAAAATGTTCTAGGACAGGCATTCTGCTCTTGATATGTCATGAGATCCCTGGGGAAAAAGCACCATCACAGTGGGAGTTGTAGAGGTCACCAGCAACTTGCAAATGTTTCTTTCTCGTGATCCTGTTTTCATGGTTCCCAGATAGTGAGTGAAGCTATAAACATTATGCCTGCATGGATGGGGGAGGGCAAGCAAAGGGATTTGAAAATGGGAATTTACAAAGGTCTTTTGGTTTTCTTGGATAAAAAAATAAAAAAATCCAGCAGTAGTAAATCTTTTTAGATTGTTCAGCTTGGTTTTGTTTTAGCTGTTTGATTCTGTATTCTTTTCAGCAATCGATAACATAGAATTGCCCAAGAGGTTTTATATGTATATATGTAGTGCGTTCTTTTTTTCTTTTCAGTATGACCACACCATTAATTTTATTCATGGTTGTCTGAAAGTCACTACAACCAGAATCCAAGAACATTATATTTTAAAACAAACAAAGTCTGCTTGTAAGATAACTTCAAAGAAAACAGCATTGAAACATAGCCAACCCATGTTCCCTTGTCTAATAAAACTGAAATTTCTTTTCACTAATTTCCACTGAGATTTAATATTCACAGGGAAGAATAATTTTGTATTTTTGCTGTACTATAATTCTATGGATGCTACCAGTAATGTTTTTGGTTTTTTGCTCTGTGTAGAAGAAGACAAAGCTACTCAGCACTGTTTTGCAGGGGGGAAGAAGTAGGTAACTACAAATAAAATAGATTGTGTTTGGAATACTTGCCTGTTTCAGAAGGAAGCTAAATGCTATTAACACTGTCAAAAACACATCTTAAGTCCTTCTGTTTGTTTCCGTTGAGCTGCTGTTTGTGGTCAGATAAGCAATTCCATGTATCTGAGCCTTTTCTGTGAAATAATGACAGTAACACATAAGAAATAAGATGACAAAACTGCAATACAAGAGTCTGCTGTTTCTGTTCTAAACAAAGCAGTATTTCTGCTTTTTAAATCTGTGTGTAGTAATGTTTTCATAGAAGACAATTTCAGACCTCTTTATATCCACTTCCTGTATTTTGGCAAATTGCCAGCTTGGCAGTCAGGAAGAACAAAAGTACAGTATTGAAGATATCTAGTCTGGGGCAGTCTTACTGTCACCACACAGCAGGTTTGGACAGCAGCAAAATTAAACAGGCAATTCTGCCCAGTTTTCTTTATGGTGAGTTTTGGAATGCATAGTGTGTCTGAAGATGAGAATAAAACATTTTGCTCTTTAGAGAGTTTCAGTGTATCTTTCATTCTGAAAAGTGTTACTCTTGTCCCAAGAATCTTTTTATGTCCTCCCTCTCCCTTTTGTTTCAGGAATTGCACAGAAGTTTAAAAAAAAGCTTATTTGGGGATATACCTGTGCCTGATACTGTTGGTTTGATAGAGCATTAAGAAAACTATAAAACCTACATGAGTGCTCAGTAAATCAAAATCTATAAGCACAGCTAGATTGTTTATTGAGTAGAAGGCACTTTCTTAAAGTAATGCTAAGAGTCTAGAGTAAACTTCTGCATGGAAGAGAAATCAAATCTAGACACAAATCCTCATGAGCAGCTCTTTGGTACCAAAGATACATCAAATTATAAAATGTTGCTACATCCTGCCTCTAAAAGCAATGTAATGATATTTGTGCTGTGACTGGAGAAAGTAATAGACTTCAGTTAAACTGTTATAGTTTACTGAATGACTAATTCAGTTTCAGATACAGACTGATAAAACTGAGTGTTTAGTCTATCATTTTGAATTGATTTTGAAACACTAGCTGATGTTTATAGCAATGCAAAATTATTCAGCTCTCAGTCACTGAAATGCTTACCTCTTTACATAAGCAATGCCACACGTTATACATGTAACGCAGCATTACAGCGCAGTACACTTCTGCTTCTTGCTTCCTTCTGTGCTTGCTAGATTTCTTGCTAGTTGGCACATTATAGGTGGAGGAATTTGCTTTTTGCAGAGCCTGACCAGTAACTGTAGGTGCTTGTGCTGATGACCGACAACCTTAACAATGTCTGGTAAAGTGAATAAATTTTTTTCCCTCTGGACTGGCCCACAGATGTTCACTATGGGTCTTTATCTGCTTTATAATGCTAGATGGAGTTCCTCTCTTTGGTGAACATGCTCAGAGGTAATTGACAAAACAGGGTAAGAAGCCTGTTAATTGTGTTAACAGTTAAATCAGTTAACTGCGGTTTTAATATATAATATGTTAGTGATGGAGAATGTGCTGAATGGATCAGGAAGGCTGAAAAGAATGTGGATTTAATCAGTGAGTGTTTTTTGAGTTCAGCCTTTCTTATCATCTTGTGGTATTACAGAATCATAGTATGTTTTGGGTTGGAACCTAGCGATCACCTAGTTCCAGCCCCCTCTTCTGTGGGCAGGGACACTTTCCACTAGACCAGATTGTTCAAAGCCCCATCCAGCCTGGCCTTGAACACTGCCAGGGATGGGGCTGCCACAGCTTCTCTGGGTAGCCTGTTCCAGGTCTCACGACTCCCAGCAAATAATTTCTGCCTAATACCTAGTATAGATCTTACTTCTTTAAATTGATTCCCCTTTGTTCTATCCCTAAATACCCTTGTAAAAGGTCCCTCTCCAGCTTTCTTGCTGGCCCTCTTCAGGTATTGGAAGGCTGCTCTAAGGTCTCCCTGGAGCCTTCTCTTCTGCAGGCTGAACAAGCCCAACTTGCACAGCCTGTCGCCTTGGGAGAGGTGCTCCAGCCCTCTGATCATCTTTGTGGGCTCCTCTGTACTTGCTTAAATAGGTCCATGTCCCTCATGTTGGTGACTTCAGAGCTCGATGCAGTAATCCAGTTGGGATATCATGAGTGGAGTAAAGGAAGAGAATCCCCTCCTTTGATCTGCTGGCTATGCTCATTTTGATGCAGCCCAGCATAGGGTTGGCTTTTTGGGCTGCAAGCGTACATTGCCATGTCATGTTGAGCTTCTTGTTAAACCAGCACTCCCAAGTAACCACACAGCTTGGCATAATTGGCAAACTTGTGAAGGTACGCTCGATCCCGCTCTTTGCATTGCTGGCAAAGATGTCAAGGAGTGCTGGTCCCAGTACCAACCCCTGAGGCATGACAGTTGTCACTGATCCCCACCTGGACATCAAGCCATTGATTGCCACTCTTTGAGTGCAACCATGTCTCACCAATTTAGAAATGTGGATGTTGCATGGGACAGTGTCAAATGCTTTGTACAAATCCAGGTATCCCAGAGCTTTTGGCAGAGGAAAACAGTTTAAGGTGGTTTTGGAAAGTATGGGATTGTAGGTGTGGTGTAGTATTTATTTGAAGTGTTTGCATGTACTCTTAGTGGGATTTAAATAACATTTCTCTTGAATTCTCTTACAGTCCTTCTACTGTCGAAGAACATAATTGATTCTATTTATTCCAGGCAGCCTTCCAGGTTTGAAAGTGTACACAGAAACACAAGCTGCCAACGATACTTCAGAACAGTTCTGTTTACATTTTTGCTTTCCAAATCTAAACCCTGGAGGCGTGCTTACATATGCAAGTAAAATGAATGTGCACACAGAATGACTATATGCACCATTCCGGCATGTCTGTACCCCAGTTCAAAACAAGAGCTGCTGTTTTGTTGCAGTTGCTCTAAAAAGATTGTAGGTTTTGGACCGTTTACAGGTCTTTAAGTGAGTGGTATTGAGTTGTCATTTAATGTGTGAAATACTTAAAAAGCCAAGGTTGACATTTATTTTGAAAAGATACTTGCCTAAAAGGATTTAATACACGCATATGTCACCTAGTCCTGCCTCTGTTTTTTTTTTGTTTGCAATTATTGGTGGGCATGGAGGAAGAACTTGCAGTGGCTCAGACTACATTCCTAGAGCTGAACTAGCTCAGGACTACTGCAGTCATGCTCACTCTCCTGTGCAGACCTTGGCATTCATCTGACTCAATAAGGCAGCTAAAACAGCAGAAGCTAGTCCAGAAAGGAGGAGTAGTTTTCTGCCACTTTAATCCATTGGACCCTGTAACGAGCTGGCTCCAATGCCAGCATGATGAAGAATGAGAACACATGCCTTGGGCAGGGAGAAGATGGGTTCTTAAAACTGTCAGTTCAGAGGAGCCTCAACAGGATTGTAGAACTGAACTTAAAAGACTGATGGTATAAACTAGTCTGTGTTCTGAATATTTAGTTTGATTGTGGTCCATCTATGTTATCATTGTTTGTATGTCTGGACAGAAAAGTTCTTATGACTGCATGTTCTTGTTTTGTTGTTCTGTTTTTTTTTATGCCTGTGTATGTCTTAACAGTAATGTGTTTCTGCCAATGCTTGTAATTAAGAAATATAAATAAGCATGTGATTCAGCAGAATTAAGAGGGAGTTGTGTTCATGCTTTGCCTGATCAAAAAGATGCTATTTAATCCTTTGTGTATTTCTTTCTATCTGTAAACTGAGGATAGTTATCAGTAATTCAGAATTCTCCCAAGTTACTCTAAATGGTGTTATGTGGGTTCATTTGAAGTGTTTTGTAATTGATAAGCTTTCTAAGTTTTTCTCTTTACATGCACCGTGAGTGTGCTTGGAACTTTTAGTTTCAGCTTGAAGCTTTCAGTTTCCGCTCACTAGAACTAGTAGAATAATGAGGAAAATTAAACAGCTTAAGCTCTTGTTAAAAAAGTCAGTTGCAAAGACCTTGTAAATATGCATGAAGTGTTGGTGGAACAGCACTTTTCTAAACTTGCAGTGGCACTTCAGTACTCTTGTTGATGTTTTTAAAAGCCCCAAATCCAACTATAAAGGAGGGATTAATAAAGACAAACCTATTGCTACTCAGAGTTGCTTAAGAAGCAGTAGACACTTTCATTCTAACGTTTGGGTTTTTTTTAAGAACCAAAATGGGGCAAAATCATGTACTGGATGTACTTGGAAAAAAATTCAGAAAATAAGCACAAAGGCATAGAAGTGCAGAAATGGGGATAATTTTTTTTTTTTTACATACAGACAATGTTTAGACATTTATAATTTTATTTATATATACGTTATCTATTTTTAAAAATTGTTCAGCAAAGGGCAAACAGCATTCATTGTCTTTCCACAGTGAGAGCTTGCAGAAAGTTGATGAAACAGAAAAGATGTGAAGCTTTTGATTTGGATTTTTTCCTCCTTTCTGTTACTACAAAAAGAAACTAAGGCAGAGCAGAAGTCCTAAGAGGGTTCTTGACTAAAAAGGTGACTAAGAATGGCTTTAGTATAATAGTCTGGTATAGCCATGTGTTTTCGTGACACTTGCTTAATGGAGGAGGCATAATGGATAATGGACTGTTCTTTACAGGTCTGTTGGTATTATCCTCTCATAATGTACATGCTGAAGTTAATGAAATTATTGTCTAAGTGTAAGTAATGCACTGTTTGAGATTTGCTTAATGTATAATGGTAACTTTGTGGTAAATTATTCTGCAATGGGAGCTTAAATATGCAGTATTTAAGTATGCAGTTCAGCAGAAATGTCCTGCCTTTCTGACTGTCACTGAGCAGCAACTACTTATTTGGAAAGCGGTAAAAAATATGTCACTGTGTAAATGTGTGCTCAGTTTGTACCTTGAATGTGGCCTGGAGATATGGTTGTTCCCGATCTGCATTTGCATCATGCAAAAAAGGGCATGGTAAATATGGAAGAGGTACAAAGAAGGTGACAAAAATTAACAAAAATATAGAAAGACTTTTGGGCAGAGGAGGGCTAAATAATCTGGGATTATTATGGAAAAGAGGTAGTGGGGAAGACTTCATGGATTGCAATAAGATTAAGAGCAATGGATGCAAAGATAAGGAACTTGGTTTCTTTACAAGATATCTGGGATATCAGGTGAAAGTAACAGGCTTCAGAACAATGAAAAGCAAATACATTGTAACATGGAATGTTAGTCACTTTTGTCACAGGATGCCAGCAGTTTGTGTGTGAAAACTTCCTGATCAAACTCAGTAATTCCTGATGGATTTCTTTCACAAATACATACATGTTGTCTCTGGTTAAGGAAATGAAGACTATGTAGTGATTAGGGGAGTTTACTGATGCAGTATCACTGTGTTCCTGCCTAGTTCTTCTGCTCTTCATTTGGCATCTGCTCTTGGCTGCTGGTCTACAAGACCTCTCTGCTTTGTCCAGATACAGTTTTCTTGTACCTACTCAAGGCTGGCATAAGGCAGCACTGCTAGAAGGTCAGACACGTGTTCCGCTCATTTCCTTTGGCTTCATAAAGAAATTAATGTGGCTGCCAAAGGGAACTAGAACAGGGAACTGATCCTAAATAAAACAAGTTCAAGCAAAGAGTGTTAATGGAACTCAGTTCTTCTGTCTCATTCATGGAAAAATGGGGTTTTTGCTGGTGTAAGTAGTTTATAGTGATAATTCCAAAATAAAAATGTGAAGAATTTGGTTTGAGTTCTGCTTAAAATTTGCTGTAATGTGAATCTTTGACATTTTCATCCTCCATGCTATGTAAGTGTTCTACTTATAAATTATAAAATTCAGTTAAAAAAATGATCTTTTTTGAGACCATATGAATGTTGGCTTTTTTTTTTTACAAACTCTTTTGAGTAGATATTTACATCAAATATATGTTCCTTAGAAATCAGTTTCATCAAGTACTCTTCCTTATGAATGTAAACTATAGCTATGAATATTTGTCTACAATTATAAGTGGTGTTTGAATAATTTTATCTGAAGTGCCTTGTGATGTTAATATTTTAAATTTTAATATTTAAATATTATTTTTACTTAGGTTTATGCCTATGAATCACTGCTTGAAAAACTTCCCGTACGAAGTTATCTAGGGACTTAAAAATGCCTCCACGACCATCATCTGGTGAACTATGGGGCATCCACTTGATGCCACCGCGGATCCTTGTGGAGTGTCTTCTCCCAAATGGAATGATAGTGACTCTAGAATGCCTCCGTGAGGCCACCTTACTAACTATTAAACACGAACTCTTTAAGGAAGCAAGAAAATACCCTCTCTATCAGCTCCTTCAAGATGAATCATCTTATATTTTTGTAAGTGTTACACAAGAAGCAGAAAGAGAAGAATTTTTTGATGAAACACGGAGACTTTGTGACCTGCGACTGTTTCAGCCTTTTCTAAAAGTTATTGAACCAGTAGGTAACAGAGAAGAAAAGATTCTCAATAGAGAAATAGGTGAGACTATCTTTAAACATAGCTAATCTGTTTAACTGGATTTTCCTCTTCAACATACAGAATGAAGAGTTGAAATGGTCTGTGTTTGTCACTTGCATCTGTCAGTTTGCATTTCATAGCTATCAGTTGTTGCATCAGATTTCCAAGGATGCTGATCATAGTAAAGCTGACATTCATAAACTGTGAATTAAACTATTTTTTTACTATTCTGTTTAATTCACATGTAATGTCATTGCTTTGTATGTATTTGTGAGTGTATCTGGGTTAGGGGACAAACATATCCACACACATTTAGTTGCTAACAGATGTATATGGCAATGGTAGAGACTTGTCAACTGGAAATACTTGTTCTGGGGTGCTTCTAATTGTTAAATTATTTAATTGTTATGAATTCATTGTACGTAAACTACTTCTGTTTTGTAAAGCTTAACCTGTTCAGGACTTACTGGTTAGCTAACCATGCAACAGGACAGTTGAAAGTTTTCATTTGAACATTCATGCATAAATAATTATTTATGCAAGTAATCTTATTAAAGTAAATGGAATTACATCTGAGACTGAGGACCTGAGAGAAATGTGCTCCTACTGCATGAATCTGTGCCAAAGAGCTTAAGTTCGGTGCCTCTTGGAGTGCTTGTCACATTTTTTAAAAGTGTAGCTCATTAAAATAAACTGAATAGCCGGCATTCAGTTGTAAGCAAAGTTGATTATGGTCCTAATAGCTACCAGTAATCCTGCTAGGATTTTAGGAAGAAAAACCGGACCTCTCTTGTCCACTTAAGAAACTTCGTGCTGACTTCAGAGGAAATTTATTAGTGATTCTTTTCCTCCAGGAGGAGCGTTAGCTGTGAGAGTGCTGATTTAAGGATCTTCCTTCAGTGAATGTACACCTGTTTTCCAACCCTTTGTGACTGCTAAGTGCACTAACTTTAGAACCTTTTATTTTCCTTTAGAGACAGAAAACAATTATGTATAAAAGTAGAAGCCAGTAGTTAACACAAATATTTTAGGTTGTGTTTTGCTTAAAGCATGCTTTTTGTGTCACTGATGAAAAGAATCTTTAGCTTTAATTATCAGTTACAATTATTTCCTCATGCTGCTTTAATGCTGTAGGTTTTGCTATTGGAATGCCTGTCTGTGAATTTGACATGGTTAAGGATCCAGAAGTACAAGACTTCAGAAGAAATATTCTTAATGTTTGTAAAGAAGCAGTGGATCTTCGAGATGCCAATGCACCGCATAGTAGAGCATTGTATGTCTGTCCTCCAAATGTAGAGTCTTCACCTGAACTACCCAAACATATATACAATAAACTAGATAAAGGTAAGATAAATATTTACAGTAAAGGGTTATTTTCAGTGATTGAAGTAAGAGTACAGGTGGTTACCTAGGTAACTTCAGTAAATCACTTTTATGTAGACTTCAGCAATCTTACACCTTAAGTTATTCAGAGTAACTTGCTTGATAGAATGTAGTTTCAAAAGGGCGACAACATTTAAAACTACATTTTTGTTATTATGACAACTAAATCTTCATAGAATCATAGAAAAGTTTGATTTGGAAGGGACCTTAAAGATCACCTAGTTCCAGCCCACATGCCATGGGTAAATAGAGATGATTTTTTCTTTTTAATGGACAGAAAGAGCTTGTTGGCTTTGCTTTTTTTTTTTTTTCTATGACATTCAGAAATCTGGAATTAAATGGTGCTAAATCACTAAGTTATCTTGCAGTCCTCAAATACGAAAGTTACTGCTGTTTTCTTGAAGATTAAGTAGTCAAGAGTATTTGGTTAATTAAGGTATACTTAACCTCAAGGAGTAGATGTTTGAATTTACGGTAGAGTCAAAAATGAGCTGAGTGTAGTTCCTTGCATATTAGAAACCCACTGTCAGTTTGAGCTATGAATCTCATCTACATCTTTCATATTGCAAGCAATTCTCTGGGTTGGGGAGGGATGAAAGATTGTTTGGTTTGGGTTTTTAAGATTATTTTGTGGGTTTGGGGTTGTTTTTTGTTTTGTTTTGTTTGAAACTACGCTGAAAATTATAGGCCTAACATTATTTTACATTTATCCTAGGGCAAATTATAGTGGTGATATGGGTAATAGTCTCACCAAACAATGATAAGCAGAAATACACCTTAAAAATCAATCATGACTGTGTGCCTGAGCAAGTTATTGCTGAAGCAATTAGGAAGAAAACGCGAAGTATGTTGCTGTCATCAGAACAACTGAAACTTTGCGTCTTGGAGTACCAAGGCAAATACATTCTAAAAGTGTGTGGCTGTGATGAATACTTGCTAGAAAAATATCCACTGAGCCAGTATAAGGTGAGTAACATGATGGATTTATTTTGAACTACGCTAATGTAATCCAAATTTGTAATGCAGAAAAGTGATCAATTTTATGACTGGCTTTCTGTTTCATTACATTAATACAAAACATAGTAAGTGAAAGTGTATGTTCCTGTAACTGGCTAATGCATGTGAGTAGTGTGCATATTTGTTGCTGTATGTGCTTCAAAAGAGAGAGGGGGAGAAAAGGTAATTTAAACTAGAATTTTTCTCACTAGTGTGTTTTGTCCTTGAATGAAGTAATTTACTGCTAACATTAATGACAAAACAGTGGTAGGTACTCTCAGAAATATCCTAGGTTTCTGGTGGTAAGAGGTGACTTATGCTTGAATGGGCTGATACAATACAAAAGGAAATTCAATCAGATGTTAAATTGAGACAACCATTGCTACTATGAATCTTCTTCCTTCCCCCTTTAGGGGTGGAGAAAATCTAGTTGTTTGCCTGTTACTTGTATTTTTTTTTCCTTTTTCTTAAATCTTATTAAAGGAGTGATAAACTTCCAGCACTGTGCAAACTATTCTGAAGTCTTCCTTGTGGCTGGCTGTCCTTCATTTTCTGGGTTTTGTTAGTGTTGTGAGTGTGAGGCAGAACTGCTGACAGAAGAGCATCTGAGCAGCCCCTTCTCTGGAGCAGACAACAATGTTACCCTGTAGATTTCCTGACAGACTGCTGCTGCTTCCTCTTTCAGGAATGTATTGTTGTAATAAACAGCTTCCATTCCTTCATCTAAAATGGTTGACAGTCTGCTTTCCAGAGCAATGGGGGAGAGGAGGAGGATAGGGAGTCCTGATTAATGGGAAAAGCAGCTCTGTTCTATGGGAGCTGGGGAACAAGTGCAGGCATACAGAAAAATATTGCACAGTCATCTAAAGATCAAACACCAGACTTATTTATCTACCATGGTTTCTTCAGATGTATCTGGTATGTCTTTACTGTGCTGCAAAAGAGCTTGCTAATTATGCTCCAGGGCTGGGCCTGTCCGAACGGATTGTATTTTATGGTACTGTTGCTAAACTAAATGCTCTCAGCACTCAATCCTGAATGGACAACATACAGCCTTGCAGCTGCTGGAGTCTGTCAGCATCAGTGCTGATAATAAGCACAACTGAACCAAAAATGACAGTCTGCCATTTGCCTTGTGCTTTCTGCCTGTGACTAGCTCTGCACACCAGGTCAGTACAACAACTTGGTATTGAAAAACAGCTCAAGCTCTAATCTGGAAGCGGTCTGATTTGTGCTACACTGTGCTGGAGCTAAGGAGCTCTACAAGAAACCTCTCATCATGTTGTCAGCTCTGTTCTCTAGCTCTTCCAATTTAGCCTTCCACTGTTTAAATGTTATTCAAATCTCAAAATCTGTACGAAGTGCTGCTGTGCAATCCTACTCAATGTTTTTAAGATGTTGGATGTTGTAAAGGTTGTACATACAGGGACAATGATAAGCTCTTTAAATATGCTTTTACTTTTATATTTTCCTGAATATTTTTAGGTATAGATGATCAAGAGTATGAACTTTGAAAACGTAATGAATTTTGGTTTGGTTTTCTTGCAGTATATAAGAAGCTGTATAATGCTTGGTCGCATGCCCAATCTGATGCTGATGGCTAAGGAAAGCCTATATACCCAGCTGCCACTGGACACCTTTACAATGCCTTCTTATTCCAGGCGTATCTCTACAGCTACACCCTACATGAATGGAGAAGCTACAGCCAAATCCCTCTGGACTATAAACAGTGCTCTCAGAATAAGAATCCTCTGTGCAACCTATGTAAATGTGAACATTAGAGACATAGACAAGGTAAGGCAAATGCTGTGCAGGTTTTTGGCAACTCACAGTTTCTTTCCTCAGTTTTCTATCATCTTTTTATATTGGAAAAGTAGTGTTATTTAACATGTTAGAAAATTAGACCACTCTGTTATGTAAGTACTCAGCTCCATTAAAAAAAAAAAGAAGAGTACAGCCATATTTTAGCATCTGACACCTTTTCTATACTACTTCAGAAGTGAGGTGTAGTACTTAGATAAATATCCTGCCTGACAGGTGTAGGACTTAGTTTTTGCATAGTTCACTTCAGCTACCTATGTAATAGAAAAACAAAACCTATGTTATCTCTATTCTAAATAATAATTATGTTTAAGAATGTATTACGGTAATTAACAATACTTTTGATGAGGGGATGCTGGATAGTGTGCTGCTGTCTTTGTTTCTGAAAAGGGAGGTGTGGAGAGATCGAGAAGACAAGGCAGGTAGGGTTCAATCCGATTGAACTACAAGCCTGGCATGCTCTCTCATAATTTGTTCAGTCTTTAACTATGCCTTGACGTAGGAAGAATTGAGAATGATTTCAAGGGTTTTCTTTGGTGTTCATTTCAAGGTTATTACTGCATTTTTAAAGAACTAGTTTTGCAATTGAAAAGGGAAAAGACCAGAGCATTTTTTTCTAGAAGGGTATGTTTATATACTGTGCTTCCCACCTTACAGAGCATGAAAGAATTGGGGTTGGGGAGTGATGGAGCTTTTAGGTTCTCAGATTTCTTTTTTTGTTTCTTTTTAAGTGATGAAAATGAAAGGATAATATGTTATAATTGTACTTATGTTGATAGGATTGAAAAAAAATATAGTAAAATTTCAAAGGCAGTACTAATATCAACATTTGTTTTTCAGATCTATGTAAGAACAGGTATCTACCATGGAGGGGAACCTCTGTGTGACAATGTGAATACGCAAAGGGTACCTTGTTCTAATCCCAGGTAAACTAAATAGTTGAGTGACTGCTGAAAATTTGACTTCCAGGGCATCATAACTGAAGAAGTAAAGGCTTGTCTTAGCCATTATTTAAGTAGTGCTCCTTTCTGGGAATTCCTTACCTGAAGCTTTATAAAAAAATTTTTACATATCCCTATATTTATAAACAGAAGTAATTTAATTAAAACACAAGTATTTTGTCTCACATCTGTTCAGTAAAGAAACTATTACAGTTGCCACTGAAACGCCAATATAATTACACTGTGAAATCAGCATAGCTCTGGGCAACTGAGCTGTTTTTCACTGTGGATCAACAGCAGGTGTTCCAGTTGCATGTTCAGATTTTACTTTGAGCACAAGGCAATGTGATGTAATGTAACCTGGAGATCTGTTTCAGTGAGGTTGCATGGTGTGTTCTAAAGCAGAACCACCGAGTGTGGAGAGGTGGGTATCATTTGTTAACACAGAAGTGACTTCCAGATCTGGGCTGACTATTTTCAGGATATTTGACCTACCATCAATATTATCTGGAAAAATAACATGCATGAACTTAAAAGTGCATGTGAATTAAAGAAGTTTATATGCACTTTTAGAATATATTCAGAACAAGTATCTAAAAGATGTTCCTGTAACTTTGACTGAGGAGGTGTGAAATTTCAGCATCTGCTAGGATTAGATGCAAAGTGTGTGTTCAGAAGTAATTATTGATTTGCATTTTCTTTCTGACTTCATGTCTTTATGAATACATTTTGAAACTCTTGTTTTTGTCTCTTTTCTATAAATATGATTAGGCTGTATAGAGGGCTTACTAATATGCATACTTGTTGAAAAATAGCTTTCCTTCTGGGTTGCCCAAAATATAGCTATACTTGAACTGATATTTTGACTGGTTTGCACACAAAATCTTCTTGAAAAGGTGATGATGGGTATGGCTTGAAAGCATGGGTTTAATCACACAAATCTGTGTTATGAAATGAACACATAAGAAAAGTTAATTAAAATTTATCTGCTAATTTCTTAATTCTTGGAGCAGGGTTTGGACAGTTATTTCTTTATAAAACTCTGCTTTTAGTAGCTGCAAACACATTGAAAAATTAATGCTGTCTTTGGAATCTGCTGCCTTTTCCAACTGAGAAAATTCACCATAGCAATTGGTTTAGGAAAAGAAAGTACTCGGAAGTTCCTCTTCAAAAGCACAGTTCCACCAGCTGAGAAGTCTACTTAGAGAAGTTAACAAAAGCAAAATACATATTCCTGTAGAACCAATCTGTGCACTTATTACTATTATAAATAGAATAATATTTGTATTGAGAATACTGGTTTGGATTTGTGTCATATTTCTGTTATATTCCCATCTTGAAGTTATCTTTTTATTTTCCAGTAGTTCAGTTGAATTCTGAAAGCTGTGCCACATTTTTTCCCACTTGCTTTTTTCCTGAAGTGAAAAATATTTTGCAAACTAAAACTTATATTAGTATAGCACATATGCAAATCCATTACTTCAGGTTATGCCTACGCTGACAGTTGCAGTTGGTAGGTTTGCAAGAGTGAAAATGAATGAACCTATTACTAAGTTTGCAGAAATTGAACTTACCATGACTTTTTAAACAGTATTGGTGCTAGGAGCCTATTTGGGGAAGTTTCCACTCCCAAAAGGAATGTGGGCAAATGCATGTAGGAGTACCCTTTTCCAGTGCGAGAGTGTACTTTTTGTACATGTATATATTTTATGTAGGAATATAACAAATACCTTTTTAGTATGACTTTGATTGAATACAGTTGTCTGTCCTTTAACCTGCTTTTATTTTGCTTTTTAAATCTTATAGATGGAACGAATGGCTATTGTATGACATGTACATTCTTGATCTTCCACGTGCTGCTCGTCTGTGCCTTTCTATCTGTTCTGTTAAAGGCCGGAAGGGTGCAAAAGAGGTAAAAAACTTCATGTCTTTAATACAATAATGAACAAAAGCAACTGAAGTCAAGTTTGGGAAGATACTTGATAAATGCTGTGCTGGCAATAAGTTTTAGTACAATATTTGATTTTAATCTGATTTAAAAAAAGGGATTTTCTTTTCTTGTACCTTACTCATACTACCACTGATTTTGTGGTCGAAAGTTAACATGGAAAAAAGCTTACCTGTTCAAGAGTGTAAATAGCATCTATACTGTATCACCAGGCTCAAAGATCAGTTGTTGGTGTTTTGAGGTGCAAGTGCCTTTAAACTCAAGTTTCTAAACCCATATGTTACTTGCCTGTTAACTAAAAATGGCAATATTTATACTTGTATTTAGAGTTGATCTTTAAAGAAAACTTGTATTGCTTTAGCATTTGATGCAAGATCTCAAATAGTCATTTTTAAGAATCTGCGTATGGCATCTGATGTAGCCACAGCGTCATTACATTCTGCATTTGACTGTCACAGGTACTATACAGTTATTTTTGTCTACAATCAGATTTACAAATCTTACAGAATTGTAGGGTGTTTGGGTTGGAAGGGACCTTTAAAGATCTCTGCCCATGGCAGGGATATCTTTCACTAGACCAGGTTGCTGAAAAGCTTCACCCATCTTGGCCTTCAGTGTTCCCAATGATGGGAAATCCACAGCTTCTCTGGGCAACCTGTTCCCACTTTTTATGATAAGTGTCTCACCACCCGTATCATTAAGAAAACAAAAACTTGTCCAATCTAAACTTACTGTATGAGGGTTTAAAACTATTGCTCCTTATTACATTACTACAGACCTTGGTAAAAATTCTCTCTTTGTCAAAAAAACTTTGCATCATCTTGAGTTACTTTTGATGTGGGAAGAAGTTAGTTAGCATGTGTTTGAAAGTGTTTTGATATCATTTTGCAAAATGACTGCCATGACAGTCATTCATAGAAAAGTATGGTACAGCTTCCACAACCTGCTTTTCTGCTAATCTGGGAGTGTAGCAACTTGCTTTGGGGTGGAAATGTTATTTCTCCTGACTCACTCTACAGTAATTAATAGATGACACTAAAAAACATCTTTTAATCTCTTTAAGGAGCACTGTCCATTGGCTTGGGGAAATATAAACATGTTTGATTACACAGACACTCTTGTATCTGGGAAAATGGCTTTGAATCTTTGGGCAGTACCTCATGGCCTGGAGGATTTGTTAAATCCTATTGGTGTTACTGGGTCAAATCCAAATAAGGTAAATATTTGCATGCCAGCTTCTTCCTTAGTAGTTCAAAATATGTCATAATTAGCATCATTCAACAGAAAAAGTAATTTCAATTCCCTTTACATAGGAAACTCCATGTCTAGAGCTGGAATTTGATTGGTTTAGCAATCCTGTGAAGTTTCCAGATATGACAGTGATTGAAGAGCATGCCAATTGGACTATATCACGTGAACTGGGGTTTAACTACAGCTATGCGGGGCTGGTAAGGCAAACTCCCCTTCTGAGATTAGCTACTAAAATATGAGAGTAGTATTTACTACTTTGTTTATTTTACTCAGTATATTAGCAACAAAGAGGTTTTTTTCTTATATCCTGACTTTAAATCAATAAATGAATTTTTTGTTTTGTTTGGCAAAGCGAGTAATATATTCTCCTTTAAACTGACCTAACGCTTCACTGACCAACCAAAACACTTGAAAAGAGTAACTATTTTACTGTGCAAACTGTTAAAGCAATTTTGACATTTTTATATTGCCAATGCAGATGTCTAAACTACCTGAACTTTTCAAAAGTTGCAGTTCTCCTTCAATGATGCTGTTTTAATTTGTTGCAGTTCTGTGTTTATAGGTAGACGTTCTTGTGTATCCCAAAGGTGGTTATAACTCTTCACTGGCTGTTTGATGGGTTAGTTATGACCAGAAGTACAGGGAATTTTGAGGGAATTGACTGGCATACATGAGTGTAGCCCTTAATCTCCCCTCTTCCTTGAAGAGAACCTGCACATTGATAGTTGGCTTTTTGGTGATGTTTGGCACTTTCTTAGGAGCACTTTTTGGATGATTAGAAGGAGAAAAAAGAAAGTCAGTAAAGCTAAAAATACTATGTATTCAAAGACAAGGCTGTGAAATTACTTGGTATGTTTTACATTTTATTTTGGAGGCTGGTTCAAAGACTTGAGAATTTCCCCAAGAAAACTTTGTGGTCTGGGTGAAGAAGAGTCCCAGGGTGGAAAGTTTTGCTGTGCCAAAAAGTGCGTAGGTGTAAGCTTCCAGTTTGGGAATTCTAGTGATACTTATAACAGTCTCATCTCAACATATCTTGAAAAGAGTTGTAGGCATTTATTTCTCTTGAGGCACCACAGGAAGTCCATCATAGAGTGGTATATCTGCTTATGATATATATTGTAACTGAGCAGTGCTGAGGGGCTCTTAATAAATGTTTAAGAACAGCTAGCTCCTTCGTAAATAACATTCCTTAGCTGTAACACAGCTTATTACCTGCCCTTATATATGCTCAACTTGTTGTTTTCTATGATAATATGATCTGTATGCAAAACCAGAAAATGGTGAGGAGAATAAGCTCTCACTTCAGTGACAAAGTAATGAATTAATGATCATCTTAAAATACAAGGTCAAATAAAGTCTCAAATTATTGTCTTTTTTGTGATAATCCTTACAATATTGTAGAAGGTGGTCACAGTGGTTAAATATGGAGAAAGCCTATTTACATCAGTAAGTTGACAGGGAAACAATCAGTATATCACTGCTTTGGTCTCACTTTCTCATTCACGCTGCTTTTCTTTCAACTCTTCTTGTGGTCTGCCAAAATCCTCTTATGTACTGTGCATATTCATAGCTGTTTGTAATATTAACTATATTTAGGGACTTAAACTGCAGCATGTTGTTACTCATTTGAAAATTGGATACTTGATTACTGTGTAGCTTTGTCCATATCTGAAGGAAGTAAAAAATGCTTGTCTGAAATGGTCAAAATCAGCAAAGCAGTCACTGAGGTATGATTTCTAGCTAAATGTTTTTATTATGATACAAAGAGCATAAATTTCTTGTGTAAGCTTGAAATGCATTACACTGCATTTACAATCAATTAATACATATTGATAAGAGATCATTTATAGGTCCATTAATATCTCAAATATGAAAGAATTTTCAAATATGAAATCTAATTTACTGTCCCACAATTCATAGAATTCAAGTTTTTGGTGTTGACCGCAACAGGATAAATGCATTTTCCTTCTGGGCTTGACCTAAACTATGATCTTTCTGACCCACTATGCAGGTACATTTTATACTTTTTTGACTTTCACTTACTATTTAGGATGACTCTTTCAGAATAAAGATGAATATGTGCAATTACTTGTTCTATTGAACAATATGAACTATTTGATCTTATGTCAGGAATAGGGTGATTAAGTCACTTATCCAATAACTTCCTTGCAGAATGACTCTCTTAACTACTTTCACTATATCCAATACCATAATATTTAAAAATGTGTTCTAAAAATTTTCCCATACCACATTGAGTGTAGTCCTGAATAATTTCTCCCCCCCCTTTTAAGTCCAATCCATGTGCTTCAGAATGATAATAAAAAAAAAAAAACCATGTTGGTGCATGTTCTTGCACTAGATCACACTACTAGTTCAAGATCTTGCACTATCATACTACTAACAGGGCAAGATGCTAAAAATCCTATGAGACCTTAATGTTGATGAATGTAACATTGAAGGCCAGGATATTCCCACATAGTAGTAGTGAACCCATCATGAGAACACATACTTTATGTAATTAAAGATAAATATAAAATAAAGAACTTTCAGTCTGAAATAGATATCATGTGGTATAACCTGACAACTGTGTCTGTATTTGTGCGTATTCTTAGAAAACACCACTTCACCTTTTAAAGGATGCCTTGATCTCTTACCTGGAAATTTCAGATTGTTCTTCATCTTTTTTAAAGCTAGATGAATTGTAAAGACCTTCTGTAAAAGCCATGTGGGTATTTGTGTTTCAGAGTACTAGTTCAGCCAGTTGACAACTTCCATTACCACAACTGGCAGACAAAGCTCGCTTCATTCTTGTTTGTTATCTTGTTTAATGTGCTGAGTAGAAATTGCCTAGGGAAAAAGCAGAATAAGAGGCCAAATACTGTGGTTCTACAATTTAAACATTTTGAATTTGGAAGAGTGTTGATCTTATTCTTTTGTAGTGGTAGGTATCATGCAGATGTGAAAACATGAGTTCACTATGAAAAACTTCAATTCTTGTGGAATTGTTGGGATAACTTCATCTTAAGTGTCAATCTTGTTTATTACACTTGTATTTTGTACTGAACACAGTAATATAAGCTTCTTCAGATTTTTTTTTTTTTGCAGTGCAGTTGATTGTGTAGCTGAAACCTCAAACTGCATCACTTCATATGTTGCTTTATAAAAAAAAAAAAAAATCCACATTAAGTGAACTGAGAAATGGAAAGTATAGGAGAAAAAAACTGAACTTCCCATATGAGATGTGAAATATCTCATAGTAGTAGTTTCAATACCTCTGCCATTGGTCTAAGCTGGTTCTAATGAATATATAAAATTAATTTCAACATATACCAGTTCTGTTTTCTGTACTCTTTGGGAAATATACTAATTCTGGTTAATGTTTTCCAGTCCTCCTGTTACTCTGGCTTTCCTACAGCATTCTGACTTTTGTTTACCTAGCTTCACACCCCATATTCCGTTTTTCCAGTTCTGTCTCTTTTTCACTCCTTTCAGCAGCTTCTAGCTAATCTCAAAACTGGAGATAGAAATGACCAGTTTCATTTCATGCTGCAATATGTTTTTCATCAGATGCAACTGCTGCTATTTCTCCACACAGCTGACTTAGTTGAAATATCACTCTTCTTGTCCCAGTAGTGGCTAAAAGTGGTTGTAGAAATCAAAGGCCTAGTCTTTCATCTCTGTTTTTAAGTCCTCAGTTACAACAAAACAAGATAATATTGCATGACATAGGCTGTAAGTGTTGTGTTAAGTGCTCTTAAAGTACTTAATGTATGTTGTATGGCAACAGAAGGAAATTTGTGGAGGGTTAATGGACTGCTTTCTCTCTGCAGAGTAACAGAATAGCTAGAGATAATGAATTAAGAGAAAGTGACAAGGAGCAACTTCGAGCTATATGTACACGAGATCCTTTGTCTGAAATCACTGAGCAAGAGAAGGACTTCCTCTGGAGCCACAGGTATTTAAAACCAAAAACTAAACTAAAGAAAAGCCCTTGTTGGCACAATCAGCTTTACCCCATTCACTCCAAATTTGTCATGACTGTCTTGGATTTTGCTCCCTTTTCTGTGCTCTGTATTGTTGGGTTAGTGTTTTAGAAAAGGCTTTTAAAGCATTCTGAATTGTGTGTCTTAATTCATAAGCCCATGGGGAAAAATAAGTTGTTGAATTAGTTTACATTTTCCCCATTACTGCAGTCTTACTTTCATGCATGGATCCTAACACCACCATATGGTATTGATTGTCTTCTGCTGACAAAGGAAGAAAATGTGCAAGACTGAGGGGAACGTAGTAGATGGTTATCAAAGCAAAAAGGGCAATTTGTACATACACCTTTTTTCTCTTTCGCAGACACTATTGCGTGAATACTCCAGAAATTCTGCCCAAATTACTTCTGTCTGTTAAATGGAATTCTAGAGATGAAGTGGCCCAGGTAACATATAGCACTGAAGAAATTTTAAGTTTTGAAGAAGCTTTAAAATACGGTATTTAGGGAAAGTTCTGGAAGTTTAAAACATGTTACATGTGCATAATACGTTGAATGAAAACCTGTCCAAGTTGCCATTATATTTGATGGATCAGACCAGTTTGTAGTTTTTGTTCTTTAGCTCAGTCTGAGTCTTAAAATTTCCTCTTGTGGCATTACCTGAATCCCTGTTATGTTGCTGATTTGTCAATTAGTTATATGTGAAGTTTTGTTTTCATTGTGTTTATAGTGGATAAAACGTCAGCTGGCAACTAATACCGAATTGTTTATTGAGAGAGGGCTGGGAAGTAAATAGCTTCTACTCGGATGCAGTTCATGTCTGACAATACCTTCTAGTAGCTGTGTATTACAGCTTCTTTGTAATCAATGCAAATGTGTAACGTGCTTGGACTTCTTGTCCACAGATGTACTGTTTGGTAAAAGATTGGCCTCCAATCAAGCCAGAGCAAGCAATGGAGCTTCTGGACTGTAATTATCCAGATCCAATGGTGCGAGCTTTTGCAGTTCGGTGTCTAGAGAAGTACTTGACAGATGACAAACTGTCTCAGTACTTAATCCAGCTAGTACAGGTATATGACATATTTTGGTACACTTGATGTCTTGTGTATATCTAATAATCACAGAGGCTTAAAATACAACAAAAGTTAAGGTGGTGTGAAAAAGAGGTCATCAACAGTATGTTTCTATTGTGGATTATTTAGGAGGAGGAGATTAAATGTAGTTAATTTTCTGTAGTGCTGGGGTTTTGCATGTTGATACTAAATGCCAGGATTTTACAGAGATGCAGAACTGTTCTACCAGCTGGAACAGGCAGCTCTTTCAGCTGTTCTAACATATGGGAAAGTATGAGCAGAAGCATCTTCTCAAAATTCCAAGCTAGTTGAGGCCAAAATATTTTGTAATAGTGAAGGGAGCATCAGATGGTAAGTTCCTGAAACAGGCAGCCAATGCACTGTTAGTAAATACTGTTCAAATTCAAACACATGCAAGTATTAATACGAAATCAGTCAGTCTACAGAAATTCATGTAAAACATAGATTTCTTCCTTTAATCTGTATTTTATTCATAGAAGTAACTGCAGCAGATTATTTTCATTCTCTTTATCCTTAACTAGGTTCTAAAATATGAACAGTACTTGGATAATCAGCTTGTGAGATTTTTACTCAAGAAGGCACTGACCAATCAAAGGATAGGACACTTCTTCTTCTGGCATTTAAAGTAAGCTTAATATGTTAAGGGGTAGTGGGGTTCCTATTAGCTGTAAACAATTTATTGTTCTAAAGGCTTGGCATACTAAAATGTATTTTTTTTTTTTTTTTTAAGGAAAATATTACCACTTAGTTTGTTTCACATTGGTTAAAAGTTTGAGTGTAGAGTTTGGTAATAGGAGTCATCCTTTGCAGTTTCAAAAGCTAGTTAATAATAGATACTTAGTCTTCTACTTCTTTTTACATAATGATAATTATGCTGAAAGCAGGGTAGTCCGATTGCTGGAGGCCTCCTATCCTGTCAACTATTTACAACCTTGACAGATTACTGCTGTTTGAACTTCATTTTTTTTATCACTCACCAGTCTTCCAGAAAATTTTACAAATAGTTGAGGTCTAAAGAGAGACACCCAATTTGACCAGATAAGGCTTTGAAAAAATAATTCTTTGTACATGCTTATTAAAGACTTTATATAGCTTGATAGCTTAAATATCTATGTTCTTCCTTACTAAGTGCTATGAGGGCTTTTGTAACTCCTGGTGTTGAGAAGGCTGAGCATAGATCAGCCTACAGTATAATGGATTGTAGCTAGGTCTCACCTAAAAATGCTGTTCTAAGACAGTGTGATCAGACACAGAAATAGAAGAAGCAAGGAATCTTTGTTATGCTTTGTTTTCTGTTTCCCTCGGTAATCATCAAAGATAATGGAATAAATTGTCTGATTAACTTGAGGGATGTATTTAAGAGCTGCAAAGAATGAGAGGAGGTAAGAACAAAGAAACTTGAGGGAGCAGAGCCTGGGATTGTTTCATTTTCTCCTTGTCTTATTTAGGCAGATTAGCTTTGCTCTTGGCAAGGAAACCTGGAATGTGAATTGAAAGCTTGAGTTTCTGGGAAGCATGGGTTTTGAATAAAGGCAAGGAATAGTGGTAGAGAGGACAGAAAAATGAAGAAAGAATTGGGGGAAAAGCCTATGAATTCTGTGCCGAATTAGTTGTAAAAGGTACTGAAGTTGGATCAGTCTAGTCAAAATGAGATGAGCTGTGGGAGATTAATAGAAGTTATTTACCTGAAAAGGATGGCTCTATAAGCAGCTCTCGGTAAGATGTGTCATTGGGATGATGTTACAGCTATAGCTTCATTTTTGGCACCTCTAAGTGATCTTGTCTTTAAGCTATAACTGTTCTTCCTCTCTGTGTAGGTCTGAAATGCACAATAAAACTGTAAGTCAGAGGTTTGGTTTACTTCTGGAGTCCTATTGTCGGGCGTGTGGAATGTACCTAAAACATCTGAGCAGGCAGGTGGAGGCTATGGAGAAGTTGATTAACCTCACTGATATTCTCAAGCAGGAAAAAAAAGATGAGACCCAGAAGGTATTATGTCTGCATCCCTAGACTATTGCTGTTGAGTCACAGGAATTACTCTGAATTGTGTATTAATTGATTAACTAGAAAAGTATTAAAGATAACTTGAGTATATAGTATGTTATTCTAGAAGCTGCTATATTTTCTATGTGCATTGCCATTGTCTACCTCTTAAGGCAATAGATTTAAGGGTTTCAATTTGTATAGTATGTGGCCAAGTAGAGTTGCTTACACTGGAACTGCGCAAAACTATGCTTTAAAAACAGCTAAAAATCTGAAACTTACTTTCGCTTACATATAATTAGTGTTATCAAAACCTGAATGTGATTATTTATCAGGTACAGATGAAGTTTCTTGTTGAACAAATGAGGCGGCCAGATTTTATGGATGCTTTACAGGGTTTTATCTCTCCTCTTAATCCTGCACATCAACTGGGAAATCTTCGGTATTGTATTCAGTTTTTAATTTTATCTAGATATTTAAGTAAATGCTTAGTAATGTTAACATTAACAATATTAAATGTTAACATACTGAAAAATGCTAGTATCTTCAAGGTTCACTGAAAAAAAATTGTAGCAGAATAACTCATGAAAAGTGGAGTAGATTCAGTCTAATGGTTTACCAATTTAGGGAACAACATGACAGCTGTTCCTTTAAGGTGACAGGAAGCGCAGACCTTTTTCCATTTGTAAGGAACACACACTGCCAAAGGGAAATTACGATACAGCCGGCTCTTCTGTTGGGCTTAGCAAATGGGTAACATTGCACTTATTAATTTAAGTTTGAAGCTGAAAGTAAAAGTGGTTGATTGTCAGTTACCCGTGCATCTTTAATTTGATACTGTTTCAAAGAGTTTGATGAAAACAGGGAGAACTTAATGTTATGGAAATATTAAATGAAAATCTGTACGTGCCTATTTCATAGAAATCTTACCTCCTTTTTTAGGCTTGAGGAGTGCAGGATAATGTCGTCTGCAAAAAGGCCACTGTGGTTGAACTGGGAAAACCCAGATATTATGTCTGAATTGTTATTTCAGAACAATGAGATAATCTTTAAAAATGGAGACGGTAAGGAAAAGCAAGTATAATCCAACAGCTACATATCTGTTTATTTTCCTAAGCTACTGTTCAATATTTTTTGCTATGTATATAAAATGCGGGGGGGGGGGGGGGGGGGGGGGGAAGGAGAGGGAGGAAAGCAGTTTTCCAGAAAAATTAAGCATGTACAAGTAAGAGTTGTGCAAATTTTGTAGGTTCCAAGCTGCTCAGTCTGTTGAGGTGGAACATGGTTCTATTTCAATACTTTGTTCTTATTACTTGAAAATGTCTTCCAGGATATTACAGAAGTGTAATCTGTCATTCCATTGTCATGATTTTAGTGTATATTTTTTAAACAGCTTTGACGTTGCCACCATAAATTTATATTCACTCTCAACTACTTAACACGTTTCTCTCTATTCAAAGAAAAAAAACTACACTGAACTCTGCAAGCCTCATTTCCTTTAGGCATACTTTGAGGGGAAAAGTTAAGATGTAACAAAGTGTTCTGGTGTCATAAAATTTGCATTCTCCATGTATTTGCAAATCTTTATGTATTTGACTATTCCAGACTTGCGTCAGGACATGCTGACACTTCAGATAATTAGAATTATGGAAAACATCTGGCAAAATCAGGGTCTGGATCTTCGGTAAGTGTTAGAGGTCATTCTCAAGCAATACTGTTCTTAATGGTTTTTGCATTAGTTTGTTACCAGAGATTGCTCCTGTTTTCCCAAGGGTAATAAATGCTGTAAGTAGGCATGTTGTACATGTAAGAGCAATTTTCAATTTTTTTAGTGACCTTCAGTTAACTAAACTACTGAATTCTCTAGAGATAAGATTGTATTTGAAAAATACTTGAGTCTCATTCAGGTGGGTGTGAGGGGTATACATACAGGAATGGATACAAGAGCTAACACACACAGTAGCCAGGCTATGGTATGCTAATTTGTATGTGTAGGATTTGCTTTGAACAAGTTGCCAAACTTGCAGCCCAGTTGAGTGATGACTCTTTGTAGTGGGTATCTTCATTTCAGTACACAAAGTAGGTATTACCCAGTTTTGATACATGTACAGCTTTTCCACCTTTAAATAGTCTGTGAGTACAGTAACTTCTGCAGAATGCCATTCAGTATAAACTATTCTACTTCTAGAAAACTGATACTAGACAGGTTATGCTCCAAATTCACATTTGCTGTTTGGTAGATTTCTTTTTTTTTAGGTGGTGGCATAATAGGGCTGCCTCTGCACTGTCAAAACAAAGTATGTTCTTTGCACCCCCAGTTCTCATTTTCTCATTACCTAGATAAAAGAACCTACTGGTCTACATCATCTTTAATGTATCTGGGAAACTATTGTGCTCTAGTACTGTAATGAGGAACAGAATTATGGCTTTGTCTAAGAATGGTTTGCAGAGTGCCAGTTATGGAAACCTGCATAAATACATCTCTTGCACCTCTTGCCACCATTATTCTTTAAACAGGTGGCATGAAGGTCTAGAAGAGAAGTGGAAGAAGCGTGATGCGACAGGCTGATCTAAAAAAAATCAGAAAAATTGCAACTATCCATGTGCTGTACTGAAAGACTGAAATGAGCATGCAGCATGAGGCAGCTGATGAGCCCTGAATCTTGAGCAAGCTGCAGATTACACTAATGGACAAAAATAAAATCTTTTGACGATCTAGAAATTGCAACTTATCCCACTAAGGCCATTAAACTGTATCTCTCTATGGTACAGACAGTCTAACAGTCTTTAAGAAAATAGATGGGTTGCAGTGTTTTCCGTTGGCTTTCAAATCAGATTTTTATCTAAAAATGCAAGTGTAATTAGGTATAAATGTTTTGTAGTAACTGCAAGTAAAGTGCTGTTAATCCATAAAGGAGAAGCCCACCTCCACAGCAACACCAGCAACCAGCTCTGCTACTGGCTGTGCATTGCAGTGGTGCCTCTTGGATTCTTAGGTCTAATACAAAGCGTTGGTTTTTTTTTCCTGCCATGGCATCACTAAGAACCTGTGATACCCCAGTGTTCCTAAAAGGCTGGTTTACTCTATAGGTGTGACACTTTCACTCCAGAAAGGAAACTTTAGGAGAGAAAGAGGCTGCTTTTAGGTACATGACCGTCACTCCCAAATATTTTAACAGAAGATGTTGAACATGGTAATGGCCATGTTTCTTTCAGTCTTTGAACAAAGGACTGGTTTTGACTTATTTTTTGCAGATAAAGTGTTTTGAGCATAACAGAAGAAATACAAATTTTAAAGGAAGGGTGAGGAAAGAGACCTGTGAAAGGCAAGGCAATGGAATTAATTTATTTTACTTGTAAAGAGAAAAATGGGCTACTCAGATCATAGAATCATAGAATCAACTAGGTTGAAAAAGACCTTTAAGATCACCAAGTCCAACTGTTACCCAGGAATGCCAAACCCACCACTAAACCATATCACTAAGGGCAAACTTACCTCTCCCAAAGATCTCCTCTTATGGCTGCCCCTCATGATACCCACTCACAGACATCTCTCATCTAGCCCCATTAGTGCCCCACAGTGTTTAGCTGCTGCCCTTACTCACCATGGCCACCCCTCACACCCCATGGCTGCCCCTGCTTCTCCCCTCATCATCTTTCCTCATGACTGCCCCTTACCCCTCATGGCCACCCCTCACTTCCCACAACTGCCCTTGCTCTCCCCTCACAATCTCCCCTCATGGCCGTCCCTCCTTTCCCCTCACAGTCTCCCCTCATGGCTGCTGCTCCTCTCCCCTCATGATCTTCCCTGATGGCTGCCCCTCCTTTCCCTTCATGATCTTCCCTGATGGTTGCCCTTCCTCTCCCTTCATGATCTCCCCTCACCGCTGCCCTTCAGCCCTTATAGCCACCCTTCATCTCCCCTCATGTTCAGCAGTGTTTGAATTAATATCATCTTTTGAGTTTCACTTTGTAGTCCTGTGGATTACAAAAAGTTGATTTTATGATTTTCTTTGAAGAGTCTATTAATAAATATCCATTTACAGTTCACTAACATGTGGGTAACATCAGTCTTGTTGACTGTAGAGTCCAGTTTAGAATTTGTAATATGGTCAGATACTATTAAGAAACTCATTTTGAAGGTCCTGTGCTGGTTTTTTGTACAAAGTATTACCTGCTACTTGCTTACAGTAACCCATGGAATCTTAACAAATATTTTCTGAATGCATAGATTCTGTCTCTAATAATTCACTTTGAATATCATTGAATTGATCTTATTAAATTATGCTGAATGCCTTTTAAAGGGTTTTTCCAGTGTATTCCCTAAGGCCTCCAGGAACACCTTACTAAACTTTTGCCTCAGCCTTTTGTCCTGATATAAAACTGAAGAATGACATTGGTGGACACAGAGGCTGGCATGTTACTGTACTAATATCTGGTACATTTTTTTCCACAAGACTAGTGTTAATACAGCTATAAAACATTAAAACAGGTTTTCATATCCTAAAGTAAGTGACAGGTGACACTTGATAAGGGTTATCAAACGTACCTGTTGCTTGCTGTCTTAAAACTTAACTTTAAAAAAAAACCTTCATCTTTCAGGATGTTGCCTTATGGTTGTTTGTCTATTGGTGACTGTGTGGGACTCATCGAGGTAGTCAGGAGCTCTCATACCATCATGCAGATTCAGTGTAAAGGAGGCTTGAAAGGAGCATTGCAGTTCAACAGCCATACATTGCATCAGTGGCTCAAGGACAAGAACAAAGGAGAAATGTGAGATTTCCTGTTGCTTGTTTTTCTTGTTCATATGCTCTTTGATGGAAACTTCAAAAGAACTAAAGCTGATCAAGTGTGGAATTATGTCCATCTGGTTTTGGTTGGTTTATTTTCTTCCCCTCGCCTTGTTTCCCTAGGATTCCTGGTTGTAGCTCTTTTAATGGGTTCAGTTGTGTGACTTCTCTCGACGATAAAGCTTAAGTTGAAAGCAGAGCTATGAAGATACAGCTTAAGTCTCTATTTTAACACTAGCTCATCAAAATGAAAACTGCTGGACTTCAAAAGAGTCAATAGCTAATTTACTGTTCCATGATCTAACAGAGTACTACTGTTCTCAGAGTATGATGAATTTCTGCCTTACTGTGATAAGGTCCAGAAGCTCTGCTTCATTGATAGAGGATAGTAGAAGTTGGCTTGTCCTTAATGGAGGGAGGGGAGGGGGAAATCTACACTTTCGTGTCTTTAGAACACCTGTATGAAAGTGTCTCCTGTTTTCAATAGGTATGATGCAGCTATTGACTTGTTTACACGTTCTTGTGCTGGCTACTGTGTTGCTACCTTTATACTGGGCATTGGTGATCGCCACAATAGTAACATCATGGTGAAAGATGATGGACAAGTAAGATATATTTTTCTAAAAATATAGCATAATGTCATATGTCACCTTGATATGAGTTGGTTTAAAAAAAAAATCCATCTGATCAAGAAGTAAATGATAATTTTACTCTGACATACTTTATACAAAGAATTACTAATCTTAAAATACCATTCTGTTTTTCCAAGCTGTTTCACATTGACTTTGGGCACTTCCTGGATCACAAGAAGAAAAAATTTGGTTATAAAAGGGAGCGTGTGCCATTTGTCTTAACACAGGACTTCTTAATAGTGATTAGTAAAGGAGCCCAAGAATGCACTAAAACAAGGGAGTTTGAAAGGTGAGCCTTTGCAGCATTTAACTTCCAGAGTATTTTGTACCTAAAATTACCTACTTTAGTACATTTTATCTTTAATTATTAGACCTTTTAACTGAAAAGTAGTATTTTAATTGGCTTGCAGCGAGAATGTTCTATTCCTGTAGCTGAAGATCAGTCCACTTAATCACTCAGTAGGTGATAGCTCATATATGGGCTTGGGTTCATGAAACCTCACTTTAGTTTTGCAGGATCAGCACATATGTGAATAAAGATAAATTTTTTAATATCTGAAATTCTTTTGATAACACTTAAAATCCTCTTAGCATTGCGTAACTGCAAAACACGTATTCTTAAATATCAGGTGTAATGTGCATCAGAGGCTTGCTGGTTACTCAGCAATGCTTCTCTCTCCTATAGCTGCTGTGATATCAGCTCTTCAGCTAGCCTGTGTAGTTTATGACATTCTGCAGAACCTGCTAAGAAAAGATAACTTTAAAATAATAAAGTCATTCTTAATATGTGTCTTTCCAGAGACCTAGTCTTTGAGAGGTTTCAATTTTAATCTTAATTTCATTATTAGACAGAGACAGATTTTAAGTTATAGTGTCCGTCTCAATGCTGCAGTGAAGATTTTTTGCTTTTTCCTTAACCTGACTTAAATTTAGTGGTTTCAGCATAAATGTGCATTTCTCACCCAATGTTGTGATACAGCAAATTCCCCTGTCTTCAGTGCCTTCTCTACAGTATCTAAGGAGCAACAGCCACTGCCCTTTTAAAACTACAGGAGAAGTGCATCTCTGATACACAGCTGCAAAAAATGCTTTCCTGGTTATCAGGAAATGTGCTTTGAAATCTGAAATACCAGTAGCAATGAGTGAAATGGCTGTGTGAACACCCATAAACTTGTGTTAAATGCTTGCATGAATTGCAAATGAGTTTTAAGGCTAGAAAGCCTGTCTTCAGTCTGGCTATTGTGTTAGTCTGACCACTACTAATTCTTACTGAAAATAAGATATACCTAAGTAGGAAGATGAGTATATTTTCTCAGCAACATTATAGTGTTCTTATTGGACTGTCTACTTCTTTAGTGTCCAGTTACCTGAAAACTGTTTTGGAAGTGAAAAAGTAATATACATCTAACAGGGAAATACACTGACTTTTTTTCCCCTATCTCTTCCAGGTTCCAGGAGATGTGTTACAAGGCTTATCTAGCAATTCGGCAGCATGCCAATCTCTTCATAAATCTTTTCTCCATGATGCTTGGCTCAGGAATGCCAGAACTGCAGTCCTTTGATGATATTGCATACATTCGAAAGACCCTTGCATTGGACAAAACTGAGCAGGAAGCTCTGGAGTACTTCATGAAGCAAATGAATGATGCTCACCATGGTGGCTGGACAACAAAAATGGACTGGATCTTTCACACAATAAAACAGCATGCTTTGAACTGAAATGAAAGCAAAGAAAACAAGAACTGATAGCCCACTTTGTGGGTACTGCACTGTTAATACCCATTAGCAGCAAAGACTGGTTGCATAGGAATTGCACAAACCATGAAGAACATCTGAATTTATGGCAAGAAAAGAGATGAACTGCTCAGACAACTGTTGAAAAATAATGTAAAACAGGGTTTCAGATAGCACTAAAATTGTACACTTCAAAAATTAAGCTTTAGTATGATGTGTGACTTCATGTTATGCCTTAAGCCCAAAAAGGTAAACTTGGAAGAACGTTTCCTTTTTTCACTTGATAGGATAAATTAGAAGGAGAAAGAAAATAGTTCTAGCATGAACATAGAGTCCATCACATATTACCTTAGATCTGGTACAACTGGTAGAGCCTATGCTGGATTGACGAGTGGAAAGAGAATTCAAGTGATAGCAAATATTTAAAATCAGCATAGGTTGAATGAAAGGAGTCTTAAGCTCAAAGATCTAAAAACAATAGTGAGAGGACAGTGCCTTTTAAATGTGCTCAGAGGCATTAACAGTTATGGGGTTTGGATGACCCTTTGATTTCTGGGTCTGTCACATGCACAGTTTCTGAAAGCAGTAGGAAGTAGGCCCACTTGGTATGGTGTTTCTTCTGCTCAGTATTTCTAGAGGTGCAATTCATACCTTCACAAAGAAACTCCCTGTCATCCCCCAAAACTGACTAACCTGGAAATTGAATGGTCAAATTGGGTTTAGTGCAACAGAGAGTTGTATTGTTCATCTTAGGTTTGGTTTAATCTAACTTGAACTGAATAGATTTTTTTCATACATGTTTTCCAGAACCTAAAGAAAGGTGAGTTATTAAAATTATTGAAAGATTATTTTTTTATAAAGGCTATTTATATAACAGGAACTATTATTAATATATATTCTTTATTTACATGATTTGTCCAATATTCACTCTTTTAATTTTGCAGCCCAGTTCTATCTGTCCAAGGCTCCCGTTTCCATTAATGTCACTGAAGGTGACCAGATATACTCCTAGGACCAAATTCAACCCTGGTGAAAGAGGACACAAGTACCATTAAAGTAGTGGGACATGCACCCACTAATGCCAGAGGTGAACTTGGCCTAAGTCTCTTCAAAAATTTTTGGGCATCACTCTTCACATTACTGAAGTGATATGCTGGCTATTCAAGGAACGTACATTTAAGCCCTCAGTCTTTGGGTCCACCATTTCTCCTCTTTCTTCTTCCTTTGGAAGTGGTTGTTTAATCCAGATAACATCAGTAACAGATACATCAGAAAGAGAAATTTAGGTTTTTCAATATGATCAGTAATAAGCAGTTCAACATACAGCAGATGCGTTGGCTAGCTCAAAGCATGTGGAGTTACCAAACATTTTATAGCTTTGTCTGTTTTGTGTGTGTGTGTAATATATATTTGTAAATGTAGTTGTTGTCCTCTAACACAATACAATGTGTGCAATCAGTTAAATTGGCACCACTTTTTGAAACTGTTCAGAAGTACTGAGGATTTCAGATTGCCCTTATGCACAGCTTCAGGTAGGAGTGTTTCTATTAAACAGGTTTTTTAATTAGTGAAACCCACAGTTCTGAGGGTGATGTTCACCCTAATATTTTAACTGGCTAGATTTGCAGCACTTGGAGTGAATTGCAAAGGTCTGGGGTTTTCGGGGGTTCAGCTAGTTCACTGGCAAACATGCACCAGGGCACCACTCAGAAAGTGCAATACCCCATGTGATATAAAATATGCTGACAGTTGGTGTTAGATTAGAATATAAGTATATAAATAAACTGTGCAGGCTGTACTGATGAGGGAATGAGTGGTTGACTTGATTTAGAAAATTGTAATATATTAAAAATGTGCAATCAGTTACATTATGAAAGACTTCGGGGATTGTAAAGCGAAGACTTTGGTCTTTCAAGACACTTTCAAAGTCAAGATCCTGCAGTTGATTACTGCACACACGGATACTTGATGCTGGGGGGGGGGGAAACCTGTTTTTGTGAAAACTACAGAAGTTCCAAGAATAGTACGGGGAATGTGAAGTTGTATTTCCTTAGTTCTCCTGAATATTTTGGAGTAGTCCAGTACTCTTTTTATTGACTGTTACATCATCCTTTTTGTTCATATGAATATTTTAATGCCTGCTGACCTTGGTCTTACTTTCTAGAGCAAAATTACCCTTGTATGTATTGCTTAGCAGTCAACACACTCTGAAGGTTCAGCTCTCTTAAAATATGGCTTGGATTCAATTTAAATTTAGCTCACAATCTGAAACCCTGTTAGCTATAACTCTTAATTTAACTGAGTGAAACTGTTGCACAAATGCCACATTAGGTGCTATATTATCCTTATTTATCTGGTATTGAAACAATGCTTTACCTCATTTATCTAAGAGATGGTCAGCTTTTTCCAGCCTGAATGAATTTATTGGATGAGCCCAACTTCTTTTGTACTTTGTTCCTTCCTAGCCATTTATTTCTGTAAATATTAACTATAGATGTCTTTCAGTTCAAGCACAGTGTTCTTTTTGCATGAGCAGAAAGGTATAAGGAATTAGGCTCCGTTTCCAAAACATACTGCAACTAAATGCCATGCACACGCTGTGTAAGTTTTGAACATCAAGTAGTAAAAGAAAGATTTTAATTATCCCAAATCATACCGTCATTATATAGACTTTAAAGGAAAAAAAAAAAAAAAGTAGAAACCCATGGGCTTTAAGCAGTTCTTACCATAATCAGAAAGGGCATTTGAAAAATGTTCTGCCAGTGTTTCAAAACAAATTAATAAATCCTTTTAGCTTCAAAGTGTTTAACCCTAATTACCTTATCCTGTTGTGCCAGTCTTGTGCTGATGTAACTTAAGTTAGTGGAGGTACTGTTTACTTACATTGATATAAGTAAGAGGATGTCATCTTTTCTCAGTATCAGAAATAAGATCTGCTTATAGACTGTAAAAACACCTTTGACTGAGCTTTAGTTTTTTTACAGAGATGGCTTGGAATTTTGATCTTACTTTTTAACTATTCGCACTTCATGGAGATTCAAAAATGTTCCCTTTGTTCTGGGAATCAGTTGCACAAAACACTAAGTAGCTTAATTTTGAGCTTGAATTGAATCTGAACACCTTACTTCTGCAGAACTTTGTAGTAGGACTACAACAGCAAGGAGCCCAAGACTGGGCATGTGTTTTATTACAAAGCATTAGAAATGGTGATTTAGGGAAATAACAAATTTAAAACCAGTAACTTTTTCAGCTGTGAAACTACATTTGATTTAATGACAGAACAGGCTGCTGATAATTAATTTTTTGTTAAAAATACGTTCTTTGCTGTCCTAAAAGTAGCAGAAGAAGCACCTGTACTGATTTATACATGCACACTTTTCTGTTCCAGAAGGGTGCATTAGTAGTTTTTTAATAAGCAAAATGGATTTGCAGTATATTTTTTTTTTATTAAAAGCATTTAAATAAAACCAAAATTGTTAGTGGTTTGGCATCTTGTGGAGAAGATATAAGCCTGCATATTAAGGGTAAGAGATTACCAAGCTTGTAGAGAACTTTGTATGTGATGACCCTGCTGTTAGTGGGTTTGGAAGGATGTTTTTGGTTTTTTCCAGCTTTCTTTTTTATGTAAAATATTAAATTCTCTTCAGGTGGTCAGTAGCCCATGGCTGTTGACAGTTTGAAGGTATTTTCTTTGCTTTGTCATTTTTATAACTGGCATGTTCCAACATCTGTACTTCAGAATAATTGTGAATTCCTCCTTTTTTGCATGTCTGTACAGGTTGCAGACCTGGGCTGGACCCATTCAAAAAACAAGTATCAGAAAAGCCACTTGAAATTACTGTTTTGTTGATGTCTTTGACATCTTGAAAATGCTTCAAGTTAGTGAAAATGGTGTGGTATTACAGAAAGAATAGTAACTTGCTGCTTCTAAGATTTTTTTTTTTAATTATTTTTTTTTCCTCATTTTAGTTTTACTTGAATGGAAGAAGAACCACACTTGGTTTTGGTTGTTTGTTTTTTTTTTTTATTTGTTTTGCTTTTTCTTTTTAAATACTACACACTGTGGATGTTGTAAATTGATGAATCCCTATTTAATTTTGCATTACATATTGCATACATATAACGAATTTGTATCTTTTTTTTATGCTGAAAGTTGTCTCAGTTTCAGTAGGGCTCTGTCTGTCCAGAATGATGTGTAGCTCACCACCCCTGCTGTTGCTTGTGGGTGTTTTGGGTTGGTTTGGTTTTTTACATCTGTGTTAATGAAGGGAAGCCAACTGGAAACTGAAAGTTCTCTATCAGTATACACTAGCCAAATCTATAGGTGCTCTGGTCTTTGAGGAAATTCTGATTTCACTTTATGCTCATATAACACTGATTTCATCAGAATCACTCTGGATTCCCAATAGCATATGAAATCAGAATTAGACTATATGTATATTAAAGTTCCAGATTATTTATTCATATGATGCAGTGTGAAGTGTTCTTGTAATGAGAGGAATGTTTGCTAGCACCCCAGTTAAACACTTGACAATTTTATTTTGAAATAGTCTTTATTAACTAGCCTTTTCAGCTCTCCAGTTCATAACTGGAGATGTCTATAGTTATTTTGTTCCTGAGACTTTCAGGATTTTTATTGTTTGCTAGCTTAAATGTTTCCTCTTCCTGCTCTTTCATAGTATAAAGACTTGTAGAACCCACACTCAGGAAAAATAGTTGTTCTTAATTGGCAGTACAGTATTCTTGACTTCTGAACTTCATGGAATAGACTCTTGAAAAGATAAGGTCTTGCTGTATTAGCACTCCTGACTGAAAAACAGAGGTGGATCCCTCCATCCCCGTCTCTTCCCTTCCCTCTCCAACACCCTTCTTCCCTAAAAAGGGATATGCCCATAGCATATCCCTTTAAGACCAACATAAAATATTTGTAAGATAAGATCAACTGAAGCAATGGTCTGCCTGTACTTTGAAGCTAGTCCATGTTGGTTTTTATAAATGTGTCGTAAGTTTAAGTGTCCTTACTGTCACTTCTGTATGTGATGCAATATTCCTTTAGCATAAGGAAGGCCAAAAATACACTATTCTATCTTGATTCTTTCTGAAATTCTGGTGCCAGATCCTCAGTAGCTATTAAATTGGTTTAGGAACCATTTAGTTGAGTGTAACTGCATAAATTTTGTTAGGAATCTGTTCTAGTAATAAAATTAATCACAGTTAAACTTGATTTAATTGTATTGCTGAAGAAAGCCTAATTTGGGCAGAAGCTGTTTCTCCTAACAATCTTATCTGTTGTAATTTAATCCTTGAGAGCCAAAACAAGGATATTCATGGCTGCAACCTCATTCGGCTTTGTTTCTTTGGTTTAACTACTTTTCAACTATTTCCAGGCTTCAGTAATAGTGTTCTGTTCCCTGAATTATCCACTGTCCTAGGCTGTCCAAAGTTGTCTTAAGGTTTCATTTGGGGCAGGAGAAAGAAAAGGAAAAGATGGAGATGAATCCTCCTCTTACCTTGCAGGCACTGTGGTCCAAATTCTTCATCTTCTCTTGTAAAGATAAATCTGTAACTCATGATTTGGGAGTATCATCCCTTCCCGTTGCCCCCTTGCACCTCTGCAAGTTCTAACAATATCCACATACTTTCTCCAATAGAAAAGTGGATTTTGATAAGGATTTAAAATGTATACAGCTGCAGGCTGAGGTCTGGGTTCTCAGGCTTGAAAATTTGAACTGCAAGGATTTCTAGAATCACACAGAATTGTTGAGGTTGGCAGAGACTTTTGGAGATCGTCTAGTCCAGCCACCCAGTTTGAAGCGGGTCACCAAGAGCAGGTTGCCCAGGACATTGTCCAGTTGGGTTTAGAGTCTGTCCAAGAAAGAGGCTTTCCTTAATGTTTATATAAAATTTCTTCTATTTCATTGCCCAATGTCCTTTCAGTGGACAGCACTGAGAAAAAGTCCTGCCTGTCTTTTTGCTGCTTTCCATCAAGTATATATATTGACAAGGTACCCTTTGAGCTTTTCCTAAGCTCAGGCTAAACAGTCCCAGCTCTGTCAGCCTCACCTCTTGTCTTCACAGCCTTTTGCTGTTCCTTTACATCCATGTCTAGCTCATGCTGGAGAGCCCAGCACTGGACCCAGCAACCCAGGTGTGGCCACACCAGCACTTAGCAGAGGGGCAGGGTGAAGGCTAACCTACCTGCCTGGCGATACGCTTCCTAAGGCAGTCCAGGATCCTGTTGGCATTCTCGATGAATAGAGCCCAGGAGGGTGTAATCTCTTGATGCTTATATGTAACTTTGTGGAAGCTGGTAGCAGTTACATGTCTGTATCAAAAGCAGAGTACAAACACCCACCAGTGCTTTAAATACCTTTTAAAATGAGACAACTATCTTTGAAATAACCACTACTGGGGGGTGGGGAGGGGGGGTGTGTGTTGCCATGTTTTTGTCATTCTGTGATAAAGGTCCTGTGGTAAAGTAGTTAGAAAGCAAGACATTTTTGGTGGGCCAAAAAAAAGTATTTAAGATGCAGCAAGATGCATGTGCTGTCATACTGAGAATAGTCTTGCAGTACTTACAAAAAACAAAAACCCACAATCCTTTTTCTCCTCCTTCTGCTGTGCTACTCAAGTAACAAAAGTTTGGCCTATGATAATTACTGTAGTTCATGTTCATGGAAAACTGTAAAAAGTCTGCTTTTTATTTATCTTCTTGGTCTGTATCACATGCTGTTTATTAAAAAAACCTACTTCGTTTTTTATCACACTTTCGAGTGTTAATGTATATACACTAACTAAATTAAAATAATGTGGTTGATACACGTGAATTCTGAAGTGAGAATTCAGGGAATCTCAAGTCTTGAAGGTGTTATTTGGTGTTGCAGCTCTGCTTTCAAAAAAGGCTAGAAGAAAGGACATAGAAATTCTGTACATCAGTTAATCTGGGGGGTAACATGGAATTTGCGTTACTTACAGATGGGCTGTCCTAAATACATGTGGCATTTGGTTTTTGTACTTGTTGATCTTCAAAATGAGTAACTTAGATGTGGGTTGTCAAAGTTATCATAAGAGAGCAGATGTTATTGAAGTGTTCCAGCTGGAAGGAAGTCTGTGCTACATAAGTCTGGTTTTGAAAAACATTCCTCATGCTTTCATTACTGAAACTATACCAAAAAACCCACCAAAATAAATACAAAAAAAAAAAACAAACAAAAAACCCGCCACCAACAAACTAGGCTGTATTTTTGGATCCAGTGCTAATTTTGAAAGAGTAAAAAACCACTCTGGGAAATTAAGTCACTGGTGCATGTAAGAGCATGGAGTTGCAGTGGAATTGCCTCTGTGGACATGTTGGTCTGCTTTGGACTTCAGTTGCGAACAAACTGTTACCATGGGAGGGATTTGAGCTCTCTAGCTGAGAATTCCACTTTTTTGGAGGGACAAGGGAAGTGTTGGTGCTTTTAATCAGGTCACTTTTACACATCTTTGTCCCCAGTAACCTTTGACCTTTGTATGCTGGTCAGCTCTTTCCAATCGCTGCTGCCTAGCTTTGAAAACTGCTATGTTCTAATAGATTCTCCATCTGCACTGGATCAAACTCCATAATAAAAGGTGGACATAATTATCCTTACATTTATTTTGAAGCTCAAGCTGAGCTCTGGACTGGAGAGAGCATATCAAAGAATGGCTGGTGATTTTTGAAGTAGCTAGTTCAGTAACCTGAACTGTCAGATTAAACTTCTATTACAGCAAAAGGTGAGTTTTAAATTTCCTAGTAACTCTGAAATGGTTATGAGCGGTTAGTACCTTGTTTTGAATACATGGGATGGTTCAGGAGAAGGGGATTTTTGTTCAGATGCAAATTTTAGACTTTAGTGCCATTACCATTTGGGGTAGTTCTGAGTCTTGCCCCTAAAGCATAAAAAGATTGTGGAAAACTTGCAAAATTATGCAGTGAAACAAGAAGGACTTGCAATATGGGCAGTTTGCTTTAGCATCGGAATCTCAATAAGCCCTCCTGACTTTATGCTCAGAAATCAATCTGGTTTCCAACCTGCACTGGAAAAACTTGAATCAAAATCTGAACCTATGTAGCAAAAGAGCAAGAAAACTGATGCTAGACAAGATAGCTCAGATAACCCCCCCCCCACACACATGTCCTTTTAAACGCTAATATTCTTCAGCAAAGATTATTATTGTGAGCTGACATTACTACTTTCATTGAAGAAAGGACTTACTCCATCCTTATTTCAGAAAGTATGAATCCCTGCTAATTGAAATGAGCATCATTTGTGGTACTTATTTAAAAAATAAGGTGAATATGACATGGGCATCTTAGGTTTTCATTGGGACATAGGTGCTGTTGGGCTGTGCTGCTTTGTGTGGAGAAGAAATCAATCAAAAGGTATAGATGATGTATTGAGCTGTGCTTAGCCAAAGTCTGTCTCGCTGAGCAGGACTGAATTCAAAGAAAAGTTGGGTTTTTAGCGTTTTGGTTTTGTGGGGTTTTCAGTTTTTTTTTCCCCTTTGCTTCGGCAAATTACAGATTTTAAATTCTCATTACTGCCCTCCGTTGGGAACTGGGGAAAGTGGGGTTTTTCAGAATATTTACACAAAAAACATTATGGTGAGCAGAGAGAGAAATACGTAGGCATCCACCCACTGGGGTGGCTATAGCCAATTTATGACAACTTTAGCACAAGGTGTCCTGGAAAAACCTCAGCTTCTATGGCTGGAATAAATAGCAGAGAACAACATGAACTGGGATGCCAGGATCTTGTCTGTTAATTCAGCTCACGAGATAATGGATACACCACACTCACACTGCTTGAGCCCTCAGAAATTAAGTGCCTTCAAAACGACACCTTTACTCATATTCATGCTGTTTGCCATCAAAACTTATGTATAACCACAGGAAGAAGTTATTTCACATCTCCCTAGAGAGATGTTTCCAATGTGCAGGAAGGACAAAGCCTAGAGGTAGGATTTTATAAACAGCGTAAGTCTGATCTCAGCTTCCAACTGGTGAATAAAACTGAGGCCAGAAGCAGGGTGTAATTTTTACTTTTACTGGTCAGTGGAGCAAAAACACGGCATGTTGTGGATTTTGTGCTAATTGAAAGGTTTACCTTAAAATTAGGCAATTTCAGGCTAAGCCAGAGCAGAATAGCTCCATGAATGAAACGCTTGGTGAAATTCCATCATCTATTTTGAGTCCTCAAACTAAGTGACTGTACTGGTCTCCCTTTGCTCTTCAAAACAGAAACTTCTTATTTTTCAAAATAATAAGCTGCTGTTTGAAATGTTCTGCTTGTTGGAGAAGTATAAGTTACTGCGCTTTCCTATGGCATTAAAAAAGTGAAGGCAGAGTGAGCAAAAAGGGGGAATTTTTTGTTTTTGTTTTTTGTGATTATAACTTTGGAAAACCTTGAGATGAGGGAAATTGATTATTTCAATTCTCCAAACCTTATTTCATATTGATTTTAAGCTTTAAGGGTCAGTTTCCGCAACGATACAAAAATCACGACCGTGGGTAACTAAACGACACCTTTTTAGGCCTCCCCCACCCCGGCTGCGACGGCGACTGGCCGGGGTCAGAAGGCGCCCGCGCAGCCGCCAGGCGGCGCCCTCCCGCCGCGGCCTCGCAGCGCCCCGCCCGTTCCCCCGCGGCACACGGGAGGCGGCAGAGGCCCCGTGGCTGGGCGCGGAGCGGAAGGTGAGTCCCGGCGGCGAGACCAGAGGGGAGAGGCCACCAGCGTCGCCCGCCGCTCCGGGGCGCCCCGCGGCTAAGCCGACGCCCGCCTCTCCCTAGCGTTTTACCGCGCCGGGTGCGGCCTGCGTGCCACTGACCACCGCCTCGCGCCCGCCCCCATCTTACCTCTCGCCCCGGCGCCATTTGAAGTGTGAGTCCGCACCCGGCGCCCCACGGTGGCGGCTCCGGTCCGGGCCCTCTCTCTCTCCCCGAGGGCTCGCCTCTGCCTGCGGCTTCCCCGCCACTGCCTGCGGGGCGGGGCGGTGTGATGCCACGCTCCTGCCCGGGGTTCCACGCTGCGGCCTCCGGCTCCGGGCTCCGCGCAGGCCGCGGCGGGGGCAGCGGGGATCTCTCTGTTTAGGGCCTTGCTGAGGCTTTGCCATAGCCGCGCCAAACCGCCGGGAAGGTTTACCGGGAAAAAACGCCGGAGAACAACAGGCGCTACCGTCCCTCTACCCGATCCGTGGGTAAAAGGTTAACAGGGATGAAGATTAGCCGCGGTAATTGGGATAAAACATGCTGCCTCGGTATGCTGTAGGTTCTTCCCTCGCACTCAGAAGTGTTGCGGGTACTCGATGATTCCAGACGGCAATAAAACATAAAAAAAAACCACCCAAAACTATTTTTTCCATGTAATTCTCTCTTTAAAATAAAATTTGAATTCAGACAAATTACTGTATCTCATGAGAATTGCATTTGCTTGATGAGGGGTTGTTTCTCCCTGCTTTCATCCCCGGGTGGATGGCATTGGCTTCAGAAGATCCTAGGCCCCTCCTGGGTGCTTTAGTACAAATCACATCAGGTTCCATGTTTGGAGCCTTTTCTTCAAAATTATTTAGACCTAAATGTCATAGGTCCAAATACAAAACACAAAACTACATAGCTCAAGTATATTTGGTGTTGTCTCCAAGTATTTTCTGTTGTCAGGAGCGGCCAAGTGCAGCGAAAACAGACTAAGCTGGGACCAAAGTAAAATAAATAGTTCCTCTACCTTTCTTATTTTGATACTCTAAAATTAATACTAACTTTTAATGTTGTTTTCTAGCTTCAATTTCCATAGCTTCATTCTTTGTAATGCTTGTGCGTCTGATTGTGGTTTTTTATTTATCTTGTGCTGAAGTTTTAATGCGTTTTAAAATGTCACTTCATAGATGAAAATCTTCTCAAGCTGATCTCTTTGCTACTTTTGGAAGCTATACAGCCATCAGCTACTTGGCTGTTCTGCATGCTGCTACTGAAGAGTCTAGGATATTTTGGTAAGAGAGCATGACTTTTTGGATGTTTTCAACATGAAAGTTTTATCTGAAGGACTCTGCCTCAGAATAAGCTGGTCTCTGACAAAAAGCAACAAGGTGTTGGAGAACTGCCTCATAAGTTACACTGAGTTCTTGAATGCCCAGAGTCCCGACCAGTCTGGCTTTATGGTGAACCTTCTTTTGTTTCAGGGTAGAAATACAAAATTAGACTTAAGTAGTTTCATTCTTAACTTTAAAAAGATGGGGGGGGGGGGGGGGGGGGGAGTAGGAACAAAGTTCTTGTATTTAATATGCAGGTTTTCAAAATTATTGTTTCATGAAAGATAATACATACAAGTCTAACTCTTGAGTATTTTCACTTTACAGTCCATTTAGGCCATTCAAAATGAATGAACATCCTAAAAAGAGGAAAAGGAAGACTCTACATCCTTCTCGATATTCAGGTCAGTCTAGAGCTTGAGTTATGTAGGATTTTTTCAGACTACTTATTTAATGAGAACGGACCACGTGTGCTAATACCTGGAGAATCAGTAACATAAAGGGTGGGACAAGAAGCTGTGGTCCAAATATATTGACTTCTACCCAAGTTGGTAGAAGATGTGTGGCTGATGAAGAGAATTGTGCTGAACATTCAATACATACGTAGCTACATCAATGCATTAGCATTAAAACCTTCTTTTGTTTGTTTTAGATTCTTCGGGTGCAACCAAATACATAGACAACAGTGGCATTTTTTCTGACCACTGCTATAGTGTCTGTTCTATAAAACAGCCAGATATAAAGTTTTCTGAAAACAGAGGTAAGACCGTGTCTTGGGGTTTTATTATACAGTTCTTTACTAAGTGAGTCGCACTCCTATTCTTTAGAAGTTCACAGAATACAAAATACATAGTGGATGACTTCTGAGCATCGTTGTGATGAGATATGCCTCAGACTAGGGGAAGTCTGTTTAATCATTCTAATGGAAATAAAATTTTCAAAGTCGAATCAGTGATGACAAAAAAAGATTCTTCAATGTTAGATCAGTAATGATGATTAGACTACTTTGTCTAAATGTCCACTAGCTAGGTAATGTAAAGCTGATGAAAATAACCTTGAGAGTCCAGGTGGAATTTACCACCCATTGCATTGAACTGTACTTGTACTTACAGAAAACCAAATACATTTTTATAAGATGTCCACTGGTGGATGTAAAGTTTAGCACAGCAAATGGGAGGATGAATTTTTATTATATTTATTTTTAGTCTCATCATTTAGTGAGCAAGTCTCCAGAGGTCTTAAAGCATTAAAATGTCCAGAAATATTTAAGAATATGCTTTTTAAATTGTGTCTCAAATGTGAAGTTTCATTTAAGGATTTTCAGTTTTTTCTAGTATAATCTACTATTTTTTGCTGAAATGTTAAAGATAGAGTTGCCACCTTTTGAATTTTTTTTGCTGCGTTATGTACATATGGAAATAATTTCTAAGGTTTTTATTGTTACTTTCTTTAATGTAGGTTATGATGTGATCTGTATACAAACTTATGCAGCTAAAATGCATAAATAGCAAATGAGATCTGTGGTTAAATCAGAGAATCATGATGATGCTCGTATGGGCAAATGATGTCAAGAAGACCCTTCTTTTATGTTTGCAGGTAGATTCCACTGTCCGGCGCAGAGTGTGGACACAGATGATGATGGAAGTCCAGTGCATGCTGGGACTTCTCAGTGGAGTGGGTCACACCCAAATGTGGGGTTCCACTATACAGACCCTAAAAAGAAGGATAAAGGTAAAGGTTGATGTGTATTTGCAGCTTAGATGCTGGAAATCTGGAGAGCACATCAGCTGGCTTTTACTGTGATGTTTTTGCTTTGACAGAAGAGGTGAAGGATTTGTTGTTTCCATTATTTACTTGTTAAACATAAAACATTGTGGGGGCTGAGGAAAAGTAACTGCTTCTTGCATTTGTAAGCTGCTACAACTAACTGAAAAATATGGACTTAGGTGTCTTGCAGGGTTGTTTTAACCTTTTGCTTTTATTATCTGTTTCATCCTTCAGATAAAGGTACTAATAATGGAATGTGCAGAGACTTATGTGATTCACCTATATTCAGTGACAGCCCTACAGATGAAGAGAAACCTCTAGATATTCAAACTGTAGAAATTTCTACAACAGAAGTGAATGCTGTAGAAGTTCATGATATAGAAACACAAACTGTGTCACCTGAAAAACTAGAAGCTGAGGACCTAGAGGAGATCCCTCTGGAAACCTGTAAAATATTTGAGAAGAACCAGGCTTTGAATATCACAGCTCAACAGAAATGGCCTTTACTGAGAGCCAACAGCAGTGGCTTATATAAATGTGAGCTCTGTGAGTTTAATAGCAAGTATTTCTCTGATTTAAAGCAGCACATGATCCTAAAGCATAAGACATGTACAGACACTCATGTCTGTAAAGTTTGTAAAGAAAGCTTCTCCAGCAAAGTGCAGCTCATTGAACATGTAAAACTCCACGAGGAGGATCCATACATCTGTAAATATTGTGATTACAAAACAGTGATATTTGAGAATCTGAGTCAGCACATCGCAGACACTCACTTCAGTGATCACCTTTATTGGTGTGAGCAGTGTGACATGCAGTTCTCCTCAAGCAGTGAGTTGTACCTGCACTTCCAGGAGCACAGCTGTGACGAGCAGTATTTGTGTCAATTCTGTGAGCATGAAACAAATGACCCGGAAGATCTGCATAGCCATGTGGTGAATGAACATGCATGTCGACTGATAGAGTTAAGTGACAGCTATAATAACAAGGAGCGTGGGCAGTACAGCCTCATAAACAAAATCAGTTTTGACAAATGCAAGAACTTTTTTGTATGCCAAGTGTGTGGCTTTAGGAGCAGGCTGCATACCAATGTCAATAGACATGTAGCTATTGAACACACGAAAATATTTCCTCATGTTTGTGATGACTGTGGGAAGGGCTTTTCAGGTATGTTGGAATATTGCAAGCATTTAAGCACTCATTTATCTGAAGGGATTTATTTGTGTCAATACTGTGAATATTCAACAGGACAGATTGAAGACCTCAAAACTCATTTGGATTTCAGGCATTCAGCAGATTTGCCCCATAAATGTACTGATTGTTTAATGAGGTTTGGAAATGAAAAAGATCTCTTAAGTCATCTTCAGATACATGAGACAGTGTAATTGCTGTCGTTCCCTGTAATCAGTTTTTTAGAACTGAGATTAATTTCTAGTCACTGAAATGTTATATTAAATACAATTTTAACAGCAGTTCTAATGTTTTCATCTTTATGTCAGGAAAGCATGCAGAACAGCTTGGTGTTGTGAATTTCTTTATGTAGGGGTTTCAGTAGGATTAATCACACAGTGTGATGGATCAGACTCTGGGGGGTAGGGACAGTGGAAGTAGGTGCATGTTGTGATAGCAGTTCTGATGGTCATCCCATGCTTTCACCTGTAATGTAGAAGATCAGCTTTCCCAAGTTTAAAATAACACAGAGGCAACATCCATTTCCATGCTTAAGTAACGCCATACTGATCTCAGCTGCGTGTCCAGCTCGTGTTACCTTCTGCAGCAGCAGGTCATTGTGCTGACGTTCAGCAAATTGCACCAGCATGCCGAAGATAAGGGTGTTCCAAAAATTCCGAGGCATGGACTTCTCGAAGTTCACATGCAGGCCTACATTTCCCACCATGTACTTGTGTTAAGCTTTGAAAATTGACCTGTTTTTCTCCTGTGGTACCTATCCGATACCATCATTCACTTCCTTTGTTCAGTGTTTAATTTCAACTACTGTCATTGGAACTATCCAGCAACCTTCTCTTCGACACACTTGCTACAGACCTCCTATCTGCGTGATTTTTGTCTCCTGTATTTACCTTGTTCCTATCTTTTAATGCACCAAGGAGGCACGCATTGCTTTTGTGTAGATTGGGTCATGTTTTAAGGAGTAATTGCAAGGGAATTTCCAAAGTTATCCAGCTGAGTATGTACAAAGTGTGATTTTCTTATTTAAAATACTAAATTAGCTCCTACAGTGAAATGATGTATATCACCAACCTCATTTAGAGCAAGCTTCTATTAGTCTGTATTATAATTCTGTATAATTAGCTTGCCACTGCTACTAATTTGAGGACCGTTATTTTAATTCTGTAGGTTTTAAACGTCTATATACTGGCTTAAAACACTGGTGCAGTACTTACTAAGTTTAATCACTTTCAAATGCTTTCACACATTTGTTGAGATTAGATAGTGCTGTCCTGCCATTATAATCATTAGAAGCAAATCTTTACAATTCATTCTGTAGCTGTATTTCTGAGTGGATGCTTGGACAGATAAAAGCAAGGGTGAGGTCATTTGATTGTGCTAGTTACCAGGGTGAAATTACTCAGAAGTTAGCGGTGGAGTTTACATTTCTTCCTGCCCTGATTGTAAATTTGTAATGTAAGATTGTGTAATATAAGCTTTGTATAGATTTAATGAATGTATAAAACATTTCTTGTTCTGTAAGATTTGGTGTTACGAGCTTCAAGGCATGCAAGGTTGTGTTTGAATTTTAAAGCTAAGGATAAAAATTGGCTGAATCTAGTCACTTTGTGGAAGTTCTAATTTCTAGAGGAAGTATTTCTGGAAAGCCTACAATGAACTAGTTAGCATGTATTTCTTTGCAGGAGGAAAGTCCATTTTCATCACTTTGAAATGCTGATTTACTACTAAATCTTCTAGGTAGTTGTTGCAAAGGGCAACCTGATGGTGTCCTGACTATTTTATTAGTCCATTGTACAGAGAATGGCAATGTCTGTGGTAGAATTGCTAATTTCCTATTTTGAACACGTCCTGGCTGGCTTAAAATGGTTGCAATAATATAGCTAGCAAAGCACTAATAAGAATTATTTTTTATATGGAAAGTTAATTTTGTTCATATGGGTATAATTGGGGGAGGTTCTTGTAAAACCTTGCCCTTAGTGGTAACACACAAGTGAAATCATAGAATGGCTTGGGTTGGAAAGGACCTTAAGATCATCTAGTTCCAACCCCCAATGCCACAGTTGAGCTCTGGAGAGAAAGCTACTCCAGGGGATGGCAAAAACCGGGGGGGGGGGAGGAAGGGCATGTAAAAAAAAAAAAAGTGAGCACATGTGTTTGTATAGACCAGCATTGTGTTCTGTACATAAAGGTGGCCTCTAATAGAAGCAGAGTGCCCCATGATAGAGAAAAGTTGTTGCTGACTGCTGAATAACTATGTCATGTCTATCTTTGAGTTGTGTTACTGCTAATCTCTAAACTGGGAATCACAGAACATCCTGTTATGAAGCCAAATCATTCCTAATTAAAATGCACCTCACTGTGTCAAATTAGGAAATATATTCAAGTTTTGTCTTAGGTTGGATTTTATAAATAAGGGACTAATGTTAGTATTTTCTTTAATACCTACCAAAAAGTAAATGGAAATGTACTGGAGTAGCTTGACTCATTTTACCTCAGTAGGAACACAGGTAGGATATCTGCTTCCACATGATCAGCATGCTAAAACAAGAAAGATAATTAAGTAATAGAAAAAGTAAGTAATGAGTGGAGTCTGTCTAGAAGTTGGAAGGCCAAAAAGAATGACTGTACATGCCAGAAGCAGTATGTTGTTGCCATTGAAGGGAAGACAGGAGTTTGGCTTATTTATGTGATGCACGTCAGTGGAAGGTCAGTACTCTGACATTGCTGCACTGAGGTGAACAGAGAGCACGTGAAAGCAGCTGGTCTGACGCTGCTGGAGACTTGTTGGTTTTAACCCTGTAGCTCCAGCAGTTCATCACAATCTTGGATGAGAGAAATTAGCTGTACGAATTAGTAAAGTATGCCAGTATTATATTTTTTTTCTTTGGGACACTCAGTATATCAAATCCAGTTGTTTGTTACATGGATACCCACAAAGTTAATCTTCTCCAAGAGCAGCATTCTACCTAGCAGCTATACGAAATTACAAGAGTGGGTTTGAAAGTATTTTGTATCTGCAAGTAATTTGTATCTGAGTCTTTTTTTTTTTTTTTGTCTTCCCCCTCCCCTTTGGAGCCTTCAGGTTATATGTGTATTTCAGCTTCCCAGACTGTGTTTATGAAGAAAACTTTTTTATATGAAACAGTTGGCTTTAAAACACAATTTAAATCTCAGCCGTTATTGTAAATACTTGAAATACAGCAAGCTAGTAATTCTCAAATAATGTGTTCTTTATAATGCTTATTGTGTTGGTGATTGTCATTGTGGTTGTTCTCATTGTCTTATGCTCTGTGTATCGCATGTATAAATTATCGGTGCTTTTTAACTCTTGAAAGTACTTAGTTTGTCATTTTAGCCGACTCTGATTAAACCATGGTGCTGACAGTACGCAGGAGTCCGAAATTATGCTTCCCGTCTTTTTGTCTTAGGTCCCCGTGCAAACGCTGAGGGGCCGGCAGCCCGCGTTCACCGTGCCCGTGAGGCGGGGCCGACACCAGTTACGCCTTCCTGCGCCTCCCGCCGGGCAGCCAGACAGCTGTGCGCGGAGCTGCTGCGAGCCCCGGCGGGTGGCTTGTCCAGCTACTCTCCGAGGACCAGCGGCCAGTTCCCGGTCCTCCATTTCGCCTGTCCCTGCTCCTCCGCTGCCCTCGCTGAAGATGGCGGACACCCGCCCCCTGAGCCGTCAGTAAAAATGGCGGCTCCCCTCCCCTGCCAGGCGGAGCCGGGAGCGCTTGAGGCGGAAGCGGAAGTGATGTGCGCCCCCGTCCCGGCGGCGGCGGGGAGCAGTAGGAGGCGGTGGCTGTGGGGAGGGCCCCGCGAGTGGCGCGGCGGTTGCCGAGTAACGGTAGGAGCTAGCTGAAGCTCTGTAAGTGACCCGAGCCGGCCTCTCAGCGGCGGGTGTCACCCCTTGTCGTGGCGGGGGCAAGGTCTGCCTGGGTGGCCTCGGGGCTCTGCGGGCCCGACCTCGCTGGGCTTACAGGACAGCGCTGACCTCGTGCGGTGGCGAACCCCCGCAAGCGGTGGGGAAAGCGTGAGCCGCGTTTTAAGAGACGAAAACCTCGTATTTCGGGGACAGGCCTCACCAAATCGTTGAGCTTCGTGAGCCGCTGTCGGCGCGTGTAGTGAGAAAGAGAGTTTGTTAGGGTAATAAAACCAACGTGGTCTAAATTTAGTGGCGTTCCTTGTGGTTTAGGGGTTTGGGTTTCTTGTTTCGTGGAATTCTTTTTGTTGTTGATTTGTTTGTTTGCTGGTGGTTTTGTGTTTTGTGGTTTTTTTTTTTGGGGGGGGGGCTTTTTTATTTGAATGACTGGGTAAGAAGCTGTGACTTCTCACGTAGATGGGTGTACTGAGCATTTTGGTCACTTTCATGTAACTTTCATGTAACTTTCCTTGCAGTTGCACGATGGCAGAAGCTACCGTCTCTCCCCTGAAGCACTTTGTGCTTGCTAAAAAGACTATCACTGCCATTTTCGACCAATTGCTGGACTATGTCACAGAGGGAGCAACTTTTGTGGAAGGTTAGCTTTCATCTTAAACACAAGGGTCTTGTCTGTTGCTTTGAATGTATTTTACGGTAGAACAATGTACGTCAGGATATAGGCTGTTTGTGTAAACGTACACCTTCAGAAGCAGTCACGTTTTTCATTTAACATTGCTGATTTTTTTTTTTCCATCTCGGGCCACCAGGAATTCCTAGGGTGATTATGTATATGAGAAGCTGATTGCATTGCTTGGGCTAGTAGTTAGCCTTCTTTCCATGAGGAAAACTTAACAACTCCAGTCTTTATATTCCTTTTGCGTTTTATCTTTAGTACAAGAAAGGACAAACAGGTTCTCCCATTATTCAGCTAGAAAGTAGATCAACATGATGTAATGCAGAGAACCACCGGTTGATGTTTTACCAACATGTAGGTGTATGTGTCATCACATGGAGCTGGTTCATCACCTCAATGATCTCTGCAGGGAGAAGATAGTCCAGCCTAGCTGCTCTATCCTTGAGAGGTCCTGGCTTTCCTTTCTGAAGGAAGCAGGTGTTGCAGAGAGTGGAGCACATCAGCACAGCAGGCTGTGTTCACAGGGTTATTAAATCCAGCAGTTAGATTGGTGATTAATCTTGAATGATGGCACAAGTGCTTTTGGTGGAGCTATCAGATGACGAAGACTAATATCAGTGTCCATAATGGGGTTTTGTCTTGTTTTCTTAACCATTGCATCATTAAAATTTGCACAGATCTTTATTGGCATGTGAAGTAGTGATAATCTATGTCTGTATATGATTACTTTTATGTTATTCTTTTTCTGTGTGTAGCCACATACAAGAACCCAGAGCTTGAGCATGTAGCAACAGAAGACGAACTAGCAAAAATACAGGCATATAAAAACAAGTTAGCAGTCATCGGTGAGGTGCTTTCACGGAGACACATGAAAGTGGCTTTTTTTGGCAGGTAATGAATGGAATTACCAGAACGTAAATTGTTTTTTTTTTGTTGCTGTTTTTTTCTCTCATGTAGCGCCTAATGTCTATCTTTATAACTTAAATGCCCTGGAGTCAGTGCTTCATTGTTTTCCTCATTGTTGCTTGAAATGTAATACATAAAACCAAGTTCACTCTTACCTAATTGATACTGAACATTTTTTTGATGCCATCTTGCATTGTGACTGTAGATTAATTATTTATCATTACATGCATTTCATTGATAAACTTTGTAAAATAATCATCCTGTATAGATCAGTTGCTTGGCTTGGGAAGATCAGAGTTTGTCACCATCTTCTCCAGAATGGCTTTTTTTTTGCTTTTTTTTATTTTTTTTTTAATACAGTGGTTTTGTTTCATATCTTTGGTTTACTGAACTGTTACTGTGATGTACCAACTGTCTTGGTTGTGCTTGATCGCAAGTACTGAAAAACTAAACTTTGGGCTCCTTATGTTTCTGTATATAAGCAGCTGAAGAAAAATGCAGGTGATTGCCTCATTGGTTCTGCTTTCCTGAATCAGTAATTAGGAAAAGTTCTAGTTCGCAGGTGTTGGTGGTATTACCACAAATCAAGTGTCAAACCTTTTGCATATTTAGGTAGCATATTTAGTTATGGGTGATTTAATTTCACTTTTGTTTTAGGTGTGTGTATATATATATATAAAAAATACATGTATCTATATAAATTATTTTCAGTATTAGGAAACTTTTCATTTTGGTCAGCTTGGGATCATCTCAGCTTTTTTTTTATATTTTTTATTTTTTAATTTGCAGCAGGAAGAAAGGGAGCTAAAAAGAAAGGTATTTGTTGCACTTGAAATGTATTACTACGTAAGAAGCATTCTGAAGAAATGCTGTGATGTCAGGTGTATAAACCCAGAGCACTTAGGTTTTATGTGTCTCTGCTTGTCTGCATTTTGTTTTGCATTTGAGTCTCATTTTAGTGGAAAAGTTGTAAATTTTCAGTAAGAAATTGTGATAGGGCCTTAACATTTCCAATAAATTTCTGCATTCCAAACATTGTGCCATTCTGTTCCTATAGAATTTGGAAGGTGTTGGAAGATGATGAAAATCTGCCTTCCCAAATGTAATGTCAGATACAAAATAGAGAAGTCGTTGTAAAAGACTAGTGCTTTCAAATGCTTTTATGTGCCTGGTTAGTCTGAGGTCTGTTAGTCCACTTTGCTTCAGGAAGATTGATTTTTCTGTGCTTAAATTTAAGCATGTGTTTACATATTTTTTTTTTCTAGGAATGCAAATCTTCAAGTTTTAGTTGTAAAAATTCTCTAAGAGTATTGGAAAAAAATGCATGGGACAGTGGTCTTAGCTTCATTTTGCTAAAAATAGTTCAGCTATTTAAAGAAAACCAATAAAAGGATCTAAGATAAGGAAATTAGTTATATCTTAGCTTTGATATTTCCCAAAGTTAAAAGTAGAATACGTTTGCAGGCTGTGATGTGTGGTAAAAGTTGGTTTTTCCAAGGGCAAAGATTCAGAATGGGAAAAAGCAAATTCCCCTCTTCCTCTGACATTTTGAATACATTTGTAAACTGTTGTACAGTGAGCACTGAACTTTTTTCTAGAAATAGCTCAAAAATAGCTCAGAAAGTCTCTGTAACTTCATACTGTTATGTAATAGTTAAACTTTAGATATTTATGGGTGAGGGTTACTGTTAAGTAGGACATTGCTGAGATTTCCCAAGTTCTTGCAGAATCTTGAGTTGCTGACCAGTTAATTTTAATCAACAGGGTTTTGGTTAACTTAACTATTTCAGCCTTCTAAAAGAAGGGCAAGACTAAGTTCTGTAATTAAACTGCACAAGCATTAGAAGTATTATGCACAAGGAAAAAAACTGAGGATGTTTTGCACATTGTTTCATGTCTTGCCTTAGAAATCTTCATTCAGTTCAGATTAACATGCATTAAATTGTTCTGGATTGTCATTGCTGGCTGTGGTGAGAATTTCCACAGCAGTGCTTTGAAACTTACCTGAAGGCAGTAGTGCGCTGACTCTCCTTTTGTACCTCATCTTATGCCTAGAAGACTCTACCAGAAGTAGCAGCTCCTTTCTGACTGGTAAAGATGAGGCCTTTCTCCAAAGGCACCTTAAGTTGCTGAGGTGGTAATTTCGTGAACATTTTAAGGAGTTGCTGTTGATTGCCACCATAGAGGGTAGTCCTTGGTCATGCGGCGTTCTCATGGCCTCCTCCCTCCAGCGTCCCTGGAATTCCATTAGCCTTGCTGTGAGCAAGAATGTGGAGTTGTCTGGTCAAAACATAATTCTGCCCAAAATGTTGCATGTATTTTTTATTGGTCCTTTTCTCAGGAATGCCCAGGCTGGCACAGAGAAGAGGGGGACTGCCCCTTGTATGATTTAGTAATTGTTTTAAATTGATGTGAGGTATTTTTTTCTGCTAGATGCTTTTTCTGGTGTAGCAGATTTGAGCCAGGATCTTTTTCAAATTCCTTACACAGATTGAGGTATACCAGGTAAAGCACGTTTGGCAGTCCAGGTTGGGCTAGTTAAGCTAGTGTGTGTTCATGCAAATGAAAATTGGTTTTCTTGGTTGCATAGGCAATGTTGATAGCAAGGAAGACTTTTTAAATTGCTATCCAGGTAAACTTTTCATGCACTCCCTATTTTCTGGCAAGCTGTGCTGTACTGGCTTTAAGCTTTGTCACCCAAAACAGCTTGCAGTATGTGGGTCTGATGTAATTAATTGGGTGTATTCTGTTCAGGACAAAGGTATGTTTAATGCTACTGTACTGTGCTCAAAGTGCTTTGATTTTTCTATCCCTCTAGAACGAGCAGTGGGAAAAGTTCAGTTATTAATGCAATGCTGTGGGATAAGGTACTTCCTAGTGGGATTGGCCATACAACTAACTGCTTCCTCAGTGTGGAAGGGACAGATGGAGATAAGGCTTATCTTATGACAGAAGGGTCAGATGAAAAGAAGAGCGTCAAGGTACGTTTTTTGAATGATTAATGCTGATTTTCACAGTAATTTTTTTTTCGGTCATTAACAATTTCAAGTCAAACTACAGTGGTTTACTTTGCAATTTATCTTGGATATTTCAGAGAAACAACTAATGCATGTCTCGTAGCACAGCTTATGTTGAGTGATTTATAGATCTGAAAGTAAGTTCTCTTACTTGTTAAGGATTTGGAATGTGCTTCTCATTTGGCCTTATGGTGCTTAACTTATCCAGCTTCTTGCATTGATGTGTTAAACTTCGAAGAGAAATTCACGATGGTGCTCAGTATCACACACTCTAGCCCTGTAGAGAATACTACTCCTCCAAAGAAACTTCTGAGTTTCAAGGCACAACTTGTTCTTTAGATGCTAGTGAGTCTAAGAGCTTCTAAAAAAGTAACGTCACAAATATTCACCAGAATGATGTATGAATTCTCCTATTCTGTTCAAGATAGATCCTGACCAGGTTTGCTTGAGAGCTAAATTAGACTGATTTACAGAATTGTTCATGTTCATGTTTGCCTTCTCTTTTTGTTCTTTATAGACAGTCAATCAGCTTGCTCATGCACTTCACATGGATAAAGATTTGAAAGCTGGCTGTCTTGTCCATGTCTTCTGGCCCAAGTCAAAGTGTGCTCTGCTGAGAGATGATTTGGTTTTAGTGGACAGGTATTTTTCTGTTTTAGTAAATGTTTTCTTAAATTAGTTATTGTATTATTTAGAAGAGAGATTGATTTACTAATAGTTTGTGTTTTGGTTGTTAGGTTGCAAAGTTATTGAAAGGCAGACTTTATTAGAGAGGGAGAGATTACAGAGTTTGTTCTTTTGTTTATACTGCTGCCTGTGATCACCCTGCTGATTTTGGCCTTGTAACAGTTGGAACAGGCAGGTGTCTTATGATTTAGTTTAACAAGGGACTACCTTTTGTCTAAGGATACTTCTACCTTTAAAACAAACAGTATGGGAGCGCAAGTAGGGTTGATGCAACAGCAACCTCTTGTCTGTCTGCTGTCTTTGAACACTTCACACTGATCATGTGAAGCGTAGGCAATCTGGACTTAATTTTTAAGAGCTTCTGATAAGACTTGCATTACCTACATACCAAAGTAATGGGTGACCTCAAAATGCAATTGTGACTACATGGGCTGTGTGCGCCTGTGTGTTGGGCTACCATTTCTCAGAACTTGTGTATTTGTAGAATTCTGAAAGCTGTTGCTTTGTCTGTGTCAAATGCCGATATTCCTGGCCACTGAGGTATGACCTGATTTGTGAATCAATATAGATTGAATTTGAGAGTAATTCACTTGAGTATGAGTGAATTTATAACTATGATTATTTTCATATCCAGCATAACAATACCCAGCTTGTATTCTGATAAATTGTAGTGAGTTTTTTGTTGCATCTCTGGTCTTGCACCTTTGAAATCACTAGGCATTTGTTGTTTTCTTGGGTGCAAACTCAGGTCCTGTGTTAGTCATGGAGAAAGCCAGCCTGACTGGCACAGGGAGCTGGTGGTTTTGAGGCGCTGCTGGCTTCTAAGCTTATGCACATATGCTGTCTCCCTGGGGACATGTACATAGCACAGGTATGCTGGAAACCCAGAAGGGATCCTTGCATAGATACGATACAAGGCATGATTTGATCTGCAAAGTCTCGGATGCTAAAGGTGAAATGTGAAAGGAAGAGAAGACAGTCTGGATTCTGAGAACAGGTTCTTGGAAGGAGGGCATCATCTTTTTACTGTTAAATAGAGAAAATTTAAACCAGCAATAGTTGAGGAGTTGCAAACATGACTTAATCTCATATTCCACTTACATTTTAAAAAAACTGACAGCACTATGGTTTTAACTTAATTTTAGTTTCTTGTTAAATCTGTACACAGCTTTGTAGCATTTCACTTTAAAGTAAGCCTTTATTAATGGAGAAAACATCATATGAACAGCTGTCCTTTTTGATTGAAATCTAAAACTTGGGATATGGGGGACTGTTTTATGAGACTGCCTGGATTTCTGATGGACTGCCTGTCACTTTTCTTGGCAGTTGTGGTCTGCCTACTTATTCAATAGAAACTGCATTTTCGAATAAGTAGATGGTCCAATGAGCAAGTGACTGATAACTCTTAAAAATGATAATTGGCTTTTGCTGTGTTTGCCTTAAGCTTGAGGTAGGCATAATCCTGAAGGTAAAAGCTTTGTATGTTCTTACAAGGCCATGAGGCAATCCCACTCTTATTTTTTTCAGTTGATAAAAATCAAATGCTCCTTTTCTGGGTAAATATAAGTTTGTGGCTTTTTATTCTCAACAGCCCTGGCACAGATGTCACTACAGAACTGGACAGCTGGATTGATAAATTCTGCTTAGATGCTGATGTGTTTGTCTTGGTTGCCAATTCTGAATCAACTCTCATGAACACGGTATGTTACGCAATGATTTTACGTTAGTTCTTCATTTAAGTATTCAGCAGTTTCACAGCTGAAATGATTTCTCTTAGGCCTTTACTGAAGCTCCTGTGAATTATTGCACTGAGATGTTGAGAATAGCTCTTGAGGGTGGGAAGCAAGAAACGATGTATATCTCTCGCAAGGGAAAGGAGAACCAAGCCTCTTACGAGTTTTGCTTACTCTGACTTAAGCATCATATTTGTCCTTCCTATCTCAGTTTCTTTTTTGATAAATGGGTGATGCAGTGCTTGTCTGGCCTTACAGTTTGTTGATTCTTGTCAGCTCAAGGCACTTGTATTATCAAAGAAATAAATTTCAGAGTATTTCATGTCCAGAAGTTCAGGAAAATACACAAAGTAGGTGAAGGAAGTTAGAATTGTTCCTCATGTGTTCTTGGCTCAGAAGAGAGTGAATTCCCTTGATGCACCTTCTGCTGAGGACAAGTGTTACCCGTTCCCCTCACTGGATGGTACTTCTGAAGAAAATGCTAGCAATAAGCATTCATGTTGCATGGTTCTGTGCAACTTGGAGAGCTGAAGACCTGTTAACACCTTTATTCTATAAAGAGCCTTGTTTCAAGAGAGAAGACTCCTGTATACCTTGCAGCCTATATATTGTATGACTTGCAGAAGGAGAGAGTGCAAGGTGACCAAAGGAGCTGTTATGATACTCAAAATACGAAACCAGAGATTTGGTTTAATTTTGTAGTGATCTTCAGATTTCGCTAAACTAAGTATTGTGAATGCTGACAATGTCAATATCAGGTTTCCAAATTATTGGAACTGTGACTGCCAAAATGTAGTAGAATGCTGCTGAGAAATCTCTTGAAGACTTTTATTGAGCCTACTGTAGACAAATCTCTTGATTGATCTGAGCATAGTTCTGACATGCAGTGTCTGAACTTTCTAATTATTGAGGTATTTTTTTAATACAAAAGAAAACTGAATGTACAAAGACAGTATATCATTGCATTCTAGCAAATGAGAATAGTTTGGTAGATACAAGAAAAACGAGTTTTAAAACATTACAGTCCATCTTCTGAGCCTGATCGTCAAAGATTCTGGTACCAAAGAGATGTGATTTAGAAGGGGGGTGGGGGAGAAAATTCTGACAACATCCAGGGTAAAGAGAGAGGATTTGACACAGCTCTTCCTTTGTCTTCTCCATTATCTCACATGAGGCACACTTTGAAGTTTAGTATGAGCAGGGTCTAGAGGTTGCTTGTACTGTGTGCCTACCATAGTTGGCTTGGGGTTTTTTAATTAAAAAAGGGAAGAAGAAAAAAAGATTGGGTTTCAGTGAACATCTCATTACTATATAAACACAGAAACAGTAGGGACCTGTGTGCCAGATTTCAGTTTGGTGTAATGAAGTAGCAGAAAAAAAGCCAGATTTAATAGGGCTTCTCATTTACTCAGGAAAAATAACCATTAAAACCAATCTGACCAATCTAATAAATGTATGGCCTATTTGTCTTTCCAACATATCTGCTGGAAGATTCTGTTGATTTTGTATTTGTCTCATCCAAAATGCTCAGTGACAGAAGTGCTCCTCTGCTTTTTAATGAGATTTTTGGCCAGCCTTTATTCCTTGTCAGGTATGGCTGGAAGCTGCTAAATAGAAAAAGGTTAGTCTTGCAATTTGTTTCAAGCATTAAAGTCTTGCTGAGGGTTTTTGGTTGCTGTGCTTATAAATCCTCACTTAATACTGAGCACCTTGTAATTACTGGAATCTGGAAACACCAGTGTCCAGGGTGCATATTAGAGGGAAAGGAGGTGCATCTTAGTTGTGATTGAGGCTTTGGCTCAGTAGACAGTTCTCTTACTCTTCCTTTTAAATTTTTCAGTCTGGTAGATACAAAAGTTGCTTTTAACAATTATGTAACTGCTTTAAAGCATTTCTATTTTGCTTTGCATTGTGGCAAATAGTAATTTCTTCATCTACACAAGCTTGTCTTTCAGGTAAAGCATATGATAACTATGTTCTCATCCTCCTTAGGCATTATTTTTACCTCTTACTATAACAGGTCTGAGAATACTTGGCAGCTTCTTCACGGCAGCTGCTACAAAAGCACAGCTTTTTTTCAGAAACACAGTTTTTTCTAATATTGCCTCATAAATTCTCTTCAGACAAAGTTCTTATTTGTGCAGCAGTCACCTTGTTTTCATATGCTTACTCCCTGGATGACAGAAGCTAATGCATCTCCAGCGTTGTGTCCAGAATGTGCAGTGATGTCCTGCTGCAGATTCAAAAAGCTTATGGCAGCCCAGGGATCTCTTCTGTTTCAGCTGTGCTGCGCAGAGATTCATTCCATCATGACTTACCCATTATGACTATGAAAACAGCAATGATGGGTGTTAGGTACGGGCAAAGGACCTAAATATGTTTTTCAGGCACATGCCTTCTGATTTTTAAAATGAAAACATTCGGCAGTGACTTTTCTTCCTGTGGCTTAAGCCATACATTTACATATAGGCAATGTAACTTGTCTGTAGTTCAAGCTGACATCACCTAGTTGAAGGATACAATTAGAGGGTGTTTTTCAGGATATAGAATCCAGGTCTGACAGAGTGAACAGAAGTACTTTTGTACTTTTCAGATAAGGAAGACTTCACAGTTTTAGCCAGGCGTCTTATTTTAAAAAGGAAATGAGCTGCATCTTGTGTGTTCCTTTTCCCTTTCTCTCTTCCCCAGCAATATTTTGAGTGTCACAAGTTTCCTACAGGACTAGAAGTGTCAAAGGAGATGAAGTTCTGTGAGGGGGGAAAAAAAAAGCAAACCAGTGAATAGCATGATAGATTTATAGCAAAATAGACTTTATTTCCAGTGTTTTCTAAACTGTCTTTTTTCTTAATTTGTATTTGTACCTATTTTTAGAGAAGCTTCTTTGACTTTTAGCGCTGGTGTTGGTCTTAGGACATCTAATGATTATCATGAGCCCTTTTTTTTGTATTAGATGTATGTGGGGCTTAATACTAATTAATTATTTTTAATAACCTTTTAAAAATTGCAATAACTTCAGAATCTCTTACAGAAGATTACGTGACTCTTATTTGGATGTCTGGGGAGTTTTCTGTTTGTGCTTTAATTCTTAGGAAAAGCATTTTTTCCATAAAGTGAATGAACGACTTTCCAAGCCAAACATCTTCATCTTGAATAACAGATGGGATGCCTCTGCATCAGAACCGGAATACATGGAAGATGTGAGTGACTTGATGGCTCTTATTTGGGTTGATTTAAAAAAAAAACAACATATATATATATAAAGAAAAGGCCCCCACATGCATAAAGACATGTTAAATTGCCTACATAATACAGTTATTAATATGAAAACACCAGCTTTGTTTTATTAATAAAAGGATAAGTTATTTAGTCAGAAAATGGAAATAATTTATTCCTTGTTCAGAGCAAAATGCAACCTGCAATTCAAACATTCAAACTCCAATATATGCAGGCAGGTAATACAGTGGGAAGCTTGTTTGGAACCTTTTCCTCCACAGTTAAGCTTGTTTTAAGTTTTCTTTGTATTATTAATTTCTGTAATGGTAATGCAGGCTGAGGGTTCAGATTATACATGTATACATGAAGAGATTAGCTGGCAAAGTACAGTGTTAGATGGTAACAGTTTGGTGTGCTCTTGAGATCTTTCCAGCAGCAGCTAGCTTGCAGAGGTGGTTATTTCTCTGTATATGGGGAATGAAGTGGTTAAGCCAGTAACTGACTGATATTTCTGACTTACTTTCTTCTACCACTGTCAGAAACATATTGTTGCTTCCGGGTCTGTTTAAATGGTTAAAAACTGCGTCAGTAGGATTAGAAGGCATCTGCTATCTAAGGGGTTGTTCAGTATCTGTTTCTGACTCTGATGTTCTAATTTGATGATGACTCAGTTTTTGCCGTGTTCTCACGAGCTTTTTACCTTTCCCATAGGTGCGCAGGCAGCACATGGAGCGCTGTCTGACTTTCCTAGTTGATGAGCTCAAAGTTATTGATCCTGTAGAAGCGAGGAATCGCATCTTTTTTGTTTCTGCAAAAGAAGTTCTGAGTGCCAGGAGACAGAAGGCCCAAGGAATGCCAGAGGGTGGTGTGTGGGAACTCTTCCTTTCCTCAAATACAGGAAAATATCATAAAACCTGATAAATAAAAATATTTAAGGTACAGTCACTGCTGTGAGGTATTGCTCTTTCCTTATGGTCTGTTATATTTTACAGGTGCAGCACTTGCCGAAGGGTTTCAAACAAGATTCCAGGAGTTTCAACATTTTGAGCAGATATTTGAGGTATTTATGATGGGCTTTTCAGACTGCCTGTTTTTTAATGCAAAGGTAACTTCTGCTTCGCTTCATTTTACTGAACATTACCCATGTTAGCAAGTGGAGGAGCATAAGGTATTCAAACCATCTGACAGCTTTGGCTTATCTGTGGGTTCTGTACATCTCCTCACCTTGAGTAGCAGGTAACTGTTGGAAAGAAGTATTGTTCTCTGAGGAAAGGGACCAAAACTCTTAGCTCATGTTTTGAGATCTCTGTAGTAGTATAGTCTATATAAAAAGAGCTGATGCTCTTAGAAAGGTGTGTATCACTTATAACCATGAGCTGGTGAGATGTTTTCTCTACAATAAGCCTTGTTTTGTTCTGAAGTTGTAGCCTTGCAATCAATCACTGTAATTCAGGATACCACTAGTAAGAAATTCTCTTTCACTGATGTAAATCTAAATATTTCCTTGCATTTTTAAAGCCAGAGTTCTGAAGTGATCACCATTATCTACTGCTTAGCTCTGATGCTCTGAACATTAATAGTGGTTTTGCATCCTTCTTGTTGTAACTTCAACATCAGTTTAGCTGTATCCATAGATGGAGTTTACAGTTCCTTCAGAAGTTGGACTGGCTAGACAGTGAGTGATTTCTTTCTGATAGAATCCATTTGCCTTGCTGACTTCATAACTCTAAAGCCATTCTTCCATATCTTAAGGAGGTATCTTGGGTATGCCTTCATGGTTTTGTGTGGTGTGGATCAGCATATCTCATGCACCATGAGCCTGAACTCAGTGACTGTCGTTTGCATACACTACATGCTCAGGATGGCTCTTGTGTGCCAGAACTGGTAACTCCTTCTTTGGTTTATTTTGAAAAATTAAACTGCCTTTGAAAAATATTTCTTCTCGCATCACAACAAACCCATTTGACTTTAGCAAAACCAAGTTATCTACAATGTGTGTAGATGAAAAAGGTGTTAAAATAATAGCTTTATTTAGTCCTGCATAAGCAAGAAAATGTCAGACTGAAGTTTTAATTTATTTCTTATCCACACTCTACTATAGGTGACTGAATTGTTGAAATGATTGATTCATAATACTGACAGGACCTGAGCCCATGAGGCCTGAAATCTGTTGCTTGTGCCACAAGTTGTAGCCAAACATGCATTTTTGCTTGTAACTTTTGTCCTTGAATTACAGTAAGAAATTTTCAACCAGTAGGAAGGAAGTGGAAATTCAGCTACCAAGTCAGTTACTGTTCTTTAGCATATTTTGCCAGGTGCTGTACCCAAAGCTTTTTTGACAAAATCTCTTATAATTACAGTTGAGCACTCAACAGTTAGGATATTTTAAGATTAAGATGGATGGCTGACTTAATAAATGATGTGATGCTGTGAGTGCTCAGCACATGTGTAAATCAGATGTCAAGAGTCTCAAGTTGGCTACCAAAATGAGAAGCATCCTCCATGAGATCACAACCTCATGACAAGTTTATTTGGCAGAGTCTGGGACAAAAAAACATTCTGTGATAGCATGGTAAGGCCTTAACTTTTTTCTTCTTTCACATTACATATTTCATTTGCTGCACACCTTCCAACTCCAGCAGTGAGAGTTGGTTCTGTAATGCTTTTCCCTGCTCAGCCATGTTTCATCGTGAAATCATGATGAAGGGTTTTGAATACAAGTATGATCACATCACTTAAAGAGAATGACAATGTGCTAAATTAAGATTGCCAAATCAACTTAAACATTGAATGTCTGGTGTCACAGCTTCTTTCAGGTTCATGTTTTGTGGGCAATTTCCAAAGTTATAATGACATTTTATTTGCTTTTAAAGTGAGGCTGATACTTAAATGGTTCACCAGGTCTGAAATCTTCAGACCTAGTACTCAGAGTACTGTCATTTGAGCTGATAAAGCAGCTATCATCAGCATACTATTGTCATTAGTTGTGTTTAGCAGCACGAGGCTATACAACCTCATTTACTAATGAATATCGTATATCAGGTAGAATTTTCTGTGTTCAGTCTGGAAACAAAATCCTGCTTGATACTGTGCTTTATGCACTGCTGCCTTAATTCAGATGCTGTATAGCTGTGAGTACAGCCTAAGCACTTCTGGCTCAAGGACTTTGCATTTGCTCTGTTTCCTGACAGAGGAGCTGCAGGTCCCACAACCCTTGGATTACACTCCAGTCTGTGAAAAAGAAGGGAAGAGAGCACAGATGCTTTTATCTGTCTTCAAAAAACACTTCCCAGCCACAGTCTGTGTGTCTTGCCTTTAGCTCCTAGTCTCTGTTCAGGTTCTGACTTTTCAAACATCGTTTGTGCTCTTTTTGCATCCACATGTTCCATGTTGTCGCTAGCTATATCTGCTGGTTTTGCTCCTCCTAGATTCTTACCCTGCTTGTATCTTCATTAAAATTGGATGGCTTCTTCCTCTTTTCCACGTGGGCTGAGAAGAGGAACTGTTACTTCTCCAGTACTTCTACATTACTGATTTTAGTATCAGTTCCCTGATGGGAAAGCTCGTTCATTCAGGATTGATAGGAGCTCATGTAGCTAGAATCTTAAAATCTAGAAACAACGCATCAGTGTTAGTTCTGAAAAATTTGGACCATTCTGAAAGGTTTGTAACTACAGTTACGTAGACTTCTCTGTGAGAAAGAGATATAAGCATGTTTTTTTGCAAAGCACAGGGTGGTTAAAGTTATGAAAAGAAAAACTGGTCCAGGCATTACTAGAAACGCAAGCCGTGGTGAAATTACGATTTTGCAAATATATGTAGTAGCTTTAAAAAGCAATGTTACTGTGTCTGTCAGCTGTGTTACAACAAAGGAAGAAAGTCTTAAAGCAAAGGGTTGAATTCAGTTCTGAATTTTTATATTGTGAAATAACAGTAGTCAGTGTATCTTTCTTCTGAAATTTTACAGTGAGGTACAAAGAAATGTCTTACCGAAACAGCAAAGAAGTGCCTGCGTAGTGTACTGTGTGCAGTAATCCTTAGTGGATATTCTATGTAAAACCAAACCTCACTATGCCTCAGGTTGTGTTTCCCAAGTTTGTTCAAAAAGCTAGTACAGAAATGGTGTGGGGAGGAATGGAGGAGGGAGGCAGGGTAGAATAATAATTCTGGCTGTAAATTGGAGTGAATTAGTACACTACTGCAGAGTCCTTCTCTAACACTGCACAGGAGTGTAAATAAGCAGTATGTTTAAAGACTGTCTTGATACACTGCAAGTGGGCTGGAAGGCAGCTGGTTTTGGTTATGCTGTTAAAACATACCTTTTCTCTTTGTTTTGGTAAATAGTTACTTGACACCAAAATTGCTGCTGTCCCATTCTTATCTTTCCCAGTCATTTAACTAACCTTTGTGTTTTTCCTAGTGCTCTAACTTGGATTTTCTCATTGTGTTGTGAGTGACTGTCAACCTTTTATCTACTGCATAGTAATGTTGGGAAGATTCTTTCCTCCATGACACATAGTCTAGCTCTTACAATGTGCTGATATTTATGAAACTCTGGCCTTTCATTGCTGATTTCTAGATCTGCTTCATCGAGGAACAGAGATTATAATTTATACTTTTTTATTATTATTTTGTTTTGATCTATTATTTTTAGATAGCTGAAATTTGTTATTACAAACTATACTAAGGTCATAGGCAAGTCTTTTAAAAGCAACCTAAACGTATTTGGGCTAGGAAAGGTGCATACATAGACTGAGAACAATTTAAAAACCCCAAAAGATCTGGTATAAGAAAACTTAACTGCTTGCTTTCTTCTCCTCAATCACAGAAGACGAGGCTACCTTTTGGTGACATAGTGCAGGTCTTAATTTATGGCTTACTACAACTGATTTGCTTTTGCCCAAATTGATCAGTTTTATGTCTTTTCAGTTAGTGTCCTATAGGTAAATTACTAAATAATATTCAAGATGGAAAATTGATTACAAATTGTATCTTTAGAGCAATGTCTACTAATTTTAATCCTTCTTATTGCTAATTGTATGTTCCTGGATGGTCAGTGTTGACATGAGCATGTAAAGTTTTGTCAACAGAACTGCTTCTTGAAACTAAGAGCATGTATTGCAACGAAGAAAACTCAAGGGAGGCAGTTTTACCCGCATTCATATTAGATGTTTATAATTCCCAAGAGCTAGTTTGGAAAATTCTCTGAAGAGCTAGATTTATCTTACTTGTTCATCTGAGTTTTCTTTTTTCTTTACATTATTAATTTATTTTGAAAGACTAAAAACCTATGCACATTACTGTGAGTGAACACAAAGGTACAGATTTGCTGCTATAGACCCATTTGAGATTTCAGTTCTGTTGTCTTTTAATTTCTGTATACTTTTTCCCTTTTATTTCCCATTGATTTAAGTTCATAGTAAAATTAGCAGCGCGTGCTTTCTGACAGTGAAATTCCTGAATGTCTTGGCATGGAATTGCAGTAATGTGTTGTGGCTTGGGCCCCTCGCAGGAGTGTATCTCGCAGTCAGCCGTGAAAACCAAGTTTGAACAGCACACTATCAGAGCTAAACAGATAATAGATACTGTGAAAAACATTATGGACGCCATAAACGTAGCAGCAGCAGAGAAAAGGTAGGTTGAATGGAGCGCTGGTTGGCTTTGGTTTATCCAGATCCTCTGAGGAACCTTTTCTATGCTGGTGATTTTCTTGGGCCATTATGGACTTTAAAACTCACTTTTCTCACTTGGTAAGAAACAGAGAATTTCTCTGGTGTGTCAGTCTTACTGCTGTTCACTTGCACCACACAGTCTTGTGCTTGGTCTGTGACGCTTATATAGGGATTTTGGTATACTTTGTTATTCTTCATTACTGACTTACAGTTACAGAGGCAGTCTGTAGGTTTTCAGATACTTTTTAAAAATATTTGAAATATTAAGGCTTTTTTAGCTGTGTCTAGCATTTCCAAAGTGATGCTTTTGCCTGCTTTAATGAAGTTTTTTTGTTAGCAGTAACACTGAGAAAATAAATGGGAGGATGTAGACACTTAATTTGCAAGTGGTTAGAGTACTGCCAACTGCTGAGAAGGGCCCAGGCTAACACAGGCTTGGCCTCTGGCCCTTTCCAGATTGTATCGTTAACTATATTTATTCTCTCTTTGCTCATGTAATCCTTTTAGTGCTAATGATAGCAGCTCATCTATTCTGTTCTTTGAGGTTTGCATATGTATGGGTTTTTTCCTTACTTTTGTGGCTGCCTCTTGTCTCTGTTGTACACAGTGAACTTGCTGTCATGTTTAATCCTCTCCATCTCCTTTCTGTGTCTGTTAATAGTGTGTCTTTATGTTTCAGCAGACTCCACTGTGCCTGTCAAACACACTCATCTTCCTGAATATGTCAGCTTTTGCAAACCGTGTTTATGTATTGACTTGTCTCACGTTGTCAGATCCTATGAAAACATACTGTGCAATGATTGAAAATATTACTCCGCTTCTTTCTGTCAACTGACCGGCTAAAACCTGTGTAGTGACCCTTCTTAATCTGAGTCATTGTTTGATGTTTCTGCTGGCCCTTCAGGACATAACTGTTTTAGATTGTAAGCAATTTTTACATAAATGGTAGGTCAAGGACTTCTGAAGAGAGCTGTTTGTGACAAGGTTGGTTTCTGCCACCTCCCCTTTGCTTGGCAGGGTCATCAGACCCATGTCACTATTAGGGAATAGCTGAGTGGTGCTGGTGAGCAGCAGTAGGACAGTTTGATTAGATTTATCCTTTTATTTTTAAATCAGGATAGGTGATGTATTAAAGACTTCTAATCCCTCACAGCTGTTTGATTTGTAACTATGTACAGTGGTAACAATACCAAATGCAAATGCTGTTTTTGTAAATACAACAAAACCCAGTAATTTGGCTTATGTACAGTCAGTGCAGCCTTTAACTGCACCTGTAAATTTAATACCTGTATTGCAGTCATTCTGAAGTAGTGTCTCTGCTTTGTTCAGCCTGTGTCACTTTGAATTCTTTTTGGCTGCTCAGTAAACTCAGTAAAACCATCGGCTAGGTGGTCCGTGCCTGATGATGGGGCATGTTTCATTGCTGGGAGAGTATCTGCTGGTGATGGTGATTTCCTTCTTGCTATGTTAAGAGTCCAGTCAATGGAAGAGCGAGAAGATCAGAAGGATAGACTGGACTTTGTTCGAAACCAGCTGAACATTTTGACAGAAGATACTAAGGAAAAAATCAAACGCGTTACTGAGGAAGTAGAAAATAAAGTAAGTAACAACAGTGTGAGCAATCTCTCAAGATTCAAGTGTTGCCCCTTCTGGAAGGCAGCTTCTTTAGGTGCCCACCCATCTCATGAAGTACATTTGAAATGTCTAGTATGTTCCTTTGCCAATATTAAGAAAAAAAGAATAAAACTCCCTTAAAATGGCAATCCTTCTTGACTGTCAGGTAATGACATCATTCCTTGTAACAGTTAATGCAGTTGTTTGGTTTCACTCTGGCTGGAAAAGGTAGGAGAAATATTTCATGTATTTACTGCATTTTTCCAGGTCTCTTCTGCCATGACTGATGAGATTTGCAGACTTTCGGTTTTAGTTGATGAATTTTATTCAGATTTTCACCCTTCTCCTCAAGTACTGAAGCTGTATAAGGCAGTAAGTCTTTTTCCATGTTTGAAGCCAGGCTCCTTGTCTTGACTTGAATTTCTACTGCTGTTTTTATAATTTGTGTAGCATTTTATGTGACACTTTAAGCACGGCAGTTTTTTACTTTCTGCCATATGCATAACTCTACCTAAAACTAGAAAAGGTTGGAAATATTTTCTGCTTTGTTTTATGACAGAAGTTAGGTTTTTTTTCAACTGCCATTTTTACCAGAGTGGTTACTGAAACTGACACCCTGATCCATAGTCTTCACTTCTAGTAAATAAAGACCTTACATAAACAATTTTCACTGCACCTAAAAGGAAACTGATGTAAAAATGAAACGAGCTTGCAAATACCCAACAATTTGGGGGGGGAGTGTTAAATTTTTAAGAAAAAAAAAAAAAATTAAACCTTTGTAGATTCCTCAGCCTCAGTGTTTTAAAGGAGCAGACATACACCTCTGCTGCTAATGAATGACTGCTATAACTCCCACCTGCTTCAGCCTTGTTGATCGGCTCTATGCTGTGTTTTCAGGCCAGTCTCCTGTGTCCTCTGTGGTGTGCTCTCTGCAAAATGCCCAGAGCAGACCCCCATGGGAGTCGAAGGGATCAGTTTATCTTTGTGCAGAGCAATGAAATTGGCTCTCATCAAACAGTGACAGTAGAGGCTTTGCAGGGCAGTATAGCAATGGTATGCTTTTTAGTGTCATGGTTTATTCAAAATACAGCCTTTTCCACATGCCTTTAATGATTACAGCCCTAGAGAAATCTTTCCTGTGTCACTTCAGTTAAGTTTTCATTCACAGTGGGTGGTTTAAGAGCATGGTATTTCCATGGTAACATGCTGTTCTTCCCACTGTAAATAACAACAGTGTTTAACATATCTCTGCTCTGTATAATATAATTGATGAGTTAAATATAAATTGATGAGCATATATTCTTTATAAAACTTCAGGAACTGAACAAACATATAGAAGATGGTTTGGGAAGGAACCTGGCTGATCGTTGTTCCAATGAAGTCAATGAGTCAATGCATCAGTCGCAGCAGGAGATGATTGGTAAGATGAGGGAGGGGGAATGTTAAGACTTTTTGTTTATAGAATCATAGAATAGTTTGGACTGGAAGGGACCTTCAAAGGTCATCTAGTCCATGCTGCCCTGCACTGAGCAGGGACATCTTCAGCTAGATCAGGTTGCCCATAACCCCATCCATCCTGGCCTTCATTGTCTCCAGGCATCCACCACCTCTGTGGGCAACCTGTGCCAGTATTTTACCACCCTCGCTGTAAAAAATTTCTTCCTTGCATCCAGCCTGAATCTACCCTCTTTTAGTTTAAAACCATCACCCCTCGTCCCATCGCAATAGGCCCTGATAAAAAGTCTCCATCTTTTGCCCTTTTAAGAACTGAAACGCCACAATAAGGTCTCTCTAGAGTTTTGTCTTCTCTGGGCTGAGGAGGGGAAAAAAATTGTCCTCATTGTTTAGAGGAAGACAATTTAAGTAAACTTGCTTTTAAAATAATTTTCTTTCTGATAATGGTTTACCATTATAAGATGATAAAGGAAAAGCCATCCTAGACCAAGACTAGTGTCTGTCCAGCTTAGTATCCTGTTTCTGCAATGAACCAGTAGCAGATGCTTGGGGAGATGAACCAGGGTAAATACAGCAATCCATCCTCAGTTCAGGGACATCTGAGCCAAGATACTGCATCTGGATTAATGGCTTAAGGGAGTAGTAATGGACCTTTCCTCTTGGAAGTTGTCTAATCCTTTTATAAACGCATTTAAGCTTTGGCTTCCACAACAGATATATAAAATATACTAGTTAGATAATGTTTCTGCAGTATAATCCTCTCCCTGGGTCTCTCCAGATTCTGTGTGCAAAACCGGATAGTTTCATAAGGTATTTGTACACTCCCTTTTATTATTATTATTTTTTAAATAAGTAGTAACTTTATTGCATATCCATCTGTTGTGATCTGTTTCTGGTAATAAAAGCTTGAGCAAGATTCTTACACAATAATGTAGCCTTTTCTGTATGGCACTGCTGGATAAGCCAACTTTTTCTTAGTCTGTCCTTATCTTTTGGCTATTGCTAGAGGTCTTTCAGTTACTTTGACCAATTTTTCCAGAAGTGCTTTCTCTCAGTTGATTTTGTGTGACTGTTTTATTTTATCAGAGTAATAAATTGCCTATTCTGTTAGGATCAGTACTGCTAAAATGCCCAATCAGTTTGCGTTCTGGTAGTTGACAAAGCCGGTCAGCAATGCAAGGATGTTACTTGTGAATATGCTATGAAGCTTTCCATACTAACTCACCTTTACTGTTTGGTTTTATTTCTAGAAAATCTGAAACCGTTGTTGCCTTCTGGTGCTCAGAGCCAGCTCCACTTGCTAGTTCCTTGCAGGAGGTTTGACCTTAGCTATGATCTAAACTGTCATAGTCTGTGTGCAGATTTTCAAGAGGATATCATGTTCCACTTTTCCTTGGGATGGACTTCACTTGTAAACCGTTTCGTGGGTGCTAAACAGGCTCAGAAAGTACTGTTGGGACTAGCAGATCCAAACTTAAAAGTGAGTGCTTCAGAGGTTAGGCTGACATTAAGCGCTTTGTTTTACCTTGATGAGAATATATTGGGTTTTGCTCTATTTGCCTGTATTATTTACATGCTCTCTGCTACTTTCCCCTAGTCCCTTTGTGTGAAACACTTATGGTGAGGATTATTTTTATTGGATTATATTCAGGGTTAGAATGGAACAAAAAAACCTTCCCTAAACTTTCTGCAGCCATTACCTGAGTTTTGTTTTTCTTTGGATTAAGCCCTTTTGGGTAACCTTTTTATTTGTAACTTCTGGATCCTTATGGCAGGGACAGTCCTATGCAGAACCCTTATTCTGTCCCAGTCCCCACTGGGCAAGGAACTGTCAAAACATCCACCGCTTATCAGGAGCGTTGTTCATGTTTCTGTGCTGAAGAGTTTCCTTTCAGTAAATCAATCCCTGAATATATGAAAATAAAACCAATCTGCTGTGTAGTTCCTTAATGCTTTTTACTCAGGCTGCCATATTCCACTCTTCTAGATCCCTCGTCCTTTAGCTACCACCCCGTCTACTGCCAGCCTTCCTGCCATGACTCCAGAGAATGTGTCGCAGGATGATTTTATGGTTCCTTTGGTAATGAGTTTAGCTTCACTGACATCACGGACCTCTATGAGCATCATCGTTGTTGGCGGAGTGGCAAGTAGTATTAGCAACATTCACTGTACTAGAAGTGATGGCAATGATTAAGCTGATCTTTCCTTTTATGGGTGCAACATGAAACATGTAATGGACTTAACAATGGGCTGGATGAGTGCGTGTAGTGTGCTAATACCTGCAATGAGGTTGTAGTGAGAAAATTGGTCTAATTATTCTGAAGATAGTTGGACATATTCTCTATGTCATATGTTTGGGCTCAGCTTCTGAATTGAAGGATGATTTGCTGGTACCTCATTCAGTTTGGATTTAGGGGAAGCTTTGCTTTCTCCTTCATGGAAAAGCAGCAAAGCTTCTGTAACCTGCATGTTCTCCATGCCACTGGGGTACCAGCTGTTCTGAATACAGCTGCAATAATAATAAGGAAATAATTCTTTTTAACTAATGTGGTGAAAGGGCTATGAAGAGGATTTAAAAAATGGTGGGAATTTGGTTTTATTCTGCATGGCAATTTACTTAAGCTAATGAAGATTCCTCTTTTTCAGATTTGGAGAACAGTAGGCTGGAAACTCATCTCTCTTTCCTTAAGTATGTATGGGTTGTTATATCTTTATGAGAGACTCACTTGGACCACTAAAGCAAAAGAGAGAGCCTTTAAACAGCAGTTTGTAAACTATGCTACTGAAAAGCTGCAGATGATCGTCAGTCTCACAAGTGCGAACTGCAGCCATCAGGTGCAACAGTAAGTACCATGCTGGTGTTTAATCCCTGTCAATGCTGTACTGTCCTGGAGCAGAGACTGGCTGTATCTGATGTGGGAAGGCAGCTTTAGTGTCCCTTGGCATTTATCATAAGGGATTTTTAAGAGTTTGAAATTACCAGCTGGAAAGGTCAATAGTCTTTGTGTATGTACATGCAGTCTTACGTTGCAGACTCTCTCTGCAGTACCTTATTGTGAACATCTGAGTTGGCTCAGATCTAGTGGGGAGGCTGAACTGGTCTGCTTATGGATGAGCATTGAGTCACTTCAGTGGTGAGCATTTGTTCTGCTTCAGGGCTTGATACGGGTGAGATCTACACAGCCAGTTGTGGCCATTCAGCACTGTGCAAGAAGAACTCAGCAGCCTTTCTGAACAGTTCCGTTGGTTTTGTGTGTATCGTTCCCAAATAGTTTTTCACCTGTCTCTGCAAAGTAACATCTGAGTGACTGTGTCCTCAGCCTCTCCTGCTGAAACTGCTTGTTTTGATTAAATTAATATTTCAGAAAATTAGGCCTGCTAAATGAGACCTCTAACCCCCAGGGTGCAGAACACCTCTCCTGTGTAGCCCAGGCAATACTTTACTAATACAGAGCTCAGCTTCTGCAGAGGAAGGAGAATCATCCCCATGTCCAGCAACCGTGTGTCTGTGTGAGGACATGGAAGAGCTGGACTCAAACCAGTGCTCCAGTGAGGTGAAGTAGAGAGGACATGCCTCCTCTCCTATGGAAGGGCCTGCTTGCTGGCTCAGCATGGTAACTGGTTTTCCCTTTGTGTAAGGAGGAGTCTTGGAACTCAGGTTGGGAGCACATGGCTGAGGAGGCAGCTAGGACTTTACCCTGCAAAGTGCCCATACTCCCTGTGTTCAGGGCACTTGCTGTGGCACAGGGCACTTCAGAAGGGGCACTCAGCTGCTCCAGCATGTGCCGCTGCCAGAGTCCCCATCTCAGGCTTGTACCTGTTAATGCTCACTGGAAAGTGGCCAGACATGATGTGAGCATAGGCATTTTGCATGTTTAAGGTTTCTTTTTGAATTTAAAAAATACACAATTTTCCTGTTTTCTGCTATTCTGTAGTCTCTTTAACAGCAGGAGACTTGGATCGCTCTGTCCTACTGCACACTGCAATGCCATCAGATTTAAAAAACTTCATTTAATTTCTTAAGATTTTTATTTCGTACCACAGACTTGTATAAATCATGATTATAGCCTTGCTTTTCCTTTAGGGAAATGGCCACTACCTTTGCTCGGCTCTGTCAGCAGGTGGATATTACCCAGAAAAACCTGGAAGAAGAAATTGCTAGGCTTTCCAAAGAAATAGATCAGCTGGAGAACATACAAAGCAGCTCCAAGCAGCTGAGGTAAGTCTGGTTGTGACTGGCCATGAGCAGATTCCCAACCCTGCTGATGTAAGTGGGATTAGCGCTTGTTTAGTTCAGGTTGAAATGAGGTAGGTGCAGGTGCAGCAGGGTACACAGCAATGCCTGTTTCCTTTAGTTGTAACTGAACAGCTCTGGTTAGGTTAAATCAATGTAGGCTTCTACCTAGGCGAAGGAACAAAGCTCCCAGAATGTTCTTCCTTAGCTTGTTTTTATCTTTGTCTGTATTTTATGGGAGAGATGAGTTTCTCTTATTAACCTTCTTGAGCAATCTGGTCTAGTGGGAGGTGCCCCTGCCCATGGCAGGGGGTTGGAACTCGATGATTTTTCTATGATCATTCTATGATTCTGTAGGTAAGTTAGTTCTGCCCAAAGAACCTTCCTCACAGGAGAACACGAGAGAGCCGCATTGTACGCCATTCAGTACAATACTGTTTTCCAGTACCAGTAGTAGGTATTTAGACAGAAGAAAAACTTCCAGTAATTGGTAGTTTAGGTTCTTAGAGGCAGCTTCAGCCCTTGTTCCCATGTGCTTTTCTCCCTGCCGCAAGCCTGCCCTGGCCGGGGGCTGTCTCTTGGTCTCAGGCATTCCAGACCACCATTGGATGAAGCCCAGCTCTGTGGTGCACCCCTGTGGCATGGTGGGCCGCATGAATTGCCTTCGTGAGGAGTCCTCTGCCTCCTTCCAGTTGCAAACCTCTCCCAAGGTGAAGGTGGAAAAGAAAGGCCAGAACTGGGGAAGTCCCACGTGGGCCTGGCCCAGCCTTTGGGGAGGAGGACATGTGGAGCAGGCTGCTGGCAGCTCTCTGCTGCCAGGCCAGGCCCCATGCTCATGAGGTCCCAGGCTCTGACCAGGCAGCATATTTAGGTTTTCTCAGCGCCGTGGGTTTCAGGAATAGAGGAGCAGAAATTAAGCACTGATGCTGGTTACTGCATTGAAGTAAAGCCACCGCTTTTGTTTGTTTTGCAGGAATAAAGCCATTCACCTTGAGAATGAACTAGATGGCTTCACTAGGCACTTTCTTCAGAAGAGCAAATAAAACATTGTTGCCAACTTTCCCAGTGATCCTTTGTAGGACAAGGTAGAATTTTTACAAATGACGCTTCTCCTGTGTGGAGTCACATGAAATGATTTTTATTTTAGATGTTCCTTTCATTACATTTGTTAATCGTTCTAAAAGGTAAATCAAAATGAAGAGCAGTGGTTCTTGAGTGTCATGTTTTGCAGATTTGCGGTTAAAAAATACCTTAAACACTAAATTTCTTGGGGCACTTGACAATAAAAACACAAATCCTCACTGGTTTCCATTAGTACTTAACAGTGGCAAGTCTCGCTTCCTGGCATCCAGGAGTTTATGCCGGGAGAGAGAGCTTATTACGGTTACCACTGTCTCCTAGTTTGAGTTGTTTAGGAATTACCTGGGGATGGAGGATGCTGCTTTTTCATGAGTGTGTTTAAGGATGGAAGATACAAACTCTAGCATGGAGAAGGACTTCTGACTTGTTTTGAAAGGAACTGAAATTGTGTTGGGCAGCAGTTCTCTTCTGTAAATGGAAGTGAAAACTGATAGTAAAGCACAGAGCCTTCACTAATGAAATGCAGTAGGCTCTAGTTTCCCTTCTGGATAACACATTTATACAAGATGGCATTGCTTAAGTAAAAATAAACCTATTTCAACAAGCCTGTCTTGCAGCTGGTGAAGCAGTGAAATGGTCATTTGCATGTGAGAGCATCCCTTGGGGGGAGCTGCAGGTACCTGTTGATGCCACCCAGCTCGTGTCCAGGCAAAGAGAACTTGCTGAGCAGGTGTTCCATGTTGGGGGAGGAAGCTGGGGGTGTGGGCCTCGACCTTGAGCTCCTGCTGCTGGATTAACGGCACAGGAAGCGGCTGGGTTTGAGAGTTTGTACTTACGCACCATCCTGCAGTTCCTTGGTTGGGCTGTAGCCCAGCTCTTTCCTGGGTTAGCCACAAGGCAGGTGTGCTGCAGTATCCACCTTTACTCATGCCCAGCAATACGAAGCCTCTTTAAAAAAAAAAAGGCACATTTTTGCTGTTGCATCTGCACTCATTGAATGTTTTCTAACTAGACTTTTTAAAATAACTTATTTTAAGAGAGAAAGCCTTTTCAGAATATTTATATATTTTTATGCAACTGTTAATGTGACTAAATGAAAATCAACTTTAAACTAGAGATGTAGGGATTTGCTGTTTTCCAGTAAATAAGGGCTATCTTAAGGAAACGTTTAAAAGCTAATGGTAGGGACAGGTTGTTGTTGGCAAGCAAAGCATGCCCCTTTCACCACGCTCTGTCTTGCTGTTTGTGTCTGACTGTGCTAGCACAAGCGCTGCTCTCCTGGAACTGTCAGTAGCAGCAAGTGTGAGGAGCCTCCAGGCTTTCAACGGAAACTGAACTACAGCACTGAATGACAGCCCAGCCTTGTTGTGTGTAAGGTTACAGATGTGTGTTAATGCTCTTTTCCTGGAGCATTTAATGGATGTTGTATGAAGATAAAACTTGACATGCATGTGTTCTATAGAGTTATTTATTAAAAACAGTACTACCCCTTTGCTGTAGTCAGTTATTTGGCAGCTGTATCCAAGGTGAAAACCCACACTGTAGCGCTCTGGCAGCTCTGTACATACCCAGTACAGGGCAAAACTGCTGAGGTTGAGTTCAAAAAGCTGTTTCCTGCAGCCAGCTGGGCATTCCACACAGCCTACTGTCCACTTCAGTGTGCTGGAGAAAAGCAGTACTGATACAGACCTAACAACGGAGTGCTGTGACAGTGTCTGCCCCTGATGGGAGTGTGGTGGAGTGAGCAGGGATTCTGACACCGAGGATGAATGAGTGTTCTAAAACCTGGGTTTATTTCCAGTCTGGGATCTGTGGGTAACTTCCAGCTCACCACACTGGAGCATAAACATGCCTCTCACCTTCCTCAGGCAGAACACACACAAAGACCTTCTGCTTTGGGGAAGAAAAAGCCGTCTCAGTTAGCATCTGGTCCAGGGCATTTACTTGCGCAGCATGTTGCTGTTGTCATTGCGGATGCATAGGCATCAGCTTGGCTCACTGTGCCCAGGTAACTGGGTGCAAGAGTTAGGTGTGGCTCTGTCCACGTGCAGTGTCAACAGGAACAATGTGGATGCTGTAATAAAAGAGTCACAGGTGCCAGAGTCTGGTTAAAAGCACTTGTTTATTGGTTACAATATCAACTCATGGCAACATCTTTCACTGAGCCACTGTACAAATACAAAGAAAAAGATCCATCGTGGAAAAAAAAAGAAGCTATAAACAGAGTTCATAGCAAGTGATTTTTTTTTTTCACAGGGAAGTCTTTTTACAACAGCACTGTTAAAGAACAAATGGCACAAGTCCCTGGTTTTTTTAATAGCTTAAATAAAAGCTTTAAGACTGTTTCTGAATACATACACAATCCAAAGGCAGTGCAGAATCACTTCATAATTGGTAACATTACTGAAGTTTTCCAAAGTAGTCAGCAACAAGATAAAAAATGAAACAAAACAAACAGAAACCAAGCTGATGAGAACTGCTGGAAACTAACGGCAAATTAAAACCAAGCATGTTCAGAAGCACTTTTTTTTGGACTCCTTTGGATGTAATATGTACTACAAGGGTTCAGATGCTTTTTGTTTTTTAAAATAAAAAAGGAGAAAAAACACAAAGAGAGCACCATTGTGTAAGTAAAACAAAGGCTTGAAATACCTAAGACTATTCCACTGAAGTCCATATTAGTTAAAACCTAAACATACTGTGTGGTATAAGAATGTCAGGCACATGTAATCTGTTATCAGTTATTATATCAATTAGTAACACTGTTCACACATTTACCATAACAACACTGCATTAACATTCTGCATGTATTTTACATAACCAGCAATTGGATAAAAAGGCTTGTGGTGCCTCCGAAGTGTAGGAAGTAGTTTTACCAGCATGCATGCCAGATTACGGTATACAAAGTGCACCATCAACCCATGCTTAAGTACTTGTACAGGAAATGCTATCTCAAAAATCAGTCATTCTGCTACACGACCATTTATACCAACTAGTTTAATTAGCCAATACTCTCACCAACATCTTAAAGCACAGCACTAAACCTAGTGGAGGTGACAGTGTCCTCAAAGAGGAAAGACTAAGCACTCTTGGAATGTTTTCACAATGGTTTCATTCCACCTTAAAGTAATGTGAACTTCATTGTGGGACAAGCGGTTACACGAACTGAATTAAAGAGTAACTAGTTCCAACCCATGCATTACAGTAAGCACACTAGGACCAGCTGTTACAGCAGTTCAGCTTTGCCAGGTCAAGGTCAGGCCCTCCTGTGGCAGGGGGAAAAGCCCATTTAATCTGAGTTCCATTTGAAATTGACTGTGTTGTTGTCAATACACTGAACTATCTGTTCTGCCAGATACTGCGACGTACCTGCAATTCAGCAAGGCAGAGGATAGCGATGTTTGGAAGAAAAAAAGCCTGGAGACAGAAACAGGCCCACAGTATTGGAGGAAGCGAGTACACGTCAGCATAATGCCACGGAGAAGTTTCTTGTGGTTTCCAGAATCTAAACCAGTATCTCTACCAAGGAACCCATGTCTGAGTCTACAAGGGAACAAGCCTGGGTTGGGCGCTTGCCTGATGAGTATTTGCTATTGCAAAGATACATCAACACTAGAAAATGCTGACAAAAATACTGTACCTGAATAAAATACATCTTGTTACCCAAAGCACATAGCTCCACTTTCCAAGCCATAGACAAAAGGCTGGGTAAGAGTTATGATGTCGCCACCGTTTGGGCACAGTGGTCTTAGTTCCTCCATTCCTGTAATGACACAAGTTGTGTGACATTCAGGTAATGATGTGGTTTGGCAACAAACCATTACAGATGGGTTCCAATGGACCCACTAGTGCTGCAAAACCTCCAGTGTAAGAAGGTTGTGGTGCACAGGCAGAAATCACACAAGACACATACCTGAACCTACATTAAACTATAGGCAGACTCCCTTTTGGTTGAGATTCAAAACGGAGTGAAACCTTTGAAGTAAAACTGAAGAAGGGTCATTTTATTACCTTCCTCATGCTAGGAGGAGTTTGAGCTTCTACTATAAAAACCCCATCCATTTTAGTAAAGGCATCAATCTTGAAAGGCCACTGATCACTGCGGAAAGAAGGAAATAACCCAGCCTGTGCAAGTTCGTTATTTGGCCTCATATAATAGCAATGCCTTACACTGAATCTGCGGGCTTTAAACAAAAAAAACAACCAAAATCTAAGCTCTATCCAGGACAGTAACTCAGCAGCACACATCACCTTGGTGGGATCTACCACCAGCTTCCTACAAGCTCCCCAGAAGCATCAATACCCTTTTTCCCCCCGTTGTGCATGGGCTCCTTCCAGGTTTCCTTGTTCACCAGCACAGAAGGAACCACCTCAGGACCCATGATACTACAGACACTGGTTAACTGGATGGCAGAAGCTGGCAGATACCTGCACGATGCTTTTGGAAACCTCATTAGCATGTAGTTGGCATTCCTTATTTTAAAAGCAGCTGAATCCAACAGACAGTTGCCCATCAAACGATGACAGTGAAATTATTTGTGGCAATCCCTGCTCAAGAACCATGACCATGTTACAGTCTACCTGAACTGCTGAGAAAAGTTATATACATCTGTAAAATTTTATTGGAGTTTTGCAAGTAGAAACTAGTTCTTAATACCAGAATAATGTAAAAATGGCACCTGTCTTCTCAAAGGTGTTCATTAGGAAATTGGTTCAAAACACTTCTATGGAAAACCATTTTTTAGAAAAGGAAGATTTTCTTAAAATGCCTTAGTAACAAATTTCCAGAATGATTCGCTCAAGGCAGCTGTGAGTTAAAAACAACAAGTGCACCACTGAAAAAATAAACCATGTCTGCAAGATCCCGAAGAGCTGCTCGCTTGAAAGAGTAACAGGAATTCCATAATAGTTCTGTTAATGCAGACATCATAAAGCAAAATGCTCAGGCATCCCTGTGACATACAATACAGTGTGATTTTGGTCCTACACCGCAGTCTGCTGTCAGGAAACGTCTCCTTCTCCAGCACAAGGCTCACGTTTTTGTAAAGGTGAATTTACTGTGATTGACTGGTACGTTTCTTGGCACCTTCACCATTACAGACATGGCAGGTTTATAGGCACAGTCTGGAAGTACCAAAATTTAGGATTTAAAAATGGCAGAAACTTGACAAGGAGTCATCTTGGCCACAAATCGGCCACAAGATACCAGGCCCTTTTATTTCCTACCTGACCCCAAGATATCCAGGCTCCCCACAGCTTCAGATGAGGGCAGATCAACATTACCTTCCAACCTGATGATCTAAAATTTGCATTATCTTAAAAAAAGCCACTTATGAGAAGCCAACAGGACTTAATTCCCTTTTCCGAAAATGCCACAGACATCCAGGTTCCAAGAGAACATCCACTGCAAGTGCAGGAGTGCTGCCAGGCACCAAGAAGTTAACTGATCTTGGGTCACTTCAAACAGGCATCAGTCCCTTGATTTTCCTACTGCTACACTCACCTGTACTTTACCAGAACCTATCATTATAAGCAGCTGACATCAAAACCAGAATAAAATCAGGAACAGAAGAGGAAATGGCTATTTACAGTGTCAGAGCTGCAGAACAATTAGCATCTAATAAGCCCCCACGGCACAGAGCTCTGTGACCACAGGAGAAGAAGCAAGTCACAAAGTTGACAGAGTGAAGTTTTAAAGGGTCACACAGGTAAGCAACGTTATTTGGTTTGTTGCAAGTTACACAATTCCTTTCAGACTTCACACTGCACATAACTGACAAGCGCTTTTGGTTGTGGTATGCTTTGGCAAGCCCCTAACTTCGAGGGGGATTACAGGTGATTAACTGCACATTTAAATCTATGTTAAGAATTTAAGCAAAGTCCTCCTGAATTTCTCAGCTGATTGTGGTAATTGAGCACACTTTGCAAATACACAGCTCCCTGCACTGAGCAACATGCCCAGTCAGTCTGGGAGTGCAGGTCAGCCAGAGTTTGGGATGGGTTGAAACCTCATTTACTTAGAGCTGAACTGTTGGAAGGAAAAGCTCTTGGCCGCTTAACAACAGCAATGGAGGGCTTCCATACCCGAGGACTGCGTGGAGTAACTGACGTGAAAAGCTGCAGTAAGGAAGCTCTAATACTTCTGATTTATAAAATGTTATTATTTTATCATTATTTTTGCTGTTGTTGCAGGTCTGCCTGGCGTTAACTCCTTGGTGTTTGGAGGCCATGATTGCCAATGGATGAACCAGGAACCACTAGCTTGGAGAAGGAACCCCCAGGACTAAAAACAGGCAAGCAGGTCAAGAAGTGAGTGTGTAAGGCGGAAGGTATTAACTGGGAGTCTCCAGGGCCTTTAAAAAAAACAAAAGTTCAAATGCCTTCCATTATAAAAACACATACATATCATTGGCTTCACTTTATCTACAGTAAATTCACAAAAACATTTAAAACAGCAATCTAGTTCATCCACTACAAAACTCGGAAGTGACAT